CCACCACCACGTTGTGTTGTCTTCAACTCAGCCACGTTTTGATCTGATCCCAATAAAGACAGCAGACAAAAGCACTCTTCCTGGGAGACGGTTCAGTTATTCATGAGCTTCCCTTAGTTATCTTAATGTATTGTTTAATTTTTGAAAGTCTTAACTCCTTTATGCTTTTTTAATTAAGAGAAGTTCCTGAAGAATTCATGGGCTACTGAATTAAAATGTCAAACACCGTGCGGGTATAATGAGCAGGTGAAGAAGAATCCCTCTGTTGTTCTCTTTTTGCTTTTATTCCGAGTTAATAAAAGATGGACTCTGCAGATTTGATGACTTCCTCTGGAGTTGGAAAAAAAACGCGTCTCGATGCTGTATGGTGTCTGATTCTGTCTAATGAGCAAACTGATGCTGTGTGTTAAAAATGCAGCAGCAGGAAGGTGTTTCACGCTCAAATATAGGATGAGCAGTTTAACACAACAAACCCTCAGCCTTTATCTTATCCCTCCTGCATTGTTAATGATGCTTTCCAAGCTTTTCTCCGAGTTGTTTTTTCAATGAGTGGCTAATTATTTAAGTAATTTGTTCAGAGTCCATAAAAGCATTTTTTAAGAGGCAGTTGCTTCTATTTTTTTTGTCGGTATATTTTAGAAAAACACACTTTTACTCAACTTTCTCAACCTTGACGACTAAATTGATTTATTCTTCTCTCTGCTGTCTTTTCATGGGCGTTTTCTGCCGCTGCTGTTTTCTGCTGATGCTTGTCTGTAGCTTAATAAATAGATACAAGGCTATGCAGATTTACATTCGTGTTCTGTATTCTCATGTGTTCGGAAGCCCTTTCAAGCTGTCATGTGATCACATGTGAATGCCTTATGCAGATTTCTTCCTGTTTTGTATGTAAATGTATTGAAAGCCTGGTCCCTTTTGTAAAGTGAAAGATAACATTTATTAACAACATCTTTGTAAGGGATATGGATCAGTACAATCCAGACATTTTTAATGCATTAAGCAAGTCTTAACCTCCTTGTCAATGTTGGTTTGCAGTTTTTGCATCCTTTCCAACTCAAGAATATAGTGTTTTTCAATGAAGGAGAATCACAAGAATCGCATATCTTATACATTTATGCACAGCATTAAATAATATCCGTCTAAACTTCCCCCTGTCCTCAGGTGTCTAACCTCTACAGAGCGTACCTGTCTGCTATGACGACAAACAGATGAAGTTACACAGAATCCTTCCTCCCTTGAGTGCCACCGCCGTGAAAAATACAACAGCTTGTTATCTCACACACCCTCCAGCATCTAAATCAACTTCTTTATATTCATGCTTGTTTTCCCACCCACTCAAACACACCTCCAATACAGATCCTCTAATATAGATGAGAGTCATCAGTCATCAGAGCGCTACTTAGCTGTCAGATGTGTCTGAAATTTCTTCAGATATGCTATTAAAGCTGCATTATGGTGTCGGATAAAGAAGAAGAAAATAAAACTCACAACTTTGTGCGACTTTGTGTCCGCAGATGACTGACTGTGACAGGATAAAAAACAAATACAGAGTAGAATCAACTTCCATGCTTTTATTCAACAAAATTATATTCTAGGTTTTCATTTTGTAACTTCGCCTCAAGTCTGACAGGAGTCAAAATACAATGTAATAACTCTTAGTGTTTTTGTTTTTCGTTACTTGCAGAAAGTTGACACAGTTACAAGTATTTATGCAACTCACATCTCATATTCATTTTGTCTTTTTGCAGGTCCGAGGGGTATTTTAACCATTCAAATCATATTAATTCAACCTTTTGTAGCCAAGGGCAACAAATGTCAAAGGAAGCTCGATGGAGTTCTGGTTGTGGGGCAGATCCAAGTTTAGAAAACCTGAGCATAGTGTTGAATGTCAGGTACACTCCTGGGTGGTTTACTTGGTCCCAATTCTTCAAATTTCCATTATAATGAGTTACACAGCGCGTCTAGTAAACAGGGATAAACTTTAATTAAAGTTTCTAAGTTAAGTTGATTTCTGAGAGCGCCCACAACAAGTTTGTGATGTGTAAAGCTGAGGCAGTTTGCAGATGTTTCAAAGAACATACATGCATGCAAAAGTGTTTGCATATGTAAAGACAGGTGTCTCTGTGGGATTATTGTCTGCATGATTGTATGTAAATATGTGGTTCTTTAATTTGAATGTAAGAACAAGATGTCCTTGAGTAGAAATGTTTCCGTCCAAGTTATCCGTGTCCTCGCCGAAGTTGTCCTCCTACATGACTCGACACAAAAGAATATCTAACTCCTCTAAACTCCTGTTCACCCTCTTGTCCTTTCCTTGCTGCCCACGTATTGATTTGGTGGCCACTGCTGCTAAAATTAAGCAGTAAAGCAGAAATAGAAATATGAGGCAGAGCTGCCCTTTTCCTTTCATTTACTGGGACATTGCTACATCTGTTCACGTCCGTTCTTACCTTCCCAGTGCCCATTAGACTGAAGCCTTGCTTTTTGCAGCTCAACATCATCCTAATGCAATTCAAAGACCTACATTCTACACCAGAGTTGCCGTGGCAACAAAGTCCCCCCCCGCCTTCCCCCATCCTTCTCTGAGATGCTGAAAGATCAATAGAGTATCCTCAACGGTGTGGCAGAAAAATGCTCCGGCACAGATGGTCCTCCGAGAAACCGTGAACTTTGTGGCCTAGTTACCATCTGAAAAGTAACATAATCACGCAAGGTCACTCTTTTATTGAAACTTAACAAAGTCGGGTAACGATATTAAATCAAATCTAAGCCAAAGATCACAGCGCTGCCAGAATCCTCTCACCCTTTTCTGTGGCTTTAATAAACAGGAAGCATCATCTGCACAGTTTCAGCCGAAGCTTGGAAAATTTGGGAATTAATTTCGACAAGGCAGGCAGACTGTGCCAACAATAAAGGAGCGTTGCTAAATAAATAAATTCTCTCTTGGGGGTTCGGAAATTTTTCTCATACAGCGAACCAACTCCTGTTTGTTTCTGAGTGCAGAAAATAACGATGTGTGCATGTTTTATTTTATTCCCTTTTACATTTTTAGGGGGATGTTTTTTTCATATCAAACCCTCAAGAGGGGTTGTATTTCACAGACAGAGGTGAAAGGAAAGCCTGCAGAGTGAGAGCAAACAGGAAGGGAGATGTGAACACAGAGCAGGGTCCGCCTTTTTAAATCAACTCTTACAGAGGGGTGGTGCAGAGTCGAAGAAGTCCAGCTGTCAGTGTCGAGTAAATTTGATCAACAAGCTCTGGAAACTGTCCCACTCTGCTAAAATTGTGCTTCAAGCTGCTCCCCTCCCCTCCGAAAATGACATAATATAAAACCCCGATTTTAATGAGAGCTCTGATTGGACGGCGGTATTTCGGAGTTAACGAGGTGCCCTGTTGTCTGCAAGACAGTAGCTAGACAGCAGTGTGGGAGTGTGCGTATGTGAGCGTGTTTGTGTTTGTGTGCGCAGGGGGGAGTGGAAAAGAAAAGGAACCGCAACTGGGACTTCTCATCGCTGGCTGAGAATTGCAATGCAGGCTGATATAAAAAGACAGCACTTCTCACTTTCTCACTTCTCCGGCTGTCTGGAAAATTCATAACAACTCTCATCAGACCAAGTTTGTTTGGCTGAAAACAGTCTTTGTGCCGAGCATATGAATGAGGTGAAGCTTGTAGAGAGGAGAACTTGGCTTGCATTTTATTCCCTGTAAATTTGACATGTGGCAGTTAAAATATTCTCAGCAGCTTGAAACTACGGCTTTTTGCCGATTGAGAATCTGATGTTTTTGCTTTAGGCCCAGTGGGGAGGAAATAATCAGCGGTGTTAAGGGTGTCGGCAGCACCTCAACACGGTGAAATGTAGATAAAAAGGTTCTGAAATGAGATGGGACAAACTAGATGCAGTGTAGTTAAAGTAAAAGGCTTTATTCCTGTGAAAAGTCTCTGCCAGCTCCTCCAGAGCAGATGAAAATAATTACACCGGACCTCTGAAAGAGAGACACTGCAGTTGATTGACACATCGAATCTGGCAGGGATCAAAAGTGTCCCCTTGAGGGGCCCGGATGGGGCAGTGGGCTGCACTCATTCTCTAAAGCGAGATGAGAAAAGACAGTTGTCATCTCTCTGCTTTATCGCCGTTAACAGGCTCTCTCATCAACACAGAGGCTTAAGGCATTAGCAATCAAGATGGATGCCAAAGAGGGTAAAACCACTGGCAGTGTCATCATCCGCACATCACCGTTTTGTGTTCCGCTGGGGTCTCTTATGGTTATTGTTTCAGAGCATCACTTTTTACTCCTGTCACCACAGGCGTGTTCTCTCCAAGCCTGAAATCAATACTTCTAAATGGGAATCAGAGAATCACAGCATCCTCAGCGCCTCCGTCGGAAAAAAAAACAAGCCATATTTCCTCCGCTTTCACCTTTTCCAACTTTTTGTTGCCCTGATTAACATGACAGCTCTCTGTCTAATTCTGCAACACGTCTCTGCAGCAAAGGGGAAGCAGGAAGCATGAAAAGGTCAGGAAAAACCTTGAGCTCTGTTGGCTGGTGCCCTTTTCTGCCTTTAATTCTCCACCCTGATGTGAAATCCAGGGCGAGAAAAACACAGCAGACTTGTTATATGATGGAAGTGTAAATGTGTACCTACTGAAAGTATTACGAAAATTGAAGAACTGTCCTGTGGCCATTCAAGAAATTGTATGTTTCAGTGAGGATGCAGCCTGGTTGCACAGAAAAACATTCTGTTATTTTCATGAAAAGACTTCATAGACGTTGGTTCTGATGGTGTTGGTGCAGCCTTTCATCATCCCAGGTGCCATTATTTCTGAAAAGCTCCATTTCATTTTGTGATTGATACCTCCCTGGCAGTCTCACCAATCTAGGTCAGACAGTGGATTTCAGCAGCAGGGTCTAATAAAGACGACAATGCTGTTTATTAATTCAAGATCCTTATTTTTGACTTCTCTGTTTTCTCTCACACAGGACCTTGAAGCAGATCAACAATGGAGCGGCTGGTTGTGTGCGTGCTGCTCTGCGCGGCTCTGGTGGAGGGTTACAGCTGCCCCGGCCGCTGTATCTGCCAGCACCTCTCCCCAACTCTGACCCTGCTCTGCGCCAAGACCGGCTTGCTATTTGTCCCCCCGACCATCGACCGCAAGACCGTGGAGCTGCGACTCACGGACAACTTCATCACCATCATCCGCAGGAAAGACTTTTACAACATGACCAGCCTGGTCCACCTCACGTTATCCCGTAACACCATCAGCCAGATCGTCCCTCACGCCTTCCTCGGCCTGCGGTCTCTGCGGGCGCTCCACATGGACGGAAACCGCCTCAGTGCGATTAAGAGCGACCACTTTAAAGGCCTCATCAACTTGCGTCACCTCATCCTCGGGAACAACCAGATCCACCTGGTGGCTCCGAACTCCTTCGATGAGTTTGTTTCCACGATCGAGGACTTGGATTTGTCCAACAACAACCTGCGCACGCTCCCCTGGGAGGCCATCGCCAGGATGACCAATATTAACACACTCACTCTGGACCACAACCTGATTGACCACATCGGAGCGGGGACATTTACACTGCTTACCAAGCTGGTCCGTCTGGACATGACCTCCAACAGGCTGCAGAAGCTGCCGCCAGACAGCTTGTTGCAGCACGCTCAGGTGCTGTCGGATGCCAAAGGCTCCAGCTCATCCACTCTGGCTGTGAGCTTTGGAGGAAACCCACTTCACTGTAATTGCGAGCTGCTTTGGCTCCGTCGGCTGACAAGAGAAGATGACCTGGAGACCTGTGCCTCCCCTGAGCACCTGATGGATAAATATTTCTGGTCGATACAGGAGGAGGAGTTTATCTGTGAGCCCCCGCTGATCACCAAACATCTATCCACTAAGCCTTATGTGATGGAAGGGCAGGGTGTGACTCTTAAATGTAAAGCTGTAGGTGATCCAGATCCTGATATCCACTGGCGGTCTCCAGACGGCAAGCTGGTGCATAATAACTCCCGCACCATCTTGTATGATAATGGTACCCTTGATATTCTCATCACCACGCTCAAGGACAGCGGGGCTTTTAGCTGCGTGGCATCCAACGCCGCAGGCATCGCTACAGCTGCTGTCGAGATCAACATGATCCCCTTACCCTTGTTTGTGAACAACACGGGTCACATGCGCGAGGACCCCGGCCTCTCAGACATCACCACCTCCTCCAAATCCGGTAATGACACCAAGGGCTACGACAAGCAGGACAGGAGGGTGATGGTCTCCGAGCTGACCTCCTCCTCCGCCGTGATCCGCTGGCCGTCCGAGCGACACATCCCCGGCATCAGGATGTACCAGATCCAGTACAACAGCACGGCGGATGATACTTTGGTGTACAGGTAAGTCTTGGTGGAGGGGAGCAGAGGGTGTTGGTGGTGGGAGCAGGGACATGAGGAAAGGTGAGACATCTGGAGTTACCATCTGCTGGATGACGCAGCTGCCGACTGAAAGATCCCAAAGTAGCAAATTGATGAAGTACGTTCAAAAATAAGTAGAGCTCCTGAAGTGCAAGCAGGTGATTGATTTAAAGAGTTTATTTCATTTCCTTTAAAATATCACGCGATATAATGAAAATGGACCGAACATTTAAGATATTCATAGACTCAATAAATGATTCACTGTCTCTGATACTTGAGTAAATTGAAGTTGAGCACTCTACTGAAATAAAGAGCCTGTAGCGCCATAAAAAAACAAATCAACAATAAACAATAACATGAGGGCAGACGACTTCACTGCATGTAAGGGTTTGTATCATTAGCAAGTGTCTGCAGTAATTGGTAGAAACACGGAGTGTGATTAGATGTGGCTGACTAATGAAAGGCTGGGTTTGCAGTGGTGGAAGAGGTATCATTTGCTTACAGAGGGTAAAATAGAAAGAGCACACCATTAAAATACTCCCTGACAAGCAAAGGCCCCGCGTTTTAAATTAACCTCCAGTAAAAGTACAGAAGTTATTATCAGAGAAGTGCATCCTAAATAAGAAAAACTTCATCTGCTTAGTCTTCAGAGGAAATATCTGTCCTGGTTGATGAATTTTATTGGATTTATTACATTTCAGCACTTAGCGGTACGTCAGGAACAGATGTAAGAGTAGTAAGGCTGGAGCTACCATCAGGTATTCAAATTAATGCTCTACATCGCAGCATTTATTACACTTTAAGTTCATTTGCAATGCAAATCGCATTATTGTCCTCTATGGTGCATTTATCAAAACAAAATTCACAAACGATTGCGGAGAAGACAAACTCAAAGATAAATCTGTGTATTAATGGCACAAAAAATCACCTCAGACGTGATAGAGACCGAACAACGCCAGATGCTGTTCAAACAACTGTGCATAAAAATCATTCATGGCTGCAGGACTGAGGTAGTTTTGAATCGGTCCGACAGTCATGCTGAAGCTCACCTGCGTCTGTTATAAAGTCACAAAATAATTGAAAGGATGCACAAGATGATGAAATGAGAGAAAAAAGGGGGAAACGACAAAATCTGATTTCCATAGCTGTGTTAGTTTTGAAAGTATTTACAGTTTTTGATTCCTTTACCGTGTGTAAAGCAAAATCAGAGAATTAAGTATAATTCCCTTTGAATGGAGCCAAGCACGGCTCTTTAGTTAAAGTGAATACCTTACAGTGCAGAGACTGAACGAGATCTCATCTGTAACATTTGCCAGGTGCCTTTGCCAAGTATTGTGAGAAACATTTCTTGGCTCTTGTTTGCCATGAGTTGCATACAGTTTAATCTTTTTGAAAAATAAGAAAACAGTCAAATAAACAAACAGATAAATCCCTTTTCAATATTAGCTGTATCAAAAGGGCTGGGGACAAGTTTTTAATATATTGTTGTGGATTAAAATGGTGAATTACTTTGGTATCATCTTTGTTTAGCTCAGTATTTTTTGTATCATATAGAGCAGGCGACTGTAAAAGTTTTTCATTGGTCATTGTCCCTAAAACAACGACCAAGCTCTCTCGACTTTGGCTCCCAAATCGTGGGAGGAATTGCCACTCGAGATTAAAACACCCCCCACTCTTTCTACTTTTAAATCACATCTTAAAATTCTTGGCTTTTAGTTCGGCATGAGAGTTGTGTAATCTCTGTCCTTTTATGTCTTTTATGGTCCTTCTATCGCTTTTATTTCTTTTATGCTTTTGTGTTTTTATTTCATTGATTTTATTTCATTTTAAATGTTTTTTTACCTACTTGTATTTGTTTCATCTTGATGGGTTTTTTTTGTTCTGCACTTCTTGTTCTTTTTATTTTACTGTGCAGCACTTTGGTAAACTCGAATGTTTTTTAAAATGTGTGGTATATATAAAGTGGATTGGATTGGATTAGATTGGTTGAGGACCACTGCCTGTTGACACACAAAGAGAGAGAAATATTGTTCGAGCTTCAAGGTCAGCCCAGTGTATGTGGGTTTGGTCATAATATAAAAAGAAAAAAGGGGGAGGAATAAAGAGACCTCTTGTTTCTGAAAAACCTTCAAGGACAGCAACAAAGTCCTGGACCAAACTTTTAATTACTATGACCCGGGCGACTACAAGTTTTCCCACGCATGTATGAAATTCAATAAATTCTAAAAATCAATCTATCTGATAAACCCTCGTCATGGTCACATTAACAGAACTCTCCCTGTTCAAACCGGCGAATCAAATGTTTGCAAACCTATTGAAAGAAGAGTTTTGAATGTGAGAATGAGTTTTGATATTCGACCCTCACGAACTCACCTGGTGAGGGTTTATTCAGGTGTTTTGTATGCACAGAGCGAGTTAATAAATGTCATCTTTTTTAAGATACTTGAGACCTTCTGCTGTATAATTTTCTCATCCGGTTTAGGCGTGGGGCTGAGTGTTGTTTTGTCTTTGGGTGCAACATCATAACCTCCAAATGATAACCATCAGAGTCCCCCTGTGGGGAGAAGGAACAAGCTCCTAATTATATTAACGCCAATGTTGACCTGAAGACAATACCTCTCCCTCTGCTGTATTTAGAGAGGTGTAATGTTGCAGCTGCCGACTAAATGTGACCTTAGGTATTCACACATGAAAATTGCCGCCACATCATGCAGCAGAGCCGCTCGCCCTGCAGCCTGCAGCGGTTGTGCAGCGCACCGTTAGACAGCGAGCCTTCTCTGCCATGTTTATCACCTTGTAGTTTACCCTTGCTGTTATTTTACACACAAACCCAACAGAGCAACTTCTCACTGCTGTTTTATAAGACGATAGAGTTTCTCATCAGTCAACTTTTAATGAAATGTTGTGGTTTCTCTGGGTGTCTAGCTCAGTACCTGATATTTAGTGCAGGAGCTGTGATCGAGGAGTGTGTTGTGTTTTTGTTGTGAGGAGCTGGCACCTTTGTGTGATTTAATACACCCTATGCAAATCAGTAAATGTGGGCGTTGTAATTCTGATGATTAATCGTCTACATCTTCACTGGCGCTCTGTGTCTCCTCTCTCTGTAGAATGATCCCTTCAACAAGCAAGAACTTCTTAATCAATGATCTGGCTGCAGGGCGGGAGTATGACCTTTGCGTGCTGGCGGTTTATGACGATGGCATCACATCATTAACAGCTACACGTGTGGTCGGATGTGTGCAGTTCCACACGGCCAGCGAGGTCAGCCAGTGCCGCTTCATGCACAGCCAGTTCCTGGGAGGCACCATGATCATCATTATTGGTGGTATAATCGTTGCTTCTGTGCTGGTTTTCATTATCATCCTGATGATCCGCTACAAGGCCTACAGCAGCCCAGAGGACAGCAAGACCAAGGTCAGCTCCAGCATGCACTCACAGACCAACGGCAGCCAGCAGCGGCTGCAGCGCTCCGCCTCCAAGCAGCCCTCCGACGATGGCCAGCGTGAAGCCGGGACGTCAAAAGAGTGCATGGCGCTGGTGCTGCGGGTGGACCACGAGAAGAGGGAGGACGCAGGAGCCACCACTGCCATCCTGGAGGTGGAGCTACCTCCGCTGAATGTAGACAGGATGAAGAGGAGGACCAGCCTGGACGCACAGCGCTCCGGCCCCCCGTCTGAAGACACGCAGACGGACAGTAGCCTCACAGGCTCAACCATGTCCCTGTGTCTCATAGGCCCCAATGCTGGCTCCAAGGAGGCCCCCAGGCTCAAAGACAAGAAAAGCGCCCTGGCCAACATGGGATTACTCCCTAATGAGCTGGCACGAACTAGGCATAGATTCTCGTTTGACGGAGGGGATTACTCCATTTTTCAGAGTCATAGTTACCCCCGCAGAGCGAGGACGAGGTGGCACAAGTCCACCAACCAGCTCAACATGGAGTCGTCTCCGCTCGCCAACAGGAGAGTTACATTCAGCAGCACTGAGTGGATGCTAGAGAGCACAGTGTGAGGGAAAGCACATGTACAAACCAGAATATGTCTACATGCCATATTACGCACACGTTTCTCTTGCGCACAGCAAACGATGAACACAAGCACATTTTACGTACACATGCAAACTTTCTGAGAGTTACTGGAGAAGACAACAGTCTCCTTTCATCCTGCCACCCCGTCATACTCCCAGAGGGGTTTGTTGGCCATGTCCTTTCTTTATGCAGCAGTGCCTTACTCTGAAAAAAATGTACGAATGGAGGATGCTGCTCACTGTAGTCATAAACCTTCCTCTCCATCATTGCCTCCCACTCAGAGGATGGGAAACCTTTCTTTGGATTTTTTTATTTCCTCCTTTTATCTGTGACATGCCAAGGGGGTGTGGCGTTTGTATGTGACTGTTTAATTGTTTCAAAATAAAACAAAAAAAAACAACGACAAAAAAGCACACAAAAAAAAAAATCATCATAACTGTAAAGTGAACAGCCAGGTATCCTGTTATGTCAATCATGTTTTGGGTTCTTTCAAAAAAGAAAAAAAAAAAAAAACTTTTGCACAGAAGACACGAGATACAAGGACAAGTATCACCACCAGTCTATACAATAATAATAATGAAAAAAGAAAAGAACAGGATTTTACACATGCCGGTTTCTAATGTTAGCATAGAGAGGATGGACCTGGGAACAGAGCGAGGATTCCTCTTTGATGGTCGGACTGTATGATGTTAAATAGGTATTATTCCAGATGTGACTGTATATTAATCAGTACTGTATCTGGCTGGTCTAGATAAAAAGACAACAACAAAAAAGACATATATAAGTATATTAAAACATTGGTGTATGTGTACTAACTATGTAAGTAAGTAAGTCATATGTCACATGACTTTTTACAAAGCATTTGGGTGTTGGCTGCAAGTTTTTACATTAAAAACCTGTGTCATCACGCCTCTCCCTAATTAGTATGTCAAAGTTTGGACCATTTATCCCCTCACGAAGGGTATTAAATTTTTTTGTGTGGGTTAACTGTATTGGTGGTGTTTCCTTCTTGTGCTCTAGGAGCAGGTTTGATGTGTGTGCTGCAAGAAAGGAGACACAAACTCAGGGGATAAATATTTGATTGCATCCTTGAAACTATTTATAAAGCATCTAAGGAAGACGCATGGCACATGGAGCAGAGTGGGGTGTAGGTTGACAGGGGACATCAAAACTGGGCATGATGCTGAGTTCAAAAGCAGCCAGCTGTTACTAATAAGAGTGTCAGATCTGCTGCTGCCAGTAGGGGGAGACAAAGTGCTGCAAAGTCCCACATGTCTTGAGAAGGGGCTTTATTAACTGTTATTAGAGGGGTTCAAACATGGGTCATTTTTTTTCCTGCACACATAATTTTTGAGTCACACTAAAATAATGTAGTGCTTAAAGGACTGTGTGCAAATAAACAACTAATTAATTCTTTTAAGGTTGTTGAACTGCTTCACAAATAGACCCTGATCTGAATTAGAGCAGGGATCCACAATAAATTCGATTTGTTCGTGGCGACCCGATCGAATCTTACCTTGAGTAAGATTATTAAAGAAACTGTTTTGAAACCCATGGCCATACAGTCATAGAGCTCCTCATGAATGCAACTCGAGTGACAGTATATTGCTGTGGACCACTTATACTCCCCAAGGACGCCTGTGGATCCACAAACCTAACCTTGAGGATGTCTTCTTTTGAGACTGTACAGGAGTTTTGAGCTGTTTGTACATTTTAAGTGAGTTTTTTGCCAAATGTTAGAGGAGTCCTTTTGTTAAGCATCTGGAACTAGATGATAAATGGTGCAATATCTCAGAGCTGAGATGGCACAAAACCTTACAGCGTAATAGAGATGATGCTTAGTGAGTGGGTTATGTAGATTATCCCACTTATTATACGGTGGCAGTACTTACAGTGAGAAATCACTGTAGACATATTTTAATAGATTAAAAAAATAGTCTACTCCTCCAGTATATGAGCTTACTTTACTTTTATCACTCATGTTTCCTCATCACTGTCACTCTTAGGTGTTTTCATTTCCTTTTATCCCTCCTCAAACACCGTCGTATCCCACACATGGTTTTATTCTTAGCTGCTACCTGTTTATACCCATGCAAACATTTTTTTGATCACGGTTGAAATCAAAGATTGTTTACACACGAGTTGCAGATGCAAAAAAAATAGAAGTATGTCTACATGATGCTGTATTTAGTGTGTATGAAAGCTCAAAACAAGAGGTGAGAAATGTGTTGCTGAAAATGGCACGGCAGCCTTGAAAAGATAGGATCGGGGTGGCCGTGGGATATTTGTTTGCAGCTCCTGAAACCATGCCTCTCTCTCTGATTACAGCTACTTAGCGCACGCTGAGATGAAACCGAGCCGCGTGGACAGCCAAGAGATAAAACACGGAGCGGAGAGATAAGTCACACTGGAGGTTTTCAATCCTCTTGATCTCCTATTTGCATCCTCGCTGACGGAGAGAGGATTGTGCCAAGAAAAAAAGGGTCATCCCTCCTTTTTTTTTCCCTCAACAAATCTAACCAGTTTTCAGCCAAAAGCAAACCACGATAAGTAGCCTGAAAAATTGTTGTGTTCCTGTTAATAGATGAGATAACTCTAAGATGTAAATGCTCCATCTCCTCATAAACTGCTAATGGTTTGATGTCTGGAGATGTGCTGCAGTGCTGACCATTTCTCACAGCAGGAGAAGCGTTTCTGCCTGCTCTTGTCTGTACCCATAATTCAACTCTAAATCTGCTTAGGCAGGAGGAGGCTGAGACTCTCCAAGTCTTCAAAATTGGCCTGAGCAGTCGAGCTAGTGAACACCGTGTGCAGAGCAGAGTGTGTTGTGTCTCATCAGCAGTTCTGAGTGACTGAGAAAAATGTGCCTTGACTAGGTGAGTTTTTTTCACTTTAGATGCCATTATAAGTTTAATGCATAGTTAAGTGTGTTTGGAAAGTCCTATACGAGCAAACTTTAGTCCCTCTATAAAGTCTGAGCACATTTTCCCACACGATCTGTGCTGTCAGCTGCACGTTATTGCTTCCTTTTTTTTAACAGCCCAGTTCCCAACTGTGCTGACAGAGACACTGATACAATATTTATAAAAGCTCTACTCTCATTTAGTTGATTTTATCCGAAACACGACACCTGCAACAGCAAAACTTGGAAACAGACTCTGAACCAAATCTTGTCTTGTTGCCTCAAATCATACGAACGCTTACTGACTGCTGATTTATAACTGTTTCAAGTTTTAATGGTTGTCTCATAGTCTAGTATACTTCCCTGAAAAGTGAGAAGAGGATGATGAATTTCTAGTCCATGCAGAAATGGAAAACCTGCAACTTTAAAAGACAGTTTGTGTATGAAGTCTGTTGTGTTTGCAGCTTTTTCCCCTAAAGCCTGTTTGTAGCTTGGGGTTAATTTCTAATCTACTCTGTTTTTTGGGGGGAGCTATCCACAGCAGAGGTTGCGCCCCGTTTTTTATTTTTTGTTTTTGCAGGACAGCAGGGTAAACTGGTTCACCTCATGGACATGGTGGAGATATGACAGGACAAACTACTGTAAAGTCCTAGAGGTGAGAAGCACAGGTCTCCAGCACAGACAGGTTTTGGTTCAGGCACTAACACATATTTCATCACAGGCTGGCTTAGCACAGCTCACCAAGACCAGCCTGAGCCCATGGGAGAAAAAAACATTACAATACGAGAGGAAACCTCCAGAATTGAAAAATGAAGCCAATGTAAAAGTGCAAAATAATACAGCTCCTCTAGTTTCCTCTTGAGGCTGGCTGAGAAAGCACTGGTAGGTCCTGCTTCAACATACTCAAAAGCCTCAACTCTGCTCCTTGCTATAGTTGGATTTCAAGCCCATCTCTTCACGATGCCACAAAGGCTACTCTCATGTTTTTCACAGCCTTTTCTTAGGAGTCTGCTACAACATGCCGAGGTAGGAGTAAAATCTAACGCGTTCACAATTTGATTTATCTTGGGTAAACATGAAAGAGCCAAACTTAACCCCCAGACTACTTTTTTACAGCTTTAAAAAGACAATTATTGTAGGTATTCAGTTGTTGTGTTGATCCTTTCAGGTCTGAAACTCTACATTTCTGTTAATTCCCTGTAACATGTTAGAAATAACATGGAAGCCGCCCTCTACTGGTTGAAATTTTCCTATTGGCTGATCTGGTATCTGCTTTTCGTGGAAGTGGATTGGTGAAACTGAAACCCGATGCAGTGCCAGGCGTCGCTCTCCTAACCGCAGGACAGTCAGTCAACTCTGCTAACACTGAGGTGAGTGTATGAAGAACCTGTTGGGAGGCTGCTAGGGCCCTGCATTTAAAATCAAGTCACCGCTTTGCTGATGTTGTGGAAAGAAACCGCTCTGAAGAATGACTTTGGCAAGGTTTCAGGGTAACATTACCGTAACTGCGGGAGGAGAGAAATTCACCGTTTTAAAATGAGTTTTCTGTTGCCAAAGTTTCATTCCTGCCCCTGGAGTTCTTACTTATGGCTGAATAACTTAGCTCAACAGTCAGTGATCAGTGTGTGCGTGTGTGCATGTGCTGTGTAAACCATAAACTGCTAAGGTTGATGAAGTTAGTGGGCGTGTCTCCCTCATGTTAAGGAAATGCCTCCAGTCATTTGTCGCAACCTTGAATTTCTGTACAATGGAAGTTCCTCGGTATGCTACTCATAGACTGTATATACTATGGACAACTTGGTTCCTCCTTCCGCCAATAGACGTATTTAACGCCAAAAAACTCTCAGTAATTCTGCGTTTTCTCTCCATTTCCTGAAACAAACATTGCGCAGTAGTGTTGTATGCATTTGGCAGAGTTGCCGAGAGTCGCTGTAAAGGCGCCATCTCTACAAAGTGTCTATCATAGAAACATGAACCCCCTAACAACTTTTAAAAACGGAGCTGTACAGAAAAAAGAGGACTTGAGCACAAACCAGTCTTACAATGACTAAATGTCAACATTTCAAGCAGAGGGGGGAAAAATTTATGTTCTGTGTAATAAATTTCTAAAGTTTGTCTAAATCCCCATAAGACTTGCTGGTGGAGGCGGGGTTTATGACCTATACTGCAGCCCATCACCAGAGGGCGCTGTTCTCCGGGTGGCTTCACCCAGCGAGGAAGCAGACAGTGTTTATTCTATATACAGTCTATGATGTTACTTCGGTTTGTGGCTCTGTCGTACATTTTTGAGTTTGCATTGAAGACATTGTCATTTTAGATTATTGTAGCCAGGAATGACCATATTTGGACAACAGGAAACACATCCATTACTGAACTTTCTATCTTTATTAAGAGTTCGCAGAGTAACTTGTCAGTCACATCCTCAAGCGTACCCTACTTTTCTGTCTGTTTTACTCTAAACTGCACTGATTGTAAAATTAATATAACGCTGCATGAAGAATTTGGCCTAGAAACCATGAAATTCAAGTTAAATGGTTACTAAGGGAATAAACCAATAGTAGTAATGCCATGGTCTTAGACTTCAGTGCTGTCTGATGTATTTTTTTCAGTGCTCCCCTGCTTTGATTTAACTTTTTTGCCCTCTTGGCAGCATTTTTTTTCTTTTATACATGTCTTTGATGCTGATCTGTTTGATACTTTTTCAGATATTCTAGTCTGGATTGAAGTGGTGGACCAGCAGAGCAACACTGGCATGATGCTTTCATGGTTAATAAATGCACTTATGACTCTGAAAAGCTACAGTATACCTTAAACATATAGATTTAAGTTATTTATATCGAAACAACAAGAAAAATGATGTTGGTTTATGATTAATGCTCACTTCGTGACTCTTTTCTGAATGAGTTGTCAGGACTAGATACGTGCAGCCACAAAGCTCTAAATATTGAATTTTGGCCCCTTCAGCCACTCTCTAATTAACCTCGACAATATGGTTTAAAACCCCCCGTCGATACTGATTTGACCAGCCGAATTTAGTTAGCTTTTTTCCACATCCAAGAATTGGGCAGTTGCAGCCAAGCTCAACACAGCCCACTCTCTGCTGCTTACAGAGAACACTTAGCCTATTGACACAGACTCAGAAAAGTGCTTCAGGCTTTTCCAGTACACACACACACACACACACACACGCACAGTTACAAAATGGTTTACCAACACTTCCTTCAGCATCGCATTATCTAAAAATACACAGATAGCTCAGGCCCACTTACTGTTACCAGTTATGTGACCATGTTTGTTTTAAAATGTTGAAAATGTATTCTGACAAGTGTGACAGGAAGAAGCTGACCAGAGGCACACAGTGTGATGTTAATTCGGAGTGAATGGCGCTGTTTATAAGAGTGTAGAGTCAAATCTTTGCGTCCAGCTCCTGTTTGATGTTATTGAAGCTATTTCTCAGGCATTAAATGCAACAAAAAAACCCAAGCACCAAAGCCATATTAGAGATCCATTTAGCCTTTAATTGCCTTGGCTTGTTTTGCAAAGAGCACTTCTGCAAATCACTTAATTAAATCACTTAGATCATGAAAATCAGCTTATTAATCTGTATTTCATGCATCATGGTAAGACGATATGTTAGAGCTTGTACAGGAGGTCTATGATCCACGATGGCCTTTGTTCTATATTTACTTACAAACAGCCTTACAATTAAAAAAAGAATAAATCACAAGTCCTTGAATCACAAATGTAATCTCTCTTTTGCCGGAGGTTATTTCCAAGTATTATAACATGAATTATTTACTCACTCATCCAGATTTACTCAGCCAGCTCATTGCATCGCTGTATTTCATTGGAGTGTTACCTAAAGGCTACAGACAATAGGATACTGTGGATCTCATTTCACACGGATGGTTTTAAGATGTCAGGTAGATTGATGTCTCTGTGAAAAGATTTGACAGCTGATACTCTATTTTTTTTTTGTTTTAGCATGTCACACAATCCAACAGAGCAGCTCATCGATGTGAATGAATCATTTTAAACCACTGCGGTCGATGATACAAACGAGGAACGAACTATGCTGATCATGGTAAAGTGTGATAGTCTGTTTCTGGTCTAGAGACTCCTCAAAGCGCTTTACACGATATCACATTTGCAGACTGATGGTAGAGGCTGCGGTGCGAAGTCACAATCAGAACTCATGGACTCCATTCAGACGCCACTAGCATCGCAATCAGATATGATTCAGAGTTTAGCGTCTTACCCAAGGATACTTAAACATGTAGAGGCGCTTACAGGTTGAAAAGGAGACGACCAGCTCTACTACTGATTAATAGGAAAGTGTACTAAATTATGTTATTTTTATTATTAAAGTTACCTTGATTTTTAGAATGAATGCAAAACCTGGATTTTTAAGTCAATAAATCGTTGCATTTTGCTTCCACTTGTGCCCCAATTAAACCACGATATCTGCATGGAATTTTAAATCTAACCACAAATGTAAACCCTACATATATTCATAATAATAAAGTCTAATTAGCTGAGTGAAAAAACCTGAGGCTGAAACACGCTTTCACAAACAGAAACAGACTTTTTAGATTTAGATTTTCCCATACAATCACAAGAATATCTTTAAAAACAGAAACATGGATGTTTATTTTCATCAAAATCTGCTGGATTCAAGTATCAAAATTTACAAAACTAAAAAATATAATAAAAACAGAAGGACATGTGTTTTTTGCTCAAGTTGCCAAATATGTCTCTCCCAGGAAAATATAAAATTCAAGCCGTCCATTGAGGACACAGGGGGTCTCCTCGTGATGCAGACAGTCTGAGGCAAGAGTCAATGATCAATCAATGAGCCTGCAGCCGGCAGGATTCTTCCTGAGCCGGGTGCTGGATACCCCACCATCCCTCTTGAAGCTGTCTGTACTGCTGCGCTTCAAGCCACTGCAGAGGTGGATGAGCTATCACTGCACACGACGCCCACAGAAAGAGCCGACAGCACAGGTTTGTTGATGTCTAAGAGTACGAAACAGAGCGGCCCTGCAGGGAGAAGTCCTCTGTGATGGGAAGGGGAACAAAAGAATTTGCTGTACTTTTCCTGGTCTTTCCCTGAGCTGTGTGTTTGTCCACGTCTGTGAGTCTCAGTCTGCAGAACTATCGGTCGAGCTCTTCTCACCTGCAGCTTTCCAGTTTTTCCTCTTCTTTTTTGAGTATGGGCCTGAGTCTGAGTCTTTGTGGGAGCTCTGCTTTCGCTTTTTGCGGCTGTGAGTCCGTCTCTCGCTTTCTTCTTTGTCATTACCTTCCCCAGAGCTACTGTCTTCGTCTCTCCCTCGTTTTTTGGCAGTTTTCTTGTCCTTATTTCGACTTTTATTCTTTTTTCTTCGCAGCTTGTCTTTTTCGTCACTGCTGTCATCACTGCTGCTGGAGCTCTCTGCTTTTTTACGTTTACCCTCGTCTTCTGTCTTCTTTTTCTTTTTTTTCTTGCGGGAGGATTTCTTTGAACGTTTCGATAGGCTTGTGTCAGCTTTGGACCTTTTCATTTTGTGGCGCCCCACTTTCTTCTTGGCATTGTTTTTCTCACTGAATACAGAAAATTTAAGAAAAATAAATTAAGACAGGCAGATCTTTGTAAGGTTTCATGGACGACATAATCATCCTGAAGAGGAAAACAACAACTGTACTTCACACATAACTATCGAGTCATCAGCTGTAGGGGGTAGGACAAACAGTGGAGGTTTAGGATGGGCTAAAAAAATAAACGAGCTGAAATAAAATAACCCTTAATTGAGTTTTTAGGGTTTTCTCAGTCTTGATTTGCAGAATTTATTTAGCATACTTAAAGTAAAACATTGTAGGACATTCATGTCATGCCAGGGCTAGAGATGCCTGAAATCCTTATGTTAACTTGAAAGTGCTCTCATCTTTTGAATGTAATTGATAACAGGGTTGGTTTTTGGAGGATGAAAGTGCTAAAAATGGTTGTTTAGTTGTCATGTTAGTGCCAAACTGGGTTTACAAAGTTACAATATGATTGATATGAACGCCTTATTTTGGGAGCAGGACCTGGTCAACCCCCATAATATCTTACCCTTCCCTGCAAGGACCTTAACAGTATTTTTCTCATGTTTTACCTCCATTATCCCTAAGATAATGAAACTCTTGCTTGTTGCAGTGCTGATATTTTACTTACCAATCACTGTCAAACTCCTCTGGATAAAGCTCTTTGAATCCACTGTGTCCCCACCTGTGATGTGAATAAAGAAGATGTCTGACTCTGTAAAACTGACTAGACTGTCGATCAATTGCGCTACCCCTTAAATAAATTAGATATTTGTTTATTTATTCACTTCCCATTATTCATTTAAATTAAGGGAGAACAATACTTTGATGATTTCACTTCTCAGACTAATTATGAACTTAACCTTTCAGGATCTTTGGCCTCAAATTCATACAGTTTCCGTGTCCAGTATCGAGCATCTCTGTCGTCATGTTCAGACGCTCCCTCCCCACTTCCACCAATGTCTCTACGTTGGTCCCGATCACAGTGCATTCTTCCCCTGAAACGAAAACCATCCATCAACCATGGCCACACACCAGGCAGCAAGATATTGCACTGTAGCAGCCCTCTAAACTGAGGGCTAAATAATGAAACACACTCCCAGATGGGCTTCAGTGTCACTCCTGTTCAAAGGGCTTAAATTAAACGGGGACCTAACATTAACAGCTCTTACCTCGCTCGCTCTGTATCTGACAAATGTTTGTGATGGGACATCTGGATCTCCATGCCTCGCATTTTCCACATCTCTATCTCCTCCTGGATCTAAAGTGGGTCAACAAAAGTAAGTACATTAAAAAGTGCTGCTGCATACACACTAACACTCTCACTCCATACAGTTTGATCGATTCATTTCTAAGCAGTTGGAGTTCATAAATCAACCAAATTATTTATGTTTCTTCCTTTCTTACAAAACAGAGGCATCACTCTTTAGCCACTTTTTTAGGTACTCCTATTCAACAGCTTGTTAAAATTAAGTTTCTAATCAGCCAACAGTACAGCAGCAACTGAATGCATTTAGGAAGCTAGACATGGTCAAGATGATAAGTTAAAACCAAGCATGAGAACAGGGAAGAAAGGTGACTGAAATGACATTCAGTTAATCAATCAATCAATCAATCAATCAAACTTTACTTATAAAGCACTTTTCCTACAGGAATGTGACTCAAAGTGCTTTACAGTCAAGTTAAAAACAAAAAACTATCCCAAATGCCCCCTGACCCCACACCCCCACATACACACTTTAAGAGAATGGGCATGAGGCTGAGTGCAGATGAACCAGTTGAGAAAGCGCAATCAGAGGAGCCGTCAGCACCAGGAGCAGAGAGCCGCCTGCAGCCACAGGACACTGACACGGGGCCAGCGGAGGGATGCGGATGACAGCAACCTCCACCAGGAACCCCGAGGCTGGGCCCTGCAACCACAAGCGACCACTGCTCCCGGTGCGGAGGTCCTAAAAATAATAAAAGGATAAAAACAGGTAAAAAACACAGACCTAAAATAAACCTCGGCTAACTAGGATAAATAAATGAAGATAAAACAAGACATTGGGTGTAGCATGGTTGTTAGGTCTGTAAGTTTTCAGAAACTGCTTATCTAGAAGGATTTTCACATGCAACAATCTCTAGGCCTATAAAGACTGGTCAGAGACAGAGAAAATATCCAGTGAGGTGCAGTTCTCTGGCTGGAAATGGTTTGTGATTGCAGAGGTCAAAAGGGAATCGCCAGACAGGTTTGAGCTGATAGAAAAAGCAACAGAAACTCAAATAACCACCCCTTAGAACTGGGGTGCACAGAGGAACATCTCTAAATGTGCAGTATGTCGAAGCCTGAGGGAGACAGGCTACAGCCAGGCTCCTGTCAGCGAAGAACAGGAAAGTGAGGCTACAATTTCACCAAAATTGGACAATCAAAGATTGGAAAACCATTACCTGGTCGGATGAGCCTCAATTTCAGCTGTGACATGAGGATAGGAAGGTCAGAATTCAGCATAAACACTATGAGAGTATGGATCCATCCTTCTTTCTGTCAGACTCTGGCTCTGGTGATGTGGAAGTGTGTGATACAATTGAGCATAATCTAAACATCAACTAATCTCAAATACCCAGATCTCATCCAATAGTGAAAGATACACATCAGTGATGTACAGGTAACAGATCTGCAGCAAAGCACGATGCCACCACATCAATACATCAATAATAAGGACGAAAACCTCTGAGAAATGGCTCTAATGTAAGGGTATCTGGGTTTTAAGTGTTTCCGGTGCTCTCACTCAGACTCACCTTGTTGTGAGCATCAGTTTGTCGGATTACATTCCTCAACAGAGTCTTCCCCGACGTCTGTTTCGGCATGATGACACCTGGAATAAGACAAGTAAGTCATAACTTTAGTTTCAACATCTGACTGACCATCTTCTCCGAGTATTAAAGCTGTAAACTCTCAGATACATCCACTCAAACAGCGCCTGTTAGCCTAGCACGCTAGCTATCGCTACTCTAAGCAACTGTGTTAACACGCGTTAAAACTGCTCCGTTCACCGAGCGACAAAAAACAACAATGGCGACACACGAATTGTGGTGTCGCCAACTTGTAAAAACCGTACCTTTTTACAAACGAGGAGTATTCAACGAGGACAACAAACACAAACGGTAGCTTCTACCGGTACTCTGTTCTAGCTAGCAATGTTGTCGCGTATACTACGTCACTGCAACCTGGACTGTGATTGGTCCGGCGGTCTGCCAATCATTGTGTCAGGAGCTGGAGCGACGCAGGCCCTGTGTTTTGACAATATGCATAAATTCAACGTCGAGTTTGTTATCACAAGTGTCGATTAACACTTAACAGCTGTATACAATTTCTTTTGCTTTTGCATTATTTTTCTCTTGGTAAAAAATGTTGTTAAAAAAAACCTAGAGTCTGTAAAAATTAAGTCTGAAAGTTTGAAGAGCAATAGTTCATTTTACTGAAGAAGAAACTCTTTCATTAACATGTGGCGGGTGAAATTAATGGAAGAGGGATTGAAGAAGAAAGGCCATGCTCGTGGTTCTACCAGGGGTAAGTCCATATTTTTTCTGGTCTAAGGTATGATGCTCTATTTAACCCTCGAAAATTTAATCCCAGTTTCAGACTTTAACTCCAAGCCATGCTGCGACCCTCTCAATGAAAATGAAAATATTACCTCCTGGTATGGAAAGCCGTTCGAGCATTTATTCGATACTCTGAATAACCAGTGATATGTTCCTGTAGGGGAGAGTGGGGTTAGGGTTAGGGTTAGGGTTGGAGAACTAGTATGGGAGAGTTGGGTAAGATGAGCCATTTTTCATATTTCAATCACTACATTAAGTCAATCATAGTTTTGTCTCTAACTAACTGTATCTGCATATATTTCAAGATGTTGTACATCCTTGCAAACCGACAGAATGAGTGTAAACATAACTGTCTTGATAATATAAAATGCCAAATAAAAGTGGTCCCCTATTGTGAACTTACCTTGTGTATGGGATAAGTTGAGCCATATCCCTTCAAACCCATGCTAGGTTTTTGACCTTATGTTGTAGCTCATAGATACTACAAATGATGTATAAAACAAATTTAAAATGATCTTTTTTGGTCTGAAAACAATTCTAGTAAAACTTATGGCGGACTAAATTCACTTTCAAGAGTGAAAAATGTTTTTTTGGAAAATAAATGTCTAACCCCTTCACCCATGTGCTTCTAACCTTCACAGACTCCATGAATTGATGCCCATCTCCTAAATATTTGGTCACATTATCTTTTTTTTTTTTTTACTATTTCCAAGTAACAGGGGGTGGCTCAACTTACCTAACTCCCCCCTACTTAATATTGAATAAATGTTTAAATGGCTTTCCATACCTGAACGACCCTTTTTGTTGATAACAAATCTACATAGAAAGAACATAGGAACTTCTGCCTACTATGAGAGCAGCAAATATGCCTAACATCAGGTTTTGGCATCCAGGTTCACAGGCCTATTATGTAAATCCTGAATGATAATAGAAAGAGATTTCCTTCCCCATGAGTGCTTATGAAATGAGACACATGTAGTGTGGAAAAGCAAAAAATATGAGCAAGGTAAAGACAGAAATATTCCAAATATGTAAATGTTTGCTGTACTGAGATCAAGAAAATGTCGTGGAGATACGCAAAACATACTTGGTAGGAAATGTTTGTGAGTTATTTGTAGTTGCTGAAAGATCCAGGCTACTGCTGTCCTACTTAATCAGATATAAATAGGGAGACAATTCAAAGCTGCAAGGAAAGACAGCACATGCTATCTTTTCTCTCTGCATCCTAAACAGTATTTAAAACCGACCCAAATAAAAAAAGCAAACTTCTACTAAAAGCACATCCCTCAACCCAGTTCATTTTCCTCAGAGGGGGACACGGGATTCGTCATATCCAGCCGCTCAGGGTTGGATCATCACTCCTGGCAACATACTGCATGCTCGTGCATGTGAGACACTTGGGTGATGGCTTAGTTTGTAATAACTAATCAGGCTGTTTAGAAACTCTGGAAGTAATGCAAGACAATATTTCAGAGGTTTAACAAGGAAGCACTACTTAGCCCAATTAGAGGCTCTTCTTGGTATTCAACTAGGTTAGATGATAGTGCTCTGTAGAACTGCTGTTAAGAGGATAGCTGTTTTTCCTCCAGTATTACCCAAAGGGAATCCTGTTACTGTATATATATATGACTAAATTTAGATAGGTGCCTGCAGTGTTATGGCACCTGCACAACAGATAAGAGAGTCTGAAATAGGCACTGACAGTTATGCTCTACATACTCATAAACTCCACTTTGAAGCTGCTGCACACCTGGGCTGCAGACATTTCAGCAGTCTGACCAGCTTGAGCTCTGATATCACACTGACAAAACAGGCATGATTTTCTGAACTGAAAAACTAAACCTTGCTGGGGTTTGTTTCTTCCCCCTCATCCATCTATCAGTTCTTGTCAGGATGATCGATGCTCAAACCCTTCACATTGTCACGTCAATCACTGTTGAAGGGTTTCTGACATGAATCGCAGACAGCTGATAAGAAAGAAATATTCCTTTGTTGTCTGTGTTTTCTTCTTAAAATAGACCATCAGCTCACTCCTCACTAAAGCAGAGTGTTTAATCTTTGTTGGTTCACGAGTCAAAGCAGATTAAAGGCGGTTGTGTCGATTAAGTTTAATGTATAACTCCTCAAGTATCGACTGCTGAACTGCCATTCAGAGTGATGATTTATATTTTCTCAAATATTATGCATAGATTTTTCTCCAAGAAGAAAATGTTCAATATTGATGGTCAATACGGTTAACTGGAAGGTGTCGCTGCATGTTAAATAGTTTTCCTGTATGTCATCACATTTAATACTCCATGTTTCAATTCAATAATTTGTTTTCATTGATTACTTATTGCAGTGTGTCTTCGGTTTTGTTTAAACACAAAGGGGTGCATAAAGTTGTCTACTGACTTGCTGACTTTTAATCATTTTTCAATATCTGTCGTATCACCTCCAAAACAAATAGACAAATCAAACAGCCGACCAGCCGCATTGATTTGGCTACAATAGTGGATGTTAATTTTTTGGAGGGGCTTAATCAGTCTTTGGTTATTCTTGCCAATCTGATTGAAGGTCACTATAAAATAGGAAGAAAAATGAAACTCTTGCTTTACTGCAAGCACAATAAAATTCACAATCAGAGCCCATTGTGCCCATCCAAACAATCTGTTCTGTTTTAGTAACTCATTTGATTTACAAATTTGTGGACTGCATACGGTCCCTGTGGCATAGCGGCTTTCTTCTCACCTCCCCAGCAGTGGAATGACTTTCCCTAAGCTCCCTGAACAGGCATTTCTCTCTTTATGAAATATCGACATGTGAGCAGAATAGAACTATCATTTGTACCTTTATTCACTGCAACACATCTTTGTCTTTCATTCTCCTGTTTTCATTATTTAAGCAGCCTTGACACAAAGGTCTGTTTCAGTGCACCTACTCTGTTCCTGGATTTGTTATTTTCTTTAAAAGTTTCATCAAATATTCTAAGAGAAGGTGAACAAAAGAGACAGCAGCAAATGTGTGAGAACTGTCCAGGTGCAGGTTGTTAAAAAGGTGCTGTTACCAACTCTCCAAGAGTTGCTCCTTCAGCCCAGTATTTATCCCACTTGTTCTTGATAAACGATGTTCCGGCCAAGCTGTTTAACGTCAAACCAACTTGACTCACTCGCTTTGAAGATCATGGTTTGAGGCTCCTTTTCAAAGTGTGCTAAAATTGAGTTGACATCCAAACCTCACTCTGGGTTAACTTAAAACCTGACATTGAGGTTTATGTCAAAACTTAGCTTTTGGATGACATTGCCATCTGATGTTGGTTTAATGTAAAAAAAACAGCCTGTTACTGGGATGACTTCAAAACCTGGCACTGGCATGATGTCCACATGTGACTTTTGGATGACTCCAAAGCTTGACGTTGGCCATGATGTCCATATGTGATATTGATTTTATGTCAAAATCTGATGTTGGTATGAAGTCAACATGTGACATTTGGATGATGACAACATCTGACTTGGTTTGATATCCAAACCTGACATCAGGATGAAGTCAAAGCCTCAGTGTGTTTGATATTGAAACCTAATGTTGGGATGATGTCAAATGGGATGTTGGTTTGATATGGAAACCAGCCTGACATTGAGATAGTGTCAACATCTGTCGTTGGTTAGATGTCAAAATGTGAGGTTGGGATGATGCCATGATCTGACACTGGGGTGATGTCAAAATGTGTCATTAAGATGACTAACGTGACATCCTGACCGACTCCCTTTAAGAACTCTATTGATCCCCAAAGCATAATAATAATAATAATAATAATAATAATAATAATAATAATAATAATAATAATAATAACATAATAATAATAATAATGATAATAATAATAATAATGATGATGATGATGATGATGATGATGATGATGATGATAATAATGATGACAATAACAATAATAACGATAATAATAACAACAAAAATAATAATAATTATTATTATCATTATTCTTATTCTTAGAAATATTATTATTATAATCATTATTATTAATCGTGTCATATTTATTATTGGTAGTATAACTAATATTATTGAGGGCCTGTAAACAGCTGATGTTTAATGTCAAAATATGATTCTTGATGATGATAAAGGCAAGATATTACAGCACATTATATCAAAGGGAAAAAAATATAAATTCATCCTGGTAACTAACTGGAAAATATGAATTCATAATTAGATAATAATCTGTTTTAAAATTTACATTTAATCTGATTAGTTTTGCAATCAAGAGCCAAGCCTTCTTCTTAGATTCGGACTGTGGCTAAAGGTTCAATCCAAAGATTTCTCGTTAAATTTTATGATGAATATGGAGCTTTTCGATTTTGGTGCCCTCTTGTAGACAAAAGCAGGCTTTGCTAATTTTATCCTCGCTTAAATAGTTCTATTTGGAAATTGGCGGGTCCTTTAGCTGATTTGCTGGCACTGACGCCCTTGCCTTGGTTTTAGACATTGAAATAACAGTATAAAAAATATTTTATTCTGTTGCTGATGTTCTTGTTTGCTTTTAGATGTAATGGAAAGGCATCAATGTGAAATTTCTGTTTATTCCATACATCAAAAGACTCCTCACAGGAGCTTTAACATGTATAAAACTGACTTTTTCTCTGAAAATACACTTTAAACTTAATTAATCATTAAAATTATTTGTAATTGATCAAATCACTGCCTTTGACTATTCTTCAGCTGTAGGTCTTTGCCTCATTTGTAGGTCTCATTGCCTGTAACTCTGATGCTGCATCAGTCTGGTGATCTGTTCATTGCCTCTTTCCAGCACAGGAGCTCATTAGAGCATGCGGGGATGGTGCTCATACAGAATTTAAGACACTGTCAGTTTGCTCTGTGCTGAAGTGCAGGCTGCCACACGGAGAGCCATTTCACATGATGACACCAGCAACATTTCTAACAGCATAATGACAGAGTGCTCAGCCAAAACGCCTTTCAACGGAGCACTTTACTCTACAGCTTCACACGTCAGAGGAAACCTTTTGTTTCTGTTGACTGCTACTTTTATTATAAACCTGACACTTTTTACACTTTGCCTTAATCTGATGGCTGTGGTGTTTCGGGATAGTCTTTAAACAGCTAACTTTTTTGAAGGCTTTCTGTCACAATGGCAGTCAAAATGGCTGTTTGCCTCATATATTAACTTACAATGGAGGACATGAAAAACAGCTGTAATTGTAGGCTTATATGTGCATCCATAAATACTATTTTTGGCTGCTTTTGAGGCAACATTTTTCAATATTTATATGTAATTAACTGCTCATGTGTTTGAGCTTGTGTGGTATGTTGTTTTTGTTGGTGGACAAGCCTGTGATTTTATAATGGAAGAGAGTCATTGGCCATCTCTGTGCAGTTTTCTTTTTTTCAGACCATATGTGAGCTTCTTATTTTAGCTGCGGTGACTTACATTGCACCAAAAAAAAAAAAAAAAGAAAGAAAGCAAAGGGGAGAGAGGGAAGGAGAAAATATCCCTCCTCCACCCCCTTTGAAAAGAGAGAACAGGAGACAGGAGGGAGGAGGAATGAAGGAGAGAGAGAGAGAGGGAGAGGGAGAGAGAGAGAGAGGAGGGGGAGGGTAAACACACCCAGACAGAGCCATGTCTGACATCCTCGCTCACTGAAAGAAGGAAGGACTGCTACAAAGCCAGAGCGACCGAGCAGAAGGAACGGAGGGGAAAGAGAGGGGAGGGAGGGCCGAGGGAATAAATGCAAACAGACCGGTGGAGAAAAAAGGGTGAAAAAGATGCACAAGAGCTGCATCAGTTCTTGTCCGCAAGGAACAAAAAACATTGTGTTCGTGAATGGGAGCTGGTGTGTGCAATGAGAAACCAGGCAGACTTCAGACGCTGGTGTTGCTGAGCACCAATCCTCTCCCTCTCTCTCTCTCTCTCTCTCTTTCTCCCTCTCTTTCTCTCTCTCCTCCGCCTGACACGACCTGAGCCGGGTATGATTTAGGGAAAGAGTTCAGAGGTTTGCAGCTTTATGTTTTTGTAAATATGCAGCTGGAGAGGATTTGAACGTGCTGTTATTTCTGATTGAACACAGTGTGCGACGTGGAGGCTCCTCGTGTTGCTGCTTCCAGGGCTGCTCCCCTCCTCACTGCCTCTGACTGTGTTTGGGCGATGGTCCTGGCTGTGAAGCAGAGCATCACCCAAATGCCGGGCTCCGACTGTATGGGAGGTTAAGCCGGTAGACAGCAGCATGGGAGCCAAACAGATGAAATGGTAAGAGCTGATTTTGTATCATCAGTTTAACATTAATGGCGCTCTAGGCTGCTATTTTTGTCTGCATCGCATCAGCAGCAGTTATACAACACATCAGGCCTAAAATTCAGGAGACTTCACATCATGTTATTCAACAGCGTAAGCATAAATATATATTAGCAATCGATTTCTCCATAATATTGTGACTGATGCTCTAACTGTGCAGGTTATTGTTCAGTGTTTACAGGGCAGTAGGCGTGGGTGTGTCTCTCTGTGTGTGTCTGTGAGAGCTCAGCTGCTATCACCTAGCAACCACAAAACTTCCATTACCTGCTCATCCATTTCATGATTGAAATGAAATAAGGTTATGTCCAGTTACATCTCAAAACCTTGCTTTGAAATGGACCTATTTTGATGCTGAATATTAAAAAAAAAAAGGCGCCAACTTTAACCAGACTTTGTTCAGTGTTTACTATCAAACCAGCTATGAGTTTCATCACTGTCCGGTTGTTTAAAACATATTTTTGAATAAAAAGGCATCTGACTGGTCTGGGTAATGCTCTGATGAGTAATATGCTCGCTGTTGAGAGGAGGGCTACTTAGTCAGACAGGTAAAAGTGCCAAACTAAAGTGTGTAAGTCAGAACATACAGGGCAGAATCAGATTTCGTTTACCGCTTTTTAGTCTACACCTGAGACGACGTAATAATAATGATAAATAATAAGGTGGTTCATCATGGATACATATATAAATATCTGGGACTATCCCTTTATCTTGCTTTTTTGTTCCTCAAAATTTTAAGTGTATTTTACCTGTGATCAAACTGATTAATGTATCTAAATAGAAAGTCCTTGGAAATTAAGAATGGCTAAAAATTGATGAAATGTCTTAAATAAGACTTCGATACTTTCAGAAATATTATTATCTAATCGCATTTTCACGCATTTCATTGTACAGTTACTGGAAACCCCTGACAGTAAGAAAAATGAAGCTGATTAAAAAGTCCAACATTTACCCCTAAACAAAGCACCACAAAGATAAAACTGAGTCTAAAACAGAGGTACTAATTTAAAGTGCCTCCCCCTAGACAACTTTCCAACCCTGCTGATTAAATGCTGTAAATCTGTCGCTCTGAAGCTCATCTCACGCAAATCCCAGTGCTAATCTGCGGCTAACCCATATGCTCTAAATCTATCTGCAGCCTTTGTATTTCTTCTTTTTGCACAATAGTTGAGCATTGAGTGACGAAGGTAAATCTGTCAGTTTATTGACCTAATGCACCCCGAGACAATGAAAGAGGATATTTCGATAATGTCATCATCTGCAATGATGAGATTAGTTGGAGGCCGCTGCTTTGATCCCCTTTGACGGACTTGGGGATAATCACGGCAGCATCTGATAAGACACTCGGCTGATATGACCCGCTGTAATTACTCGTCCTGACAAACCGCAGGGAAGAAACTGCGCAAAGTTTCTCACTTTGAAAGTGTAGCCAGACGACTTTTATAAGATCTAACTCAGTAAGAACTGTAATTCATATCTTACAGTTAATGTCATGTGTTTGCCTCAAGAGTTTGAGGACTATTTCTAATAAACAGAAGATGTTTGCAGTCTATAAAGGCAGATTTTTACATCTGTAGAGTCAACAGGAACACTGCTGTGATGTACTTCACCACCTCATTTCGCTCCCAGCTGAAACAAAACCATGTGAGTGTGAAGGAGCTCTTCAAGCTAATGTTGGTACTCACTAAACTTCCCATCTAGTGCTGTCGTGAATTGATGAGACCCACAGCACCAAAACTTCAGATGTTCCAAAAGATGATTTAATACCACATTACCTGCAAAAAGATCCAGTAAACTTCAGCTTCACTGTGTCTTCAGAGCTGATTTAACAGCTCGCTAACTTGCTAAGCTAAGATGGTAGAAATGAAATCAGATCTGCTTTAGTTGTGTGTGAGAGGTAGCTTTTGCTAATGCCAGATTACTCTGTTCCCCATCTTGACCCTTGATTTTAAGCTCATAGGTGTTACTAAAAACATTTTAAAGAAAACTTTTGAGGCTAGCTGTTAGCTCTACATCATAGTTGTTAGCAGTTAGCTATTGTTACCCTGACCGCTGTTATACTGTAAATTACTGTTTATGGTTCTGAGCTGTTATGGATCAAACAGCCCCAGCTTTTGGTTGGGATACAAATCTAGCCTCTCCTTTTCTTTGTTTGGATATTTTTGTGATACACTGAATCAACAAAGAGCTGTCAGGTGGGCCTGTCCTTTAGCAATGTCCTAATAAGACAAGCTGAACTTGATATCACATGTTAGCCATGACTAGAAACAAGCTGTGCAGTGCAGTGGATCTGGAAAAAAGTATCACATGAAGAAAACCTCCAGCAGTTTGTTGTAATAAAGTCCTTATGCTTGTTTTGTTTTTTTTAACTATATCCTGCTACAGGCAAAAAGGCAGTCATAGTTTGTCCAGGGTCCCTCCTGGCCCTCCTTGTAACCACCTCTTTCATATTCCAACCAGCTTTTTACTTATCAGTCTGTGAACTTTTTGTATTGCTGCCTTGTTGTCTTTTTGCAAGATGTCCTGTACTCAAACGTTCAGATGAAAAGTAGCTTTCGTGCTAATCTCGACATATTTACACAGATGCATATTGATGATAGGTTAATTCATGAGCACTGTCCTACTTCAGGAAGTTTGTTAGAAAATAATGAGGGCGAGGCAGCTTTGATGAATTTAAACATTGCTTATCCCTGCAGTGGTTCAGCATTTTTACCATTCGAGCTGCATCCGAAACATCCCCCTCTTCTTTTTCCAACTTGAAGTGCAGAATAAACAACAAACAACCTTCACCAATCTCTGACAGTCTTCCTAAGAATAGACTCTCAGAGCTGCTGGCACGATCGCCATCTTAGATACAGAACTAATGCGCACTTTGCTATGAGCAGAAAAAGGATTTTACGCATTATTATATCATTATGAGACTATGAACTAAAATGAACAGATATTATGAGTGCTGCTGCTCACTGTGTGTTGTGTTATTTGCTCAAACTGAATGATGCTATTAGATATGCAGAAAATCTAATTAACAACATTCTTAATCTTGCAGCATATGTATGGAAATAACATGTTACTCTGTGATTTCCTCGGGGATCTCTTGGTTTGTAAACACAGATTTATCCCACACTGAAGTCCAGAGTTATTTTTTTTCTTGGCCTGAGGAGCAGAGTGATTTATTGTGATACTTTTCTGCTCCTTCTCTGGAAAAGAGTTTAGGTCTGTTTCCGCAGACGCAGGCTTGTTTTCTCAGGCAGACACAGAAGCAAAAAAAGAGGGATCCCCAGCAAAAGGACCATGCATAATGCCATAGGTCATAGGTCACAGATACGGTTGAGTATTTTTCCAAACACAGAGGAGTGAAGGTGACAGCCGGAGTGTCCTCCGGCTACCTCAGATACTCTCAGAAGACATAAAATGTATGTTCATACATGCTGCAGCACAAACCAGAGATCCAGAAGTCGTGGCAGGAAGATGTTTGAAAATTTTGGAGGAAGGGGGAGCAAACTATGTCAAGAATTTCCTGTGAGAAAAATGACAGAGTCGCTTGCATTCTTGCCCCCGCTGTATTTACCGAGCAGGTTTCAATCCTGTTCTGTCTTGTGTTTTTATAAATGTTCTTAAACAGTCTGTCTGTGATGCGCTCTGGTCCTCCAGGCTCTACTTGTTTAAAACAGATATGGTTTAAAATATTTAGCCCAGATGGAATTAATTCACATTTTTATGCTCCTTGGGGAGTTATTTAGGCGTACATTTCCATTTTATGTGGTTGGGTTTATTTATTGCCATTTGTTTGGCAGGAGATGCCAAACGCTCACTCCTGCCTGTGCCTGCCATCTGTTTCAGCCTCAGCTCAGCCAGCCCTGCTCACTCCCCTAAAGAGGAGTATGTTATCACCCAGGCCACTGACACCCCCAAAGAGGAAACACTCCGCGATCAGTCTGAGGACCAGGGGGAACCCTGGGATGACAAATCTGAGTTGACAGAGAAGAAATCAGTCGCAGGTTGGTTGGCTGCACATCAACTCTAGTAGAGAAAGATACGAATGAATCCCTGCAAATAAAAGAAACCCTCTTTTGCCTCATCCTTTCTGTTCACTCTGTCGCTTCTTTTCAGAGGAGGTGTCTCTGTGTGGACTGTGTCCCTCCCTTGGGCAGGATGGGCAGGAGGAGGAGAAGTCCTGGGAGGAGCAGCTGGACGCCCACCAGGAGCAGCTGGAGAAGGAGATGCAGGAAGCCAGGAGGATGGTGTTCCGCCTACAGGTAAGTCCGGCTGGTTAACCACTGAAAAACAAACTCTGCTGCTGCTGTATGAATAAACTGGCTGCGAGTAAACAGACCACAGATACAGCGAGGAAGACGAGAGCACAAAATGAACATCCGGTGAAACTTCAACATCAATCACGATTCATTAATCTCTTCCCTCCGACTCGAGTAAGCAAAAATTTGATTTTGAGAAATGATTATGGGAAATTAAAATAACTTGAGAAAATAATTACAGAATAAAAGACATTTCATTTTCATTATCAGGCGAGCAGGATCACTGTTTACTAAATGATTGGTTCCAGATTTGCTCTGTTGAAAGTTTGGATAAGAAAGGAAATGTGACATCCCCCCGAGCTCCTCCGGGTGAATAATGAGAGTAAATGATGATCAGAGTGACTCAATAGACATCTCTCTTTTGAATGTGATGATATACACAGCTAATCAGTCACCGCTTATAACACTTCATAAGCATTGCTATAAGGTGTTATAAATGCATATAATCATTTGTAAGGGTTGTTATAAAGCCGTATAGATGCATTTGTAAGGCTTTATAAATGTGCATGATGTACTGTAAGAGGTGGGTTCATATAAAGTGTTACCAATTAATTCAACAGCTGGTCAGACTGACTAATCTATTCTCACACTGTAGCATCAATATTCATTCATTCATCCATTTATTCATTCATTCCAATACAGTGATTGGAAAGGAGCAGGATAAAGCAAACTTATAATACCTGCACCTTTCTTAAAACGAATAACCACATACATCAGACCCGTGTATGTTAGTCAAAATAAAAACCATAAATAAAAACTATAACTTCCATATTCTCTGTATATACAACTTTTTAAACTATTCTTGCAGCCCTTTTCTTCTAATGTTAGTGAATTCCACATTTTCGCTCCAACAACAGAAGCACACATTTGTTTTCTAGTAGTCCTTGCCATTTGGTGTTGAAAATTAAATTTTCTTCTTTAATTATCATCCTGTGAAATTCAAACAAATAACTTCTGCAGATTTACAGGCAACAGTCCACTTTGTGTTCCCTGAAATCAACATTGTGCATTACTCTTATACAGTAACTCAAAAACGGCATAATAAGCAAAGAATATAAGATCCTTATTGATTTTTAATCTGATACATATTTTACTTTACTTAAAGCAGAAATATTTTCTGACACCTTATTTTGAATATCAGCAATATGTGGTTCCCATGTTTTAATTTCATCCACTATCACACCTAAAAAAAACACATTTCTGACACCCATTTATCATAACTCCATTAATAGACAACAAAACATAATCATCCATTTTTACCTCCGCCAAGGAGGTTATGTTTTCGGTAGCGTTGGTTTGTTTGTTTGTCTGTTTGTCTGTTAGCAACTTTACAGAGAAAGTAACAGACGGATTGACCTGAAATTTTCACCAGAGGTGTGTCTCAGCCCCAGGAGGATCCCATTACATTTTGGTGGTGATCCGGACAAAATTCTGGATACTGTGATCCAGAACACACAAAAATAAGGGTGTCATTGGAATTTTCAATGCTGAAAGATAACCAATGGGCGGCACAGTGGTGTAGATAGGCGGCACAGTGGTGTAGTGGTTAGCACTGTCGCCTCACAACCAGAAGGTCGTGGGCTCGAATCCTGGTCAGGGTGTTTCTTGTTTAAGGGGGGACATGAGCTGCTTGGCGGAGGTCTGCGCTCTCTGAGTGCTTTTCTAGTTCTATTTGTGAACACCATAAACTTAGTTTTACTCCAGTTAAAGGACCATTTGTTTGTATCAATCTTTTTAGTCTAATTATCTCATTTTGCAGTTGAGGTAATTTAGACTTATTTTGTTAATATTCACAACACAAAATATTCTGGACGTGGACAGTCATTTAGCGTTTGGATAAACATGCTGCTGCAAAGGCTCATGGGACTGTTGATACTGATGCAAAAATGAGGATAACACAGTTAATCAGCCAATAATCTTTGAGAGTTGTTCATGTTTTATGGCGTTCATTATGCAGATGGCACAGAAGCTGCTCAGTGAGTGAAGATCTCTGACTCTGATCATTATTCAACACACCAGCTCGCCTCAGTATCAAGCCAGTGTATTTTGCAATAACAACGTCATACTGCTCAGGTATTTTTGGAGTCAGTTTTTCCTTCAGCCAAATACTACAATATTTGTGGAGAGCGAAAAAATTCAACAAATTGCACGGGGTGTAAAGTACGGTGTTGTGAGGCAAAAGCTAAACAGAAGCCAAACAGCAGAAAAACATCCAAGAACTGGCTGGGAAGAGTCCAGTCAGGAGACGGAGCCAGAGATACGCTGGAGCTGGAGTTTTCTTTTCTGTGGGTGCCAAACTCAGGTGCTCTAAACCTGGCAAAGTTTTAACACAGTACTTGGTTAACTTGTTATAACACATCGAAAACTTTGCTCCTCACTCCACAGCCCGTGTAGACATGTCCAAAACTTCAGCAGCGTTCATGCAAAGCTGAGCAGTCCTGTTATATGTTTGTCAATTTTATGGGAAAGATTAGTCAAACATCAAATTTTTATCTCGCCCAGATGGCGCCTGCTTTCACTCCCTTTGTTTTCTCTCATATCTCAGATCTGTTTGGTTTGAATGAATGAACAAAAAACAGATGTTTTTGGCAATTTGGTTTGTGTCTGTTCCCCGGGATTAGCATGGTTAAACATGTAAGAAAATGAAAGAAACTGGAATTAAATGAGCACCCAGCTATGCTCGCTGCCCAATTATTGATATGAACACTGAATAAACACAACTAAATAAACATGAAAACAGAGTGAGATGAAATTAGAAAATGTGACAAATGAGCAAACAAGCCAACTGGTGAATATTTGATAGTTTTGTTAGAACTTGAAGTCAATATTGGCAAACTAATAATTTGATAATTCAGCCTGGTTATGAAATTTTGAGTTTAAATTTGAGCATGTTCATGGTTGGAGCCTGTGGTCTGTGTATTTTTGCAGGCCTGTTGTGTTATTTTTGTTAAAGAGAACTTATTGCAGTTTAATCCACTCGCGTCAGAAACACGATGTGCAGCCAAGTCCAAAAACCCCGCTGCTTTATTTACAAATACAAAACACAGAAATAAATCTCGCCTCTCTGTCATGTATATTTAATAAGAGTCCTCGCAGGCCTCTACACTGTGCGACTATATATAAATTAAATGAGCTTGTGTCTTCGTCCTCAGGCTTTGCTGCTGCATGGCTCTCTCCCTGAGGAGGACCAGGATGGATCTGTGAGCTTCGGAGATAACCGGGCGAACGCTGAGCAGCAGCTGGTACAGTGCCCTCTCCCTGCTAACTCGTGAAAATAACAAGTTTCTGTGCGCTCTGTGTGAAGTGTCACTGTCAGACCTTCTGTTGTGATGATGTTTGCAGCCATCGCTCCTCTCCAGAGCAGCTACAGTAGAGCGCTATTGCATCCCTCTGATCCGCTCGCACGCTGTCATGCGGCCGCTCTGCCTTCTCATACGGTCTGACATTTTTCCGTTCTCTAATTACGCCGCTCATACCCTCTCTCCCTTTGAAGGTTCTAATCCGCAGTCGTCTGGACCAAAGCGTGGAGGAAGCCCTTGATCTCAAGGTACAGTAAGTAAATGTAATTAGGTTTAATAAAGATGAGCTGCTGAGCAAAGAGTCCCTCTCTCTAATGTCTCTGTCCATTTGTGCTGCTCTTAGAGGGAGCTTCTCAGACACAAACAGGAGGCACGCCACCTTCAGGCCATCAAGGTAAACCTCTAATTTTGTCCTTTGAGTGAGAATTAAACCGGATTAAAGGATATAATTCAATCCACTCCTCTCTTGTGCGAGCTCACACTGACAACTCTGCAGTTTCTAATGCTCACACACGATATTATTTTGTCTTCTGAAGCATAATGAACTTTGGAGGTGGCCGTGTGCCGCCCATAGGACAGGTGGATGCTGCTGTATCTGTATTCAGGTCCGGTCTGGACATTTCTTTGATCTCCCCCGCTCTCTCATTAGGATGCTCTGCAGCAGCGCCTAGCAGTGCAGGAGGACGCCGTTCTGCAGCTAAAGCAGGAAGTACTGAGGAGCAACATGGCCAGAGATCAGCTAGAAGGGGAAAATGTGAGACAAGTCATGACTTCCATTTGACGCCATGAAATAGTTCACCCGTTTGACCCACGGATGCAGGTGAATGGGAGAGCAATGTATTATTGTTTACCATGCTGATGTTCCTGTTTGCAGGCAGAGCTTAAAGCCAAGCTGAGTGAAAAGAACAAATTCCTCGGTGAATATGAGGTACCATCTTTCATTATTGGAGCATTCTCCTGATACATATATGTATGTCCTGACAGCTGTCATCCATCTTTCTTGTCACAACAGCAACAACTTGGGAGAAAGGAGAGAATTCTGCAGCAGCAGAAACACGACGAGGCTCAACATAAAGCACATGAAGTCGGCCGAGCACGGGTACGAATAACGACCTACTACAAGTTTATAGAACTATATATGCTTGAATGTAAGTCAGCTGTCCCTGTTTAAGTATTCACATTTACTGTTGTCTATTTTACAGTCATTCAGGAATGAAAGCAGTGGTTACAGTAACTCAGTGGCTTCATCTTCTCCTGCTGCATTTCAGCATAGTTCACCAGTACGTACATCCTTCTATATCCATGTATGCATGTATTGGTTTAAGATTTAAAGTCACACTCTTCAAAAATGACAGCACAGTTTATAAGGGTTATCAGAGGGAAGGAGAAAAATATGATGGGAAATTTTCACTTTGGAGGATTTATATATCTGTCACGTATTTTTGCCCAAATAACAAGTAATGTCACAAATGAGAATTTTTAAAAATCATAAATTTAACTCATTGGCTCAAAATTAGAGACACTGGGATTAGATAAATCCTACATTTTAAGCCACATTTTTATCAGCTAATGAAAATGAAACAGACTTGACTGTATTTTGATGCCTGTTTATGACCAAAGCCACAAGAATCAGTGCTTCTATGTGGTAAATTTGAACACTTTTAATTACTGCAAAGGGGTTGGTGTCGCACAAGAAGACTCACAGCACACTGAATTAAGTCTGATTTATATGTTCCACCACCCGTTAGTGATGCAATTGGCTTATAGAGGTAAAAGGTTAGATTTCATGATTGAAACATTACCAAGACAATTACAGGGGGCGCCAAAATCAACACAAATCAATTCATCATGATTGCTTTTATATGATTAGCCAAATAACTGATAGACCGTGTGTGTATGACTATTATTCAAGTTGGTGTTTTTCACAGGGGGAAGAGCTGCAGCTGGTCAGAGAGGCTCTGCGTAGTTTGAGGGACAGCTTTTCCGGCCATGACCCCCAACATCACACGTTGGACACCCTGGAGCAGGGCGTGTCCAGTCTCATGGACCGCTTACACTCTGTGGACACCCAGCGTAGACAGGACAGAGGGGTACACTCACACACTCACCTACATTGACACACAGTTAGAGTGTCACCTGATGAATGATGAGTCAATAGCAGGTGACATTTGACTGTTTACCAAAAGGTATTGTTTCCCTTTCTAGGAGGAATTTAAATCACCGGGACGCAGAGCCAACTCCACAGACCGTGACTCCTGGCCGCCGAGCTCAAGTGAGACAAACAAAATCTTTGTTTTGTTTGGGATTTGTCATCCTCTGCAGTATCTCTAGTGTGGCTGTTAAATCAAATTGTACCATTCAATCACGCTGCTGTGTGTGGAGAGAGAGAGCATTACTGGCTGAGGACGGAGCCGTTTTCAGGCTCTTGTTTTCCAAAAAAGGTGTTTTTGTTTTTATCCTCAGAAATGGCACACTCGCACAGCAGCCCAGGGTTGGACACAGCTGTCTCTACTAAAGTGCTCTACTTCACTGATCGCTCCCTCACACCGTTTCTGATTAACATCCCAAAAAGGTGAAAATGAAGCCCTCCATGATGCAATTGTACCACAGCATAATTGTTAATCCTCTCTGTTCATTGTGTTGCATGTATATTACAAACCACAGGTAAAAACACAGCTTGAATCTGGCCTACACTCATGCTACAGTGTCTGTACTGAGTTAGCGTCAGTCCTAGACAAGCTTAATGTCTGAGTGGGTGTGTGTGGGCAGAGATCATGACTGACAGTGAGCTTTTACAGGTTGGGTGAGGTGACACTGCGAGACTTCAAGGCAGCCGTGGACAGACAAGGCAGTTTCAGATACCACTTCAAGGCCCTCGACCCGGAGTTTGGCACGGTGAAAGAGGAGGTAGGCGTTGGAGTAATATTACAGCCCCTACTTCTTTTCAAATCAGCGTCTGTAGCCAAATATGAAATGCCAGTGCTAAGAATAACCGTGGCTGCACAGTTCTTTGAAACACTGCAGGAGGACTCATTTCCATCTCAGAGAATCCAATAACGCTGTCCACACCTTTATACATTATAGATGTGAGTTTTTCTTAGATATGTAAATGTGGGATGTTTGCCGTGCAGGTGTTTCAGGATGGAGCAGTCGTGCCGGGCTGGGAGGGGAAGATTGTTGCGTGGGTGGAGGAAGACCACGGAGAGAGGAGGTAGAGCTGAAAACCAGAGATCACCACTACAGACCTCAGTAGTCCCCACTGGACCAGAAATTTACTTAAAATATACTTGTGATGCCATAACAAAGAAAAGTTATAATACACATAACTGGGACCAATAAATCTAACACAATTTCAGTACAAAGCTTTGTTTTAAAAATGAATGTTTCATCAGAATTTGACTTGACATTTTAGTCACACTTTTATTTATGGAAGGAGCGGATATTACGTGTTGTTTACAGCTCTCATTTTATGGGACTTCCTATAAATGGTCAGTATTGTGATACTTGAAACTGATTTATGATGGAAACAGATTGCGATTCACAGAAATAATATATACTCTGCTCTCTAAAAAAAGCTGTAATCAGCGCATAATAGACAAACCTTCAAATAAAAGTGTACACTAACACTTTCCACATGTTCCAGATTGCCAAATAGTGATGTTGTTCTGCATAAATTTTGATGTTTTAATAAACATGAATTATCGCATGCATCAGTTTGTTGTCAATTACTCCCTGTACACGCTGTAATGACACTGTTCACCAGCTCCTAGCCATTATGCACCTCCACTCTGACACCCACACATTAGTAAACAAAAGCTGATTGTCATTAAACTCAATTAATGTTTTTTTTGGGCTAGGAATTACATTCGCCGGTGCACATCAGCCCACACAACATGAAGGCGCACAGTGAAGTATTTTGTTTTAGTAAAAAACTGTTTGGTTTGGGGAAAAAAATCAGTTCAGAGACTTTCACATGCAGGGCTCTTTTTGAGGTAAATTAAGAGTCTGAAAGTCTTCCCAGTAGATGTTATCTCCTCTGTGTGCACCTAGTTCTCCATTAGGATTTTAAAACATCCACCTTCAAAGTAAGTCTTCGTCTCTTCTTGTTAAAGATGGCAGATGCTGTGTCTTCATTTACAATAGTTGGTAATTCCAGGAGTAGATAGTAAACATCCTCTACTTCCAGTAAGACATCATCCTGCAGAAGAAAACACATGTACCACAAAATGAGAGTGAAAAACGTAGAAACAGTCCAATTAGGTATTTTTCACATGCATTTTCTCCTTAAAGGGATTCATTATGACTGTTCAAGGGAGAGTGCGGGCGCTAACCTTAGAGATACTCAGCTGGCACTCCGACATGGAGGAAACCTTTGGTAACTCCACTGTCAGCTCCACGCTGCATGGAACTCCTGCTGTATCAGCCTTCACCTCGAGTTGGTACTCTGGCTTCTGAGGCTGAACAAATGTGGAGGAGATGACCTGGATCAAATCCTTCTTTTTGTGCTCCGTGGGTCTGGGGATAATTTGAGCTGCTGGCTCCTGGTCTTGTGTCTCTGAGCGTAGAGAGGAGATCTGCTGTAAAAGGGTCTCTGGGGTCTGGCTCACTGTAGATGAAAACAATTGATTATTAAGAAGTCTACTGTAAGGTTTAGGGACTGCAGAAAAACGCTCTCAACTTGACGGATCAGCAGCTGATGAAAAAAATGAAGGCCGTACTTGTGTCTGGTTGTTTGAAGTTGTTGGGCCACTGACAGAAACCGAGCCGGCGATACAGGTCATCTGACTGACTTTTTGGGCTACAGCTGACGACATTGTACCGCTGAGATAATTTCATCCCATGCTGCTGCTGTGCAAAACTCAAGGCTAGCATAAAGATCTCATTTTTGTCTTTCTGACTTTCCTGCAGCACTGCTGGGTTGAATGCCACATCCAACACAGTGTAACAACCTGCAAAGCAAAAAGAAAAGAGTAAAAAACATTTTTTTTCTGCTTTGGGCCTCAAAACGTACCACAGAGGCCTGTTAATGGTCCCTTTGACATGGCACAGCTTTGTCTTTTACCTTGACCTTCACTCGTGTCTGTTTCCAGTTTCCCTGCGTACACAGGTACAGGCCTGCTGGGATCCTGAGGAGCAGGCACACGTTTCCAGCTGCATATGTTGATATACAGCGACCCTTTCTCGGGCCCCTGTTGTGGACACAGATGTACCCTCTGTCAGGAAAAAACTTTCAAAACACACCGTATTGCTAACCTTTAAAAGGACAAAAGTGTGGCAGCTTAACAGTGTGTAGTAAAAAAAACTGAAGCAATTATTCACGCCACATCAGCATTTAGACTGGGAAAAGTTCAAGAAAAAGTGACTACATGAGTCAAAAATTACCAGTAACGATTTCTCTATCAAAACAGTTTTAAGCATTCGCTGCTTGACTGGGCTGGACTGCAGTTATGAAGATGTTAGAACTGGTTTGGATGCTTGTAATCAGCTTTTTAACTCCAAAACTCTGATATTTTGAAGAGAAAAAAAATAAGTTTTTACTGCATATTTTATTGAAAGTTGGATAAGAGACAAAAGTGAAGGCCTACAAATGAAGCAACAATGGAAATACATCAAATGCCCTGGTTTTTAACACTGTAGAAATAAACTTTAGTACATAAGGACAAGCCTAGACTTTGAATAATAAAGTCAGTTATCTACTTTGACATGTACTGACGTATATCTAAAATCAACAGAAGTAACAGTAAGGTGAATAAAATCAAGTTCCTCTTCTCAATCAGTTTTTAGTCGATCATTTGATACTGTTAGCCTGTAATGTATAACAAGAGAAAGAGGCTGACCCCTTAGTACCAGGGACATGACGAACAATACTTCCATTATGTGACGCTTGGTCATGTGTCCTCTTAGAATTCCTGACCTAGAGGGAACCATAAAAATACGTGTTTTTTTTATTCATTTGCAGATCAGCCGGATACTGATGTTGAGTGCAGATGAAAAAGAGGTGTGACTTCATTGTTTCTCTCTCTCCAAACAGCTGCAGTAATTCTGTGTTGTTGCCATGGGCAGGCAGGTGTTATTCCTAATTCTGTGACTCATTGTTTTTAATGTCTTTGTCCCATCTTTTTAAGAGTTTGATACACATTTCCCTCATGGTATCTTGATAAAACTGGAAATCTTGAGTCATAACTTTGCTTTATTTTCCTGTCACAGGTATGAAAATCTGTTGCCTGTTGTTTCAGTTTTAACCTGCTTATTTTACCTCTAAGTTGGTCCGTATACAGGAGTCGAGTTTCGGGGGTGAAGTGGATTCAGCTCCTTCCTTCATCTGTTTCTCGATGAATTTGTGGTAGGATACAGGGTCGTATTCAGAAAGGTCATCCAACATGGACCAAAACTGATTAACCTGCTGTAAAACATCTCCTGTACTACCAATGGTGGACATCTCCAGGTAAATATCAGTCTTCAGGTTTGGCAAACACTTGTAATAATCTAAACCAGCGACGAACCGCCAAGTTAGCAGTCTAATAAGTCAATAAAATGAAAAAACGACAGAAGTTTGTGAGTCAAAAATTTAAATCCACGGTGTTACTATTACTACGGGGTCTTTAAAAACCTTAAAGACAGAAAAAATATGATAAAACTTGGCAGTACGTCCCCCTCTGTAAAGTTAAGATATCAACAAACGCCACTTTAGCTAATGTTGTATGTTGCCATGGAAACTAGATGATACCAAACGTTTCACAGATGCCACCTAGTGGTGAGTGGCAAACCTGCAGCTCAATAATCACACTGCACACAGTTGTTTAAGAGGCATATCATATATTCAGTACATGAAAAATATAACATAAAAATTCATTTAGATATCTTCAGTCTGTCTTTATGTTTACATTATATAACTGACATTTAAAATAAAATTGAGATCTGTCATTTTCAATTGTCTCCAACAGCAATACTTGTAGGTCAGTCTGCTTGTGGCGCTCCGTTTCTCCTCCTCAGTAATTCTGCAAAGATAAACAGTAATTATGAGCATTCAGTGAACAAAACAGCTCCAACACTGCGCTGTGAGCTCTCGAAATTCTATCTGATGCTGATATTCCAACAATCATCGTAATTGCTGTGTGTGGAATTAATAAAGGCTCTCTGATTAATCTGCATCTGTGAAAGAAATGCTGCCATGTTTGTGTTTAAGATGTATTTCAGTTAAGGAAAAAATCTGTCGTATTTAAACAGTCAAGTGGAAGTAATGAAAGCATTATTTGCAAATTGCAGTGATGAAATATAAAATGATTAAGCGGTAATATGACTATTCTGTGCATAATGGTGGTGAATTATCTTTAATATAACACCTACTAACAGCTTAAACAGCTTTGGATATCAGAGAAAAAAATGTTCTTTACATTTAATATTGGTACTCTAGAAAACTTATCAGGAATCATTTTGCTTAGAAGCAGAAATTCAAAATGTGTTTTTTTCACTGAGTTAGACTACTTTCTGCTTTTCTTTGTTTTGTATGACCAAGGAAACATTACTTTTCTCTAAACGCAGAAGCATTAAACACTAATTTCTTGTATATTTCACCCAAATAGTTACTTTGCTATACAAGTTTTCTGTCTTATTCTCACATGGAGTTTCTAAAAGCTCTGTTTACCTCAATCATGTCGTAGATCCAGCCTAAGAACTCGGCCACTTTGGTGTAAACTCCAGGATGGTTCGGTTCTGCACAGCCAGTCCCCCAGCTGACCACCCCGACCAGCCTCCACACATTCTCATCCTGGCAGACTAAAGGACCTCCACTGTCCCCCTGGAGAGGTAAACACAAACACTACTGAAGACAGACTAAGCCACCGTTATTTTACCACCAGAAAATGTAAGCAGAGTAAACACTCCTAAACCACTTCTGCAAGGTGCTGTTTAACATGCACCTGACCTGACAGGCATCCACTTTTCCTGCTGTGTATCCAGCGCAGAGCATGCGAGGCGTGATCTCTCCGTTGTACATGCAGGAGCTGTTACACCTTTTTGTGCTTATTATGGGAACGGGTGCTTCTTTAAGGGTGTCCGGCGAGTGTACTGTGAGAGAAAACACACCTAATTTTTGGGTCCAGTTTGAGCATGTCTCATCTTGCGTGAATCAGACTTGCAGCAGATGTAAATTTGTTTCAAAGCAGAGCGTAGAAGTAACTCACCACCCTCGGGCTGTGTGTATCCCCATCCAGAAATCCAGCACTGTGTACCTCCTGGAAGGTCAGAGTCATACTGAGGCAAGCACACAGGCCTAATTGTATCTAATTACAAGATGAAAAAAGAGGAGTGTTAATTTATCATTCTGAGAGGTTAGAAGATGAGAATTTGGATTTTTTAAAGGATTTTAAGTCGAGAATGTTTTATGGTTATAAACATTTTCTTTCCCACACAACCAGATAAAACCCAAATATGATGCCAGTGCGGTTTTGTCTGTTTGACTGTTTCAGAATATCATATTTTTATTTCAAACAGACTGAAAAGAGTTGATAGCATCCAAAAGTCAGCCTTGATAAGAACCACTGAATTACTGTTATTGTGAGGAAAAGAGCAAAATATCTTCAAGGACAGGATAAGTGGACCATCCTTTAGAAAAGGAGATAATGCAATTCCAGTTTCTCTCTGCACCCACTATTATAGAGCTGCACCATTAGGGAGTAAATACAATCAAACAATGCCTTCTCTGAGCACAGTAATACCTTTTAGTGAGTCCACATGAATTCATATAATATTTATATTCCTACCTTTCATGCAAAGCGTATGTTATGTATGGTCATATCACTGAATCAATCATAAATCTCTGTATGAACAGCCCCCATGTCCATTTTGCTAAATCATCCCATACAAACCTTTGAATAAGTCTTTTATAACTGTTCTTTGACCTCATAAAAGCGAGGTCAGGGAAAATGTTCAGGAAAAGCACAGAGCGAACATTTTGTACTCCTCCATCTCTGCTGTGGATTTCATTCAGTTTACCTTGGTTAGGGTCAGGAGTGCTTTTTAATCAGGTCCCTTTAGTTTTTCTTGACACCTCATCTTAAGTGGATGTTAAAAGTCTGACACAGAAACACTCTTAGTGCTCTCATCTGCAGAGAACAAAAGTCCCTCTATGCCCAGTTTTAAATCTTAATTTAAACATGTAATTTTCAGTCCATGAGGAAAACACGTTTGTCCTTTTCCACATGAAATAAATGTTCATGTTTATGTTTAAATAAAATGTGAGAATGCTACATCTCAAGGTGGATACTTGATGTATAATGAGCAGGCTTTCATGTTGGATTGGGACCCTGAGAAGGTCAGATTGAAAGTAGAAGGGTCATGTTTTGCTCTGAAGGCTAGAACAACCAACCCACTGCTAACTCAGCTAACTCTATAACCTCCTTAAAATAAGCCATGTTGTGTCAAAGTCAACATTTACAGTATGGATGCATTAATGTGTGAAGTGGTTTTGACCCCGCACTTATACAGGGTGAAAGTATTGAATATCTCGGCTGCCTCTTCTGTCTGCAGCCTGTTGCACTTCGTCGATGGTCCCTGCACTCTGAAGTCATGGCTGGCGAAGCGAAGGGGATTGTTATTATGACCCAAAGTTGAAGGACTTGTTGGCTTGACTTGGCTTGAAATATCTTGACATAAGAGTTATATTTGGGCCTGTCGTGTCATTGTAGCTGACTTTAAGTGTAATGAGGTATTTTGACTGGAGTCAAGACAAAGGCACGCGGTGAGATTTGAGGTTTTTGCCGCGTAGACATTCAGTCTGCTGGCTGTCATGCAGTTCATGAAAACCTTGTATGTTTTGGCAATTCTTAAACTCAGTAAAATACATCCTAGTAGAAAACTTTTCTCATAAAATACTGTTGAAAACCTCCATTAAATGTTTACCAAGGCTTTGTTTTTATAAGATGTAATATTTACAGAGAGGGTTTGTGTTTCATCTCGAGAGCTGAGAAAGAAGTTAGTGCTGCTTTTGGTTTTGAAAGAAAGAAGTCTAACACCTTTGTCAAGATCTGATGACAGTCTGTCTGCTAAAATGCGTCAGAATAAGAAAACTCACAGCGAGCTCAGGTCAAGGTTTTGAATTTTTTAGTGTTTTTGGAGTGCTGCTGTCTCAGTTCATATTCAAAGCTCACCGTGAAGCTTTTGAGCTGACCTGAGAAATTCAGCGGTGTCTGCAGTTTGATCAGAGCGATGTCATTGTCGTGGCTCCTGTGGTTGTAGTTCTTGTTGTAGATGATCTTTTCCACAGCGTAGCCTGTGTACTGAGCCATTTTCGCCGAGCTGCGGGTGACAATGCCGGCGTAGACCACCCAGCTGGATATCTGGGGTAGCCTGTAGCTGACATTTCAGATAGAAAAAGAGGAGGTAGGGTCAGACAAGAGAGCGCTGTCATGTGTCTCATGTACTGCAGCTGTTAATGAGTGATAATTCTCCTTTCATGAGGAGTCTGCAACCCTGAATCTTTAGTGCTGGTTAGGTCAGCTTGCTTACTTATGCACACAATGGGCGGCTGTGACTATCCATTGACTAGTGATGATGGAGCCCCCGCAGGTGTGACGGTTGCTGTAGTACAGGCTGACCTGCCACGGCCACCTGCCCAGCGTGGCCTCCACTCCTCCGATTATTCTGGGCAGCTTTGCTCGTGTCCCACACTCTGCACAGAGATCCATTCATCATAAAACGGGCTTGAACTGCTGCAGCGTTTGGCATCAGTCACTCTGTCTGCAGCTTTTTCTCCAGTATTAAAAATAAGGAACAAAAGAGGGCTTGGTGCCGGGTGCAAAGTCAAACAGAAAGTTAACTTAAATTTGCTCACCAAAACACTGCAGAGCGATAACCTTTCCTGTGATACAGCTCCCCCTAAATGAAAATAAATAGAGAAACTAATGATGCATAATTAATGTGTGTGTCGCCACAATTTTCTCTGCATCATTATGAGTACAATGTCCTCTGACAAATTGCCTTACCTGAGTTGCCACATATTTTCCAGATTGCTCTTGTGTTCTGAGGTAATTTGTATAAAGCCATTAGTGTAGTTTGGGCCAATATCAGTGAGATTCACTCCTTTATGCTTGGTCAGTCTGCTAAGAGAAAATATTCGAGGAAGGTTGGGAGAGAGTATTAAGATAATTCAGAATCATAAAGTGTAAAGACTGATTGCAAATGAGGTATTAGCAGATCATAAATAAGCCGAGCCTTCAACCTTGGCAAAGCAGGCTAAGATTAAATGATAACTTAGCAAGTGGGCGCTTCGGTTTAATCATTTTTAAGGGCTGAGGTGGTGTGTGAGACTGTCAGGACCTCAGATAACCCAGCTGTCTGCAGACCAGGGTCCCCAGCGAGGAGTTCCACCTCTCGTAACACACGGGAAGCCAGGTGGGAAGTTTCCCCAGCTGGATCTCCAGGAGGGAGTTCTCTGGGCTGATTCTGTAAAACACTGAACCTGATTGATTGAAAATCGCTCCAGAGACGAGCTCTCAGTCAACAGTAATGAACGAGCCTCTTCTATGAGTGGGAAATGATTAGGGGAAAAAAACACAAGAATCTATGCTAATGCAGGCAGTACAAACAGATCATTATGAGTGATGGTTTCATGCGAGTCAATGGGCACATCTCAGGAGTGAACAAAAGGCAACAAGAAGCAGCTGCAGAACGGTAATTTTGCTTCTGTTCAACTCGAAATCACTCAAGAGGTGAACCATGACCCAGCGTGAGGATTTGTATCAAATGTGCAGCCCTGCACTCTTAACTAATTCATAAAACAGAGGAGCAAAACAAACAGCAGAAGGAGGGAGGAAACACAGACCTTTCCTCGGGTCAGAGATAGAAATATCCTCTGTCACATTGCAGAACGGCGTCTCCTTTGTGTCCCCAAGTCCCACCGTACTTTGGGAGTAGGAAGGCCTCAGAAGGAATTTCACTGTGGATGAAGATTAATTTAATCAGACTTTAATTAGTGAGTGAAACTGACGGATGAAAGTGGGCTATCACAGTGTGTGCAGGACTGGCTGACCCTGACTTGAAGAGCAGTGCAGTTTGATCAAATGTTATGATATAAGCGCTCTAAGAAGACTCTGAGGACTCGGGAATGGGTTTAACATGCATGCAGCTTACAGAGTGATACAGCTTTACTTTGGTCCCCAGTTATAGCAAACCCTGTTTACTTATGATGAGAAAATAAATGTTGATTTGTGAAGCTGAACTTTATCTACATGTCCAGATTTTGTTGTCATGGTCAAACAGGTGATAATTGTTCTTTAAACAGCTGTTATTGCTGAAGTCGTAGTGGGTGTTGGTGCAGCACATTGAAAGGTGTGTCTAATATTTTCCTGGATGTTACGGCTGGTTGGAGTACTTCAAGCTTCTGCCAAAAATAGTCATAAACAGAGTCACCTTTACAAAGCTAATCCACTAGAGGGCGCTGAAATAATTAAAGTGAACCATTTTTAAAGATTAAAAATTGAGTATTGGCAAAAATATTGTCAGAGAATTAAAGCTGCCAATAACTAGTCACAAATATTTTGGTAATCCATGAATCGTTTCTGCTGTTTATCAAGAAAAAAAATAGTCCTACCTCCTTAAAAGGGATCATATATTCCTTTCCCCTTTTTTTAAGGGATAAATATTTTTTTAAAAGCTCTATGTTTTCAACTGTTACCATGACTGTCTTTCCATTAAACAGTTCATTCATACAGATCAGCCAGTCGTTTCAGGGTTGCAGCCTCATTAGTCATTTTCCATATTTTCAATAGCTGATATTGTTTAGTTCACGAGAATGCAGCAGCAGCAGTAACCTGAACGCACAGTCTGCTGCGAGCCAAGTGGCTCTAACAACAAGTCATTTCTCACATGCATTGTTTCCAGTTCCAGGTGACTGTTGAGCTAATTTAGCGATTCTTTTTCTACACAATGACTCACCTAGAAACCAGACACCTACAGCCAAGCCTCCCAGGAGTCCAACCGCACACACAGCTGCCAGCAGCCTCAGCAGCCTGTGAGCTAAAGCAACAATTAATCCTGGAGTTAAAGCCTTCTGATCCCAAACATGAGCCGAGGACAATTGTTAAATGTCAGCTGTTACATATTAAAGGCACTCACAGACAGGACTAAGATAGAGGTGGGAAGTAATTGGCTTTAATCTGTACATGAGCAGCACTTAAGAGCAGGTTTTTTAGGTAGAGCTTTTCCTCCTCTAATATCAATATCAGCTGATGATTTAACACCTCCTGAAAAATCAACAGATTTCGGGTCATTTTGCGAACGTTTGACCATCAGATATATAATTTGTTGTGAATGTTTCAGGAAGAGTTCTTGTCATCTGTGCTCACTCTGTCCCTCTGCTTTACTAACACACACCTGATCCTCTCGCTCTCTTTCTGCTGTTCTGCGGCGGGTTTTTCAACACTCTTGAATTAATTATCGCAATCAGTCACATTTCATTAATCATGAGAAGAACAAATCATAAAAATTAAATGAATTGTGCAGCCCTGTTGCACAGATTGTAATGCTAGTCAAGGCCAGTAACATTCAGTTATCAGTTTTTTCCTTCTGATAAAAACATAATTTTCAATCCTGGTTTAGGAGAGTTACTTAAACTACTTCATTTTTTACATTTGAAACAGCATGGTTTAATATCTTGTGTGATTTTTTTTTTAGGGATTAAGCCCCTCTGGATGGATGGAGCTCACCGTGAGACGTTGAGTGAATCCCTTTAAACCAGCCCTGCACTCCTCTGCTTGCTGCGTCTCCTGCTGCTTTCTCTGATGGAAAAGGATGACTGACAGCCGCTGGGTTTTCAATCACCGATAATGCGTCTCCATCAAGACTCTACGAGGAGAATAGTCAGTTTGCACATCAGACCTTACTGTACAACTTATTCCTGTTTAAAAACATCTTAAAAGTTTGCTCACTCTGGGTGCTGCTGACCATCTGCTCCCCTGAAACGGTGCAGCTGTCAGATTAAATTAGGGCCACTGTATACAGAGTATTCATGCCCGCTGTCCAGCCTGGATGAGCCGTAGGTGTATCCAGGTGCGTGTACCACATATCTCCTCACTCTCAAGTCTCGGCATGTCTTGTTCCCCACATTTAAATTCAAAGGTTGTAACATTTCCTGTTTGTGTTCTCAGAAAAGTATAATCCCTCTGGAGTGCGAGTGTGTGTGTTGTTATTGGGCTTACTCTCAGAGGAGCAGCTGCTTCTATAAGCAACATATTGAGAGTATTACAGTAATTATAATAAAGCCCTGCATAGATGGGAGATGCACACTTGGTATTATACCATTGCTGTACAAAAATCTATCAAAATAAATGCTGTACCATCTGCTCTCTCTTGTGTCCCTGCAGCGCTCCAGTGTAGCTAAACATGTAATTTTGGATTCAAATCGAGGGCAGGTTGAACATGGTATGAAACTGTATTGGAATGCATACAGCTATAAAGCACAGGTCATAGCATTCTGGAAATAACAACACAAAGTCAATGTGACAGGATAAAGCGTGAAGCTAGTTTGTCAGGTGAAAGCAGCAGCTGTTACAGAGAGCTGTGATGTTCAAAGTGAAGGTGACAACACGAGAGAGTTGTCAGTGTGTACATTGGACAGATGCAGCAGGGTGTAGTGAATATTTACCATGTTTCCCTTGTGTACAGTCCTGAGGGGAAGCCAGCGATGTCCGTGCTCATCTGTAGGCCTGCGCCTGAGGTAGAGAGATGTGTCCTGCTCGCCGTTGGTGCACCATTTGCCATTTAACAGAATGCAACTCTGGACTTTCCCTTCACAAAGAGACAATGAGGTCAGCAGAGGTGCAGAGAATGAGGCTGTTGTTTGTGCAGGGGCATCATGGGGCCTGTAGAAAGCGGGCTGAACCAGGTCTTAGTATCTCCTCGCTGACTACTGATAGGACACTGTGAGTTGCTAGGTAACATTTTTTCTACCCGTGCCAAAAGATTGTCCATTTTTTCACCTGAGACGTGTTATTACCTGACAGTTTGTAGCTTCGGAGAAAAGGTCATTATTGCGGATTGTTGAAAAGCTTCACATCACGTCAATCCCCGTCATTTGGAGTCCAAAGCTATCATCTCTCAGCACTCAGGAACAAAATGAAGTCTGTTCTGTGTGCCGCTGACAGACGAGACTTTTTCCCTCTCTCTGCTCGCTCTTCTAACCTGCTCACAGCTAGACAGTTTTTGGTTTTTCACTTTCAAATATCCCCTTTTTTAATAAATTCAGCTGCAGAGGTTACTCGAGCGCCTTCAAAAGGGAATCATTAGCTCTAAAAATAGAAGGAATAATTAACCAGAGAGGGCGTTTTCTGGTGGGAAAACTGCTTTATGGAGATCAAAAGAATGTCTTCAGACAGCACATGAATTTTTTCTGAAAATAAATGACTTATTTAATACATCTGGGTAAAAGAACAATGGTACAAAGGTTATTTATGTACGCCTCTGTATATGTGATGTGGGATTAACTGGAGAGCAGGTGAAGGGAACAAGCTGCCAGGAGGAAAATTCCTCCTTGTCTCATTGTCAGGTCTGAATCCAAGAAATGGCCCCACATCTATTTGGCTCATCTAACTGGTGTCATGAGGAATTATTTGAAAATCAAACACAGAGTAATGAGCAGTGCAGCAGTGGTGGAAATTACATGTGATGGAGCAACAGCTGAATTTTCTATCGGCAGGATTGTGAGGTTAATAATGTTTGACAATATTAGTGCGAGGCTCGGTTGTTCTGCAGCACAGACAAACAGAGAGGCGAGGTGGACCATGCTGCTGTTTGGTCGATTTTTTCTTTTTTTTTCAGGGATTTGTTGTCTCCCTCTTTTGGTGGAATCTGTTTTCTCAGACAGCAGGGTAAACAATGATTTACATTTTTACCATGTAGGGTTTTTTATTTCCTTTCAGAAGTCCTATGAGAAATGTTTTTTTTGTCAGATAAATCCAATGCATTCTTATTTGATTGTCCCACTGCAGAGAAAGAAAGTTTGAGGCTGTCGTGTTCCTATAGTTGGGTTTCTCATATTGTTTTTCTATTCTATTTAACCAGGAAAGCCTCGTTGAGATTTTCTTTTACAAGACATCCTATTTCACTTAACTTTCAAAGCATCTACAGCCCGACGCATCTTCCTCCAATGCCTTCAGCCTGCTTTTAAAAACACTTAGAAAGACCAGCTCCCTCAGATCCAGCAGAAGCAGAGTCCCTCAACTATTTTTACACATTTAAAGACGCTCGCTGGGGACAGAAAGCAAAAGTAGCTTCTGTGTCTGGGTCACAGAGCGAAGACTGAGGCTGGCAACATTTTTCATATTAATTAAGCTGCATAAATACAAGAAGAGAGAGTTAAGAATCGCCCTATAAATGAGGACATTCGGGTGATTAAGTGTATATGTGGACAATGCAGTCCAGCATCATACAGATAACAGTGTTGAGTGAGAGTGATTTGATGCATGCATGTATAAAACAGCATAGTCAATCAGGGGTATAAAGTCTAAACATGACTTATTGCTGAAATAGGAGCCCAGCTGCAGCTTCAGCTTGTAAGCATCTCGAACATGACAGAGAGACACTGTGGTGGAGCAGAGTTGTAAATAAACCATATAATCTGCATACAAATGAAAAGACATTTCGACAAACTCAGCTGGTGTAAACATATAAACAACAGAGGTCCCAAAACAGAGCCCTGAGGCATGCTATTTACTATTCCAAGAGGGCTGGAGGTGATGCCGTCTGTCTGCACACATTGTAATTTGTTTGATGAATCATTTTCAAACCAGCAGACAGATTGTTCCAACAGTCTGATACTCAATAGTCTCTGTTTCTCTGTTAGCAAAGTCCACCGTGTCAAAAGCTTTTGACAGGTCAATGTAAAGTGCTGCAGAGAGTTTCTTATTGTTCAAGGACTCAATAAAGCCACTGACCACCTTCACAGCCGCCTGTATTGTGCAGTATAGAAAAGCATGTAAGATATACTCATACATATACTCCACTTGGCTGAACAAACTAAAATAGGCAGAACTGAACTTCATCCAGCTTTAAAAACTGTATTTTAATGAGTGACTGACTCGACTTTGTCTCGTGTTTGTTATCTAATCAGAAATTTAAATTTCATGCGTAAATCCCTGAGAATGTGACCACAACAGGAACAGTCTGTCATCTCACCTGGGGAGTGACACGGGCGCCTCAGAATGGACTACTTTCATTCATTTATTCCTGCAGCACAGTCCAGGCTCTGCTGTGAAGAGGCTGGCTGCAGCTCAGTTTGGAGCCGCTTCTATCTCTCCCTCTTTTTCTGCTCTGAGAGAGAGGCACTCTCACCGTTCGGTGTTGAGAGATTTGATCAGCTCATCTCTTATCGGAGCCCTAAGTGTATGTGCCTCTCTCAGCATCAGATGCAGTCTCTCTGAGTCCCTACTTGGAAACCTGACAGTAGGTCCAAACTGAACACAAGGGAGAGAGTAGCTTCTTTTTGAGGTGTGTGGAGAGTTAGTCTTTTCTCTAGAGTCCACACTACCAAATCATTTAAATCTGATTCACTCATGTGTGGGCTGTCCTGAGAGCTTGTGCTGTTTGATTCCGTTGGTCGTGACCTCTCAGAGACAGCCATTACAGCTCGGTCTGCCCACATCTGCAGGGCAGAGAGCAGCATGTGAACAGCTCTATCCGAAGGCAGCAGCCTCCAAATCTCTAATGTAAACACCTGTGTTGTTTATTCATCACCAGGCGTGTTAGTTTTTAACTTACCTCAACTAAATCTTAACCCAGTGACTCTTGAAATTAGCAGTATGTGTAAATAAAGACGTATGACACGCCTTTATCTTCTCTAGCCCTCCTATTATCCTCAAATTTTACTAACAAGTTTTACCCTTGGGGTCAATCTGACCCCAGGTATATTTGCCTTCAGAAAATGATTTACATGCAGTTGTTGACCAAGATTTTTTGTCAGGCCCTTTTTTTATATGTTTAGTACATAAATAACCCCTTAAGAATGAAACCTATTAATGGGTTGACCTGTTCTCTAGTGCCACCAATAGGCCAAACTTTTAAAGTATAATAAATGTACCTAGAAAAGTTTTCATACAAATCTTCTCAAATTCACTGACAACCTTTATGACCACAAGAGGATGAACCCTATTGGTTTTGGTGATGAAATGACCTTTCCTGTAGCGCCACCATCAGGTCAAACTTTCAGTTTTAGAGTTAGTGTATCTTGAAAATCTTTCATCCAACATTTTTCTACTCTGGGGTGCACATTCATCACTCTCCCAGAATGAACCATATTTATTATTTTCTATGAACTACCCATGTTCTTGTGGGAATACTGTACCCTCCACAGCACAGGAAATACAGTATCAGTCCTGTACTTGGACATGTGTGAGTACAGCAGGTCACTCATACACACACACACCTTCATGCCCATGGTGCAGGAAAGTTCTCATGAGAATATTGTTTCCCCCTCTCCAATGTCACAGTAGCACCAAAAATGGAAAATTATGGTCCCTCTACTGACTTCAACAGCAAGGTAGACGTGCTGCTATGAGTGTGTCTCACCAGACACACAGTCCGCCATATGGAAGACGTTCATTATTCGAGCTCTTCGTATAACCATCAATTAAAAATATTCTATTTGAGATGATCATTTTAGAGGTATTTGTACTTGGAAAGACTTGGGTGTGATCAACTTGCAATCCTACAGCGGCTTCTTTATTTTGGCAGGAGCTCAAGTCAAGTAGTTTCCTAGATGTCCACATTACGAGAAGTATCAAAGTTCTGGAGGGAATAGTTGTTTTCCCCACCTCCCTGTTATGTATCAACTCCAATGTATCAACTCTGCACCTGTAGGTATGGAGATGTTAGGTCACACACACAGATAGGCAGATACAGCACATAAAAAATATTTCATCATGATAATTTTATGCTAAATCAGTTGTCCCCATCATATTAGGAAAAGTCATGAAATATGAAGCAAAAAAACAAAAGTCAACTGTTATTTTTTAAATGATAAACATTGAAAAGGGTCGAATTGACCCCAAGGATAATAGGAGGGCTAGCTGAAAAAAGTGAGGCCAAAATGCAGCATGAGACGTGTACAGACTTACTACACATTGTATTGTGAAATGGTGAAATACGTAAATAATTTGTTGAATTGTAAATCATGCGAAGCTGCTAAGAGGGACGATACAAAGCTACAAAAATAAGTATAACACCCCCTTCTTTAAACATTTGCTAAATAAACTAATAAGATGAAAATAAGAAGACATGTCAGATCATTTCTTCAATACTATTTGGAAGTTTTGCATTATTTTTTCGTAATTTTAACCAATTTCTCACAACTCCTTTGCTCATTTGCAAGAGCACCCTTCATATATCCATCATAAACCGCTCATGATTGAATAATTAAGCTCAAAAAGACTGAAAACAAAGACATGTCTTCAAGTGTGACTTAAAGCACTCAATAGTTTGCTGATCTGACTTCTCTAGGGAGACTCTTCCTCTTCCTCTGGGACCCAGAACAACAAACGCGCAGTCCCCTCGTGTTTTCAGTCTTGAGCAAGAAACAGCTAGCAGAAGGGCCGAGCAGAGGCATACAGCATTATTAGTTCCCTGATGTACTACTTGGGGAGCTAAACCATTCACAGCTTTGTACACAAAGAGAAGGATCTTGAACTGTATCCTGAATTTAATTTGAAGCCAGTGAAGTGGCACCAGATCCGTGAACAAAAAGAGGTCTTAGTGAGAAGTCTTGGACTAACTGGATCTGGTTAATCTTGGCTCAGATGGGAAATGAGAGCATTACAGAAGTCTAAAGGAGAGGATGTAAAGGCATGTACAACAACTCCAACTGCTGGAGGGATAACAGGGGGTGTATTTTGGCAAGTAGCCGTCCTGACATGATTGTCAAATTTAATCAGGCTGTCAAAAGTGACCTAGAGGCTTTTTTGGCGGAGGATTTTACATTGGTGGCGAATAAACTGAGTTGTTGGAGGATATTAGTGGTTATTTGATCCGGGCACAAACCATCAGTGCTGTCTGATTGTGATTTAAGTGCAGAAAATTGAGGGACATCCAGTTTCCAGTTTTGGCCGGACACTTGAGGAGAGGAAATGGATTTGAGAGGTCACTGGGTTTAAAAGACAGAGTTGTGTGAGATATTTCTTTATTTTCATGCTTTAGTTAAATTGTAAACAGATCAGTGAATGGGTTTAGACTGGTATGCCAATGTATTCTGGCCTAAACTTGTAAAAAACTGCTACTTTCCTCAAATTTAACCCCACTATCGACTTAATTTGCCAACATTGGCACCATTAATGGTATGTTGTTGTTTCTATTTGTCCTTGTTTGCACTGAACCCACAGATTTGCACATATAACTCAGTATAACTTAGGCTATAAAATCGGATGAATTCGAGTCATACCCTTGAGTCCCAATAACCGTCTATTCCTTAGATTTATCATGGATTTACATTCATTTATTCACTGTAAACATTGTTATGAATATTCATCTAAAAAATCATGTGCAGCATATCTGTGTGTTCAGATATAATCCTCCTGCCTATCCTCCTGATAGACTCCATATGGCTGATGGTAAAATGACTCTTTCAGTCTCAAATCTTCTGCTGCGTGGATGAAACGCTTCAGACTTATGCGACACTGATTAAATAAACTGATGTGAGGTAGCTAAGGTAGTTTACTGTGTGTGTGTGTGTGTGTGTGTGTGTGTGTGTGTGTGTGTGTGTGTGTGTGTGTGTGTGTGTGTGAGAGGATGTTTCAGGAAGTAGAGCCAAAAGTTAACTGTCCAGGTCGTGACGGAGCACAGGCTGAGGGCAGAAACCACTAATCTACAACTCCTTATCTCTCTCTCTCTCTCTCTCTCTCTCTCTCTCTCTCTCTCTCACACACACACACACACACTCACACATCTTGTTGTAGCTCTGTCGGCTGATGAGCTCTGTCCTCTTAAACCAGTAGTCTGTATTTCCTCTGAGTCTGAGTCCTCCTGCAGTCAGAGCTGTGTTACCTATGGTCATACGCTGCCCTCTAGTGGTGAAACTAACACACTTGCTGGTTTCAGTAACTCAGTCAGCTCCAGCCTTTTAAAAATTCAGCATCTTTTCAGTAAGTGTTCAAGTCTTTACAGAAAACGTCTTTGTATAGATTTTTCTTTAAAGCTCCTTTGAAGGTTATTTTATGTTTGTTGAAATCAATATTGATGCCTCTTAATGATATACAGAAGCAAACAAAACCATCAGTGACAGGACTGATGGTTTTTACATGGTGCTTTATAAAGCCTTAAACCGGTAGAGGGGGTGGGTGTCAGCAGATTAAATTAACACATAGAATATTCACAAGAAATGTCAAAGGTCAGCAGGATGAGATTTATCTGTCAGAAGGCACTACGGGAGCAGGTAGAGGACAAGATAAGGAAAAACAGTCTTGACAACAAGACAAACTTCCTCACAGGAGCTTTAAGGTTAAATTTCCAGCATATTTATATTGAATCAACATGATAATCTCTGACAGAAACTGTCCTGGTGATCTGCTCCTGTGGATGTGGAAGCACTCATTAACCCTAACCCTAACCCTAACCCTAGCCCCAACCCTAACCCTAACCCTAGCTCTAACCCTAACCCTAACCCTAGCTCCAACCCTAACCCTAACCCTAACCCTAACCCTAGCTCCAACCTTAACCCTAACCCTAACCCTAGCTCCAACCCTAACCCTAACCCAAACCCTAAGTAAACTTTTCAAAAAACTTCCCCCAGAATTAGGTTCTATAGACTCCCCGTGCCCTGAAACGTGCTCCTAACACAATTCTGGAAGGTGAAAAATTGGGTTGGCACTCAAATTTTTTTAGGAACGTCCTAGAGACTCGGGAGTTGGTTCATTGCACTCAGAAAAATCCTAGCTCCAAGCCCAACCCTAACCCTAGCTCCAACACTAACCCTAACTCCAACCCTAACCCTAACCCTAACCCTAGCTCCAACCCTAACCCTAACCCTAACCCATGCATTCCTATGGGAAAAAATCAAATTTTTTTAGGAACGTCCTAGAGACTCGGGAGTTGGTTTATTGCACTCAGAAAAATCCTAGCTCCAAGCCCAACCCTAACCCTAGCTCCAACACTAACCCTAACTCCAACCCTAACCCTAACCCTAACCCTGGCTCCAACCCTAACCCTAACCCTAGCTCCAACCTTAACCCTAACCCTAACCCTAACCCTAGCCCCAACCCTAACCCTAGCTCTAACCCTAACCCTAACCCTAGCTCCACCCTAATCCTAACCCTAACCCTAACCCTAGCTCCAACCCTAACCCTAACCCTAACCCTAGCTCCAACCCTAACCCTAACCCTAACCCATGCATTCCTATGGGAAAAAATCAAATTTTTTTAGGAACGTCCTAGAGACTCGGGAGTTGGTTCATTGCACTCAGAAAAATCCTAGCTCCAAGCCCAACCCTAACCCTAGCTCCAACACTAACCCTAACTCCAACCCTAACCCTAACCCTAACCCTAGCTCCAACCCTAACCCTAACCCTAACCCATGCATTCCTATGGGAAAAAATCAAATTTTTTTAGGAACGTCCTAGAGACTCGGGAGTTGGTTCATTGCACTCAGAAAAATCCTAGCTCCAAGCCCAACCCTAACCCTAGCTCCAACACTAACCCTAACTCCAACCCTAACCCTAACCCTAACCCTAGCTCCAACCCTAACCCTAACCCTAACCCATGCATTCCTATGGGAAAAAATCAAATTTTTTTAGGAACGTCCTAGAGACTCGGGAGTTGGTTCATTGCACTCAGAAAAATCCTAGCTCCAAGCCCAACCCTAACCCTAGCTCCAACACTAACCCTAACTCCAACCCTAACCCTAACCCTAACCCTAGCTCCAACCCTAACCCTAACCCTAACCCATGCATTCCTATGGGAAAAAATCAAATTTTTTTAGGAACGTCCTAGAGACTCGGGAGTTGGTTCATTGCACTCAGAAAAATCCTAGCTCCAAGCCCAACCCTAACCCTAGCTCCAACACTAACCCTAACTCCAACCCTAACCCTAACCCTAACCCTAGCTCCAACCCTAACCCTAACCCTAACCCATGCATTCCTATGGGAAAAAATCAAATTTTTTTAGGAACGTCCTAGAGACTCGGGAGTTGGTTCATTGCACTCAGAAAAATCCTAGCTCCAAGCCCAACCCTAACCCTAGCTCCAACACTAACCCTAACTCCAACCCTAACCCTAACCCTAACCCTAGCTCCAACCCTAACCCTAACCCTAACCCATGCATTCCTATGGGAAAAAATCAAATTTTTTTAGGAACGTCCTAGAGACTCGGGAGTTGGTTCATTGCACTCAGAAAAATCCTAGCTCCAAGCCCAACCCTAACCCTAGCTCCAACACTAACCCTAACTCCAACCCTAACCCTAACCCTAACCCTGGCTCCAACCCTAACCCTAACCCTAGCTCCAACCTTAACCCTAACCCTAACCCTAACCCTAGCCCCAACCCTAACCCTAGCTCTAACCCTAACCCTAACCCAAGCTCCACCCTAACCCTAACCCTAACCCTAACCCTAGCTCCAACCCTAACCCTAACCCTAACCCTAGCTCCAACCCTAACCCTAACCCTAACCCATGCATTCCTATGGGAAAAAATCAAATTTTTTTAGGAACGTCCTAGAGACTCGGGAGTTGGTTCATTGCACTCAGAAAAATCCTAGCTCCAAGCCCAACCCTAACCCTAGCTCCAACACTAACCCTAACTCCAACCCTAACCCTAACCCTAACCCTAGCTCCAACCCTAACCCTAACCCTAACCCATGCATTCCTATGGGAAAAAATCAAATTTTTTTAGGAACGTCCTAGAGACTCGGGAGTTGGTTCATTGCACTCAGAAAAATCCTAGCTCCAAGCCCAACCCTAACCCTAGCTCCAACACTAACCCTAACTCCAACCCTAACCCTAACCCTAACCCTAGCTCCAACCCTAACCCTAACCCTAACCCATGCATTCCTATGGGAAAAAAATCAAATTTTTTTAGGAACGTCCTAGAGACTCGGGAGTTGGTTCATTGCACTCAGAAAAATCCTAGCTCCAAGCCCAACCCTAACCCTAGCTCCAACACTAACCCTAACTCCAACCCTAACCCTAACCCTAACCCTAGCTCCAACCCTAACCCTAACCCTAACCCATGCATTCCTATGGGAAAAAATCAAATTTTTTTAGGAACGTCCTAGAGACTCGGGAGTTGGTTCATTGCACTCAGAAAAATCCTAGCTCCAAGCCCAACCCTAACCCTAGCTCCAACACTAACCCTAACTCCAACCCTAACCCTAACCCTAACCCTAGCTCCAACCCTAACCCTAACCCTAACCCATGCATTCCTATGGGAAAAAATCAAATTTTTTTAGGAACGTCCTAGAGACTCGGGAGTTGGTTCATTGCACTCAGAAAAATCCTAGCTCCAAGCCCAACCCTAACCCTAGCTCCAACACTAACCCTAACTCCAACCCTAACCCTAACCCTAACCCTAGCTCCAACCCTAACCCTAACCCTAACCCATGCATTCCTATGGGAAAAAATCAAATTTTTTTAGGAACGTCCTAGAGACTCGGGAGTTGGTTCATTGCACTCAGAAAAATCCTAGCTCCAAGCCCAACCCTAACCCTAGCTCCAACACTAACCCTAACTCCAACCCTAACCCTAACCCTAACCCTAACCCTGGCTCCAACCCTAACCCTAACCCTAGCTCCAACCTTAACCCTAACCCTAACCCTAACCCTAGCCCCAACCCTAACCCTAGCTCTAACCCTAACCCTAACCCTAGCTCCACCCTAATCCTAACCCTAACCCTAACCCTAGCTCCAACCCTAACCCTAACCCTAACCCTAGCTCCAACCCTAACCCTAACCCTAACCCATGCATTCCTATGGGAAAAAATCAAATTTTTTTAGGAACGTCCTAGAGACTCGGGAGTTGGTTCATTGCACTCAGAAAAATCCTAGCTCCAAGCCCAACCCTAACCCTAGCTCCAACACTAACCCTAACTCCAACCCTAACCCTAACCCTAACCCTGGCTCCAACCCTAACCCTAACCCTAACCCATGCATTCCTATGGGAAAAAATCTAATTTTTTTAGGAACGTCCTAGAGACTCGGGAGTTGGTTCATTGCACTCAGAAAAATCCTAGCTCCAAGCCCAACCCTAACCCTAGCTCCAACACTAACCCTAACTCCAACCCTAACCCTAACCCTAACCCTAGCTCCAACCCTAACCCTAACCCTAACCCATGCATTCCTATGGGAAAAAAATCAAATTTTTTTAGGAACGTCCTAGAGACTCGGGAGTTGGTTCATTGCACTCAGAAAAATCCTAGCTCCAAGCCCAACCCTAACCCTAGCTCCAACACTAACCCTAACTCCAACCCTAACCCTAACCCTAACCCTAGCTCCAACCCTAACCCTAACCCTAACCCATGCATTCCTATGGGAAAAAATCAAATTTTTTTAGGAACGTCCTAGAGACTCGGGAGTTGGTTCATTGCACTCAGAAAAATCCTAGCTCCAAGCCCAACCCTAACCCTAGCTCCAACACTAACCCTAACTCCAACCCTAACCCTAACCCTAACCCTAGCTCCAACCCTAACCCTAACCCTAACCCATGCATTCCTATGGGAAAAAATCAAATTTTTTTAGGAACGTCCTAGAGACTCGGGAGTTGGTTCATTGCACTCAGAAAAATCCTAGCTCCAAGCCCAACCCTAACCCTAGCTCCAACACTAACCCTAACTCCAACCCTAACCCTAACCCTAACCCTAGCTCCAACCCTAACCCTAACCCTAACCCATGCATTCCTATGGGAAAAAATCAAATTTTTTTAGGAACGTCCTAGAGACTCGGGAGTTGGTTCATTGCACTCAGAAAAATCCTAGCTCCAAGCCCAACCCTAACCCTAGCTCCAACACTAACCCTAACTCCAACCCTAACCCTAACCCTAACCCTAACCCTGGCTCCAACCCTAACCCTAACCCTAGCTCCAACCTTAACCCTAACCCTAACCCTAACCCTAGCCCCAACCCTAACCCTAGCTCTAACCCTAACCCTAACCCTAGCTCCACCCTAATCCTAACCCTAACCCTAACCCTAGCTCCAACCCTAACCCTAACCCTAACCCTAGCTCCAACCCTAACCCTAACCCTAACCCATGCATTCCTATGGGAAAAAATCAAATTTTTTTAGGAACGTCCTAGAGACTCGGGAGTTGGTTCATTGCACTCAGAAAAATCCTAGCTCCAAGCCCAACCCTAACCCGAACTCCAACACTAACCCTAACTCCAACCCTAACCCTAACCCTAACCCTGGCTCCAACCCTAACCCTAACCCATGCATTCCTATGGGAAAAAATCAAAATTTTTTAGGAACGTCCTAGAGACTCGGGAGTTGGTTCATTGCACTCAGAAAAATCCTAGCTCCAAGCCCAACCCTAACCCTAGCTCCAACACTAACCCTAACTCCAACCCTAACCCTAACCCTAACCCTAGCTCCAACCCTAACCCTAACCCTAACCCATGCATTCCTATGGGAAAAAATCAAATTTTTTAGGAACGTCCTAGAGACTCGGGAGTTGGTTCATTGCACTCAGAAAAATCCTAGCTCCAAGCCCAACCCTAACCCTAGCTCCAACACTAACCCTAACTCCAACCCTAACCCTAACCCTAACCCTAGCTCCAACCCTAACCCTAACCCTAACCCATGCATTCCTATGGGAAAAAATCAAATTTTTTTAGGAACGTCCTAGAGACTCGGGAGTTGGTTCATTGCACTCAGAAAAATCCTAGCTCCAAGCCCAACCCTAACCCTAGCTCCAACACTAACCCTAACTCCAACCCTAACCCTAACCCTAACCCTAGCTCCAACCCTAACCCTAACCCTAACCCATGCATTCCTATGGGAAAAAATCAAATTTTTTTAGGAACGTCCTAGAGACTCGGGAGTTGGTTCATTGCACTCAGAAAAATCCTAGCTCCAAGCCCAACCCTAACCCTAGCTCCAACACTAACCCTAACTCCAACCCTAACCCTAACCCTAACCCTGGCTCCAACCCTAACCCTAACCCTAGCTCCAACCTTAACCCTAACCCTAACCCTAACCCTAGCCCCAACCCTAACCCTAGCTCTAACCCTAACCCTAACCCTAGCTCCACCCTAATCCTAACCCTAACCCTAACCCTAGCTCCAACCCTAACCCTAACCCTAACCCTAGCTCCAACCCTAACCCTAACCCTAACCCATGCATTCCTATGGGAAAAAATCAAATTTTTTTAGGAACGTCCTAGAGACTCGGGAGTTGGTTCATTGCACTCAGAAAAATCCTAGCTCCAAGCCCAACCCTAACCCGAACTCCAACACTAACCCTAACTCCAACCCTAACCCTAACCCTAACCCTGGCTCCAACCCTAACCCTAACCCATGCATTCCTATGGGAAAAAAATCAAAATTTTTTAGGAACGTCCTAGAGACTCGGGAGTTGGTTCATTGCACTCAGAAAAATCCTAGCTCCAAGCCCAACCCTAACCCTAGCTCCAACACTAACCCTAACTCCAACCCTAACCCTAACCCTAACCCTAGCTCCAACCCTAACCCTAACCCTAACCCATGCATTCCTATGGGAAAAAATCAAATTTTTTTAGGAACGTCCTAGAGACTCGGGAGTTGGTTCATTGCACTCAGAAAAATCCTAGCTCCAAGCCCAACCCTAACCCTAGCTCCAACACTAACCCTAACTCCAACCCTAACCCTAACCCTAACCCTAGCTCCAACCCTAACCCTAACCCTAACCCATGCATTCCTATGGGAAAAAATCAAATTTTTTTAGGAACGTCCTAGAGACTCGGGAGTTGGTTCATTGCACTCAGAAAAATCCTAGCTCCAAGCCCAACCCTAACCCTAGCTCCAACACTAACCCTAACTCCAACCCTAACCCTAACCCTAACCCTAGCTCCAACCCTAACCCTAACCCTAACCCATGCATTCCTATGGGAAAAAATCAAATTTTTTTAGGAACATCCTAGAGACTCGGGAGTTGGTTCATTGCACTCAGAAAAATCCTAGCTCCAAGCCCAACCCTAACCCTAGCTCCAACACTAACCCTAACTCCAACCCTAACCCTAACCCTAACCCTAGCGCCAACCCTAACCCTAACCCTAACCCATGCATTCCTATGGGAAAAAATCAAATTTTTTTAGGAACGTCCTAGAGACTCGGGAGTTGGATCATTGCACTCAGAAAAATCCTAGCTCCAAGCCCAACCCTAACCCTAGCTCCAACACTAACCCTAACTCCAACCCTAACCCTAACCCTAACCCTAACCCATGCATTCCTATGGGAAAAAATCAAATTTTTTTAGGAACGTCCTAGAGACTCGGGAGTTGGTTCATTGCACTCAGAAAAATCCTAGCTCCAAGCCCAACCCTAACCCTAGCTCCAACACTAACCCTAACTCCAACCCTAACCCTAACCCTAACCCTAGCTCCAACCCTAACCCTAACCCTAACCCATGCATTCCTATGGGAAAAAATCAAATTTTTTTAGGAACGTCCTAGAGACTCGGGAGTTGGTTCATTGCACTCAGAAAAATCCTAGCTCCAAGCCCAACCCTAACCCTAGCTCCAACACTAACCCTAACTCCAACCCTAACCCTAACCCTAACCCTAGCTCCAACCCTAACCCTAACCCTAACCCATGCATTCCTATGGGAAAAAATCAAATTTTTTTAGGAACGTCCTAGAGACTCGGGAGTTGGTTCATTGCACTCAGAAAATCCTAGCTCCAAGCCCAACCCTAACCCTAGCTCCAACACTAACCCTAACTCCAACCCTAACCCTAACCCTAACCCTAGCTCCAACCCTAACCCTAACCCTAACCCATGCATTCCTATGGGAAAAAAATCAAATTTTTTTAGGAACGTCCTAGAGACTCGGGAGTTGGTTCATTGCACTCAGAAAAATCCTAGCTCCAAGCCCAACCCTAACCCTAGCTCCAACACTAACCCTAACTCCAACCCTAACCCTAACCCTAACCCTAGCTCCAACCCTAACCCTAACCCTAACCCATGCATTCCTATGGGAAAAAATCAAATTTTTTTAGGAACGTCCTAGAGACTCGGGAGTTGGTTCATTGCACTCAGAAAAATCCTAGCTCCAAGCCCAACCCTAACCCTAGCTCCAACACTAACCCTAACTCCAACCCTAACCCTAACCCTAACCCTAGCTCCAACCCTAACCCTAACCCTAACCCATGCATTCCTATGGGAAAAAATCAAATTTTTTTAGGAACGTCCTAGAGACTCGGGAGTTGGTTCATTGCACTCAGAAAAATCCTAGCTCCAAGCCCAACCCTAACCCTAGCTCCAACACTAACCCTAACTCCAACCCTAACCCTAACCCTAACCCTAACCCTAGCTCCAACCCCACACCTAACCCTAACCCTAGCTCCAACCTTAAAGGGATATTCTGGCATAAAATTAAGTTAGGGTCAAACACACCGTAACAGCCTGTCGAGAGATAAATGTTACAGACCGCTCGCTTCTCTACTTATACCAACTCTAGTAACGGCCGCAGATAGCAGTACAGAGAGCCTCGCACTCAACATAAAAAGCTGCTCTATAGCCACAAATAATGCTCAGAACAGCACCTAACTTCATCAACAGTACATATAGGGTCCAAGCCATAAAACTAGCCACCAAACATCTTTTTAACTTTGCCTTATTTTCTTGGCAAAGAGACTAAACACAACTCACTCACTCTCTTCCAGCAGTTGTTTGTACGGAGACCTCTGGGCGAGTCCATCGACTGCAGCGGGGTGACGCAGCTCAAGATATGTTTGACCCTGACTTAATGTTACGCTGGAATATCCCTTTAAGGATCTTTTTTCTGGAGGATTTTGAACAGACATTTTATTTTGTGAATAATTTCTTAATTTAGAGTATAGAAATGATAAAGCTTCTCACTGATGGTCTAAAGGCTTAAATAGTTATCAGGTTTTTATTTCAGTCTAGCTGAAAGCTTTATTGTGAGCAGCTTCACTGTGAATAAACTCTTTAGAAAAGAGCAGAAATAAAAATATGGTTGCATACAACCCAAAGCAAAACCCTCATAATATAAAATAGTATAAATCTTGTTTGTTCTTGTAGTTTTTACAATAAAATCCCTGAATACTTAGTCGTGCTTTTTCCTCCCATGCAGTCCGTCTGTCCCTGAAGTATCAGGAATAACAGTTTTAAAGAGCACCCACATCATACCGTTTTCATAGCAGTTTTAATTGTCTAATCTTTTGACAACTATTTTAATTTGTTTGTCGTAGCCTGCTGTAACACGACAGGCAACATTTATGACAGGTCTGAGCATGAGCGTGGCCTCGTTGTCGCTGTAACCAGTACACAGTGGTGTCTGTATTGGAAGTGGCAGGATGAATAAATAGCTGTCATGTATGTGTTTGTGTCTTGTCTTGTAGAGGCTAATGATTGTGAGAGGGTGGGTAAGAGCAGAGCGGCTCCCCGGCAGATGGTGGGTAATGTGGTTTGCTTTAGCTGCCCACCACGCTCCCTCTAATTAGACAGAGGAGATTATATTAACACCGGCTCCCACTCAATCTGCTCCTCCACTGAGCGTGGCCGAGCAGGAGAGAGGCGGGTGGAGATCAGAGGTGGAGGGGTTACGGAGGTGATTGTCAGTTTTTGGCAGAGTCAGAATTACAATTTGACTCAAAGCTTAATTAATTACTCTGTCAGGGAAGGAAAGTAGGAGAGCTTTGGAGAGAAGTGCTTCACATCTGATCGCTGGAAACATGTAAAATATTAAAACGCTCCTGTTGACTTTCTGAATGTCATCTGGAAATTAAGTTACTGGAGCTGCCAGATTATAACAGACCTGGGAAATCTTACAAATAATTACAAATCAGTTTGTTAATTTAACAAGATAGTTATTGCGATTAATTCAAATTGACATTAAAAAGTGAACTGTATATTATGAGGGAATTTGCAAATAAATACATCAGAGTTTTAATGTTCTCTGTGAGAGAAGCAAACATTAAAGAAGTGTATAAAATAAAGATGAAGGCAACTTCAAAGACGTACGCAGCAGTTTTATTCAGCATATTTATCATTATAATGAATTATTTTCTGTTATTTATCTACAAAAGGCATAAAACTAGAGAATAGTATTGTTGTTGTTATTGGGAGAAGCAGTAGCTGTGGACCAACAAGTGAAAACTGGACTGGGCCCTGCCAATGTGCCCTTTAGCACTGATCCTCCCCTTTTAATCCTCAGTATCAATAAGGTATTTTCTCATTTTTCTTCTACAGAGGCACATGTACTCTTAGCAAATACTCAAAACAGTGACCGCATCCTTTTCTATCCTGTTATATTCTCCAAAAGTTAGAAAAAGAAAATCATAATCATGGATGAATAACGGCTTTTATTTTAGATCAGAAAAAAATTTCTTTTTTAAAAATTGTGATCTAATGTTCTCCGCTTTCTTTTCTTTTTGCAGTTTTTTTTCCCTCTCACATCATCCATGAAGATCTCTGAGTCCTTGTTGTGTCAGAATTTTGTTTATATGCTGTCAATTTTAAGCAGAGCTGTCATTGGCAGCTAACTTTGAGGATGGTGGCAGTGAGTTCAGACTTTTAGTTTGCCCTGCTCACTAATTCAGGAATCTGAGATTGCACCCTGAGTCTCTTTATGTTTAAAATCTAAATCAGTCTTTTTAAATATGTTTTGCTCGTGACTTTTCGTAGAAAGAAAAAAGAAAAAAACAGACAACCCTTTAAACAGTTTGATATTTCAGTAGGATCCCTGTTTTACAATCAGAACGTTGTTGTAGAATTGCAAAGTGAAAGTGAACATTAACTCCTACTTAACCCCTAGGACCCTACTTTGGTTTCAGAGCCATACTGATCAGTTAGAATAAAATCCTTCAGGGCATCAAGTATGTGAAATACTTTTCCTCCAACAGCATTAAATGCTCACGATCTTTACACTATTGTTCAGTAACAGTAACAAGATTGAATACAGTCATATACTGTAGATTATCACAGGAGAAAACTGTGAGCCTAAACAACAGAGCAATAAAAAACCAAGAGAGCTGGATCATAGCAGAGAGAGTGTAAAGCCTGCAGGCTGAAGTTTAGCTGACGGGGTTTAAGTCATACAGCTAGAAAACAGATTACGCAATAAAATGTTCACAGTGTACTCTGGGGGGAACTTTTAGATAAATAAAAACTAGCACCCTGCAGGAACCAATGGGCCCCAGCCGTGCCATGTCGCAATCTCTGTGGACTGCATCCCAAACATACCACCGCTCTGTCATACTGCCAGTCACAAAAATATCATTGTATAGTATTATAAAAATTCATAGTATTGTATGATAAAATGGTCATAGTATAGTATGAGTAAAATGTCACAGTATAGTATGATAAAAAATTTCAAATTTAAATTAAAAAAAAATTAATTGGAGGGTATGTTAAAAAATGTCATACTAAAGTATGATGAAAAAGGTCATAGTATAGAACAATAAAAATTTCAAATTTTGGTATAAAAATTGTCATAGTATAATATTTTATTTTAAATAAATATTAAAATATAACTAAAAAATTATATAATATATTAAAAAAAAAAATTAAATATAATTTTAATATAATTTATATTTTATAAATATAATTTAAATCCATTTTAAATATTAATTTTATATTTAAATATGAAGAAAATTACATTTTACCATAAAAAATTTCATAATATGGTATGATATAATGTGTTAATATAGTGTAGTAAAAATGTCATAGAATTTATTTAAAAATGAATAAATATAACATAGTACATTATACCAAATATGTTATATTTCAATTTGAAAAACAATGTCATAGAATATTATTATAATATATATTTGTTTCACATTGTAGTATGAAAGAAAAATTCATATTAAAGCGTGAAAAAAATATCATATTTTAGCATTTAAAAAAGTCACTATAGTATGATTAAAAATGTTATAACATAGTTTTTCAAAAATTTCACAATTCAGTATAAAAAAAGTACATTTTAACAAAAAAAATGTCATAATATCATATGTTAAAAATGTCCAATTTTAGTATGAAAAAAAAAACCCATTTTTAAGCTTTAAAAAAATATCAGTGTACAGTATGATTAAAATGTCATAGTAAGTATGTCAAAAAAAAATTCTATTTTGATATGAAAAAAAAAAAGTCCTAGTATATATTAGGTAGAATTTCTTCAGCCACTGATTTCATCTTTGAGGGTAGTGGAGCTGTGCCACTCAGAAACCCTGGATTCTTTGGTGCTAGATTTCTGGAGCCATGGGCCCCCGACAACCATCCCCAACAAGGACCTTGTACCCATGTTTAACATCACTCAAGCTCCCAAAATATGTTGTGCTTTGTTATTACCCTACATGGACTCTCCTTCAGGTCAACAAGATGAGAGCAGAATGTTTGAAAACATGGATGGCTATATATACTTGAACAGTCTCAGACCAGTCTTTGTTACACTTGTGGCATCATGAAGCTGTAACCCATATGTGCAACCAGTAAAGCGTGTCAAAATGATCATTTGTGTGGAAACCTCCATTCTTTACAGTTTAACATGGGCAAGGCATCCTTACAGTATTGTATGATGAATATGTCATAGTAGAGTATGTCAAAAATGTCCAGTTATGGTATAAAAAAAATTATATTTAAGCATGAAATAAAAAATGTAATAGTCTAGAATATTCAAAACTTTGTGGTATAATATGTCAAAGATAACATATTTAGGTATGATTTTTTTTTTATTTCAGCAGAAAAATAATAATGTCATAATACAGCATGTTAAAAGTGTTGTATTTAAGTATGAAAAATCATATTTAATAGTGAAAAATGTATAAAATTTTTGTGTGATATAAATGTCATAGAATAGGATGTCAAAAATCTCAAATTTTGGTATGAAAAAAAAAATCTTATTTTAGCATGAAACAAAAATGTCATAGTATAGTATGTCAAAAATGTCATATTTTAGTATAAAAAGAAATTTCAACTTTAAGCGTAAAAAAAGATGTCATAGAATAGTATGATATAAATGTCAAAGTAAAGTATGTCAATACTATACATGTATTTTTGTATGAAAAAAATGTCATAGTATAGTATGTTAAAAATGTAATATTTCATCATTAAAAAAAGATCATATTAAGGAGTAAAAAAATTGGACATTGTATAGAATGTCACATTAAGTATATAAAGATTTCAATTTTCAGCATGTCATAGAATTATATGATTAACATTCCTATGTTAATACTGTCATGGTAAAGTATGTCAAAAATGTCATATTTTGGTAAAAAAAAATTTAGCATGAAAAAATTGTCATAGTATAGTATGACAAAAATATCATAGTATAGTATGTCAAAAAGGTCCAATTCTGGAATTTTTTTTTTTTAATATTTTGGCATGAAAGAAATTTCATAGTATAGTATGATAAAAATATTATAGTATAGTATGTCAAAAAGGTCCAATTCTGGTATGAAAAGAAATATCATTTTTTACTGTGAAAAAAAATGTGATAGTAAAGTACGATAAAAATTACATAATATAGTATGTCATAAATTCTATTTTAGAATATATAAAAGAAATTCATATTCAGCATGATAAAAATGTCATAGTATAGTATGTCAAAAATGTCCAATTTTTGTGTAATTTAAAAAAAAATATTTTGGCATGAAAAAAATGTCATAGTATAGTATGGTAAAAATGTCATAGTATAGTATGTCGAAAATGTCCAATTTTGGTATGAAAGGAAATTTCATTTTTCAGTGTGAAAAAGTATATGTCGTAGTATAGTATGTCAACAATGTCCATAGTTTAGTATGGTAAAAATGTCATAGTATAGTATGTCGAAAATGTCCAATTTTGGTATGAAAGGAAATTTCATTTTTCAGTGTGAAAAAGTATATGTCGTAGTATAGTATGTCAAAAATGTCCAATTTTGGTTTAAATTTTTTTTTATTTTTTGGCATGAAAAAAATGTCGTAGTATAGTATGATAAGAATGTCATAGTTTGGTATGTCGAAAATGTCAAATTTTGGTATGAAATTTTTTTTAATATTTTGACAAGAAAAAAATGTCATAGTATAGTATGATAAAAATATTATCCTATAGTATGTTAGAACTGTCCAAAATGTCAAATTTTGGTGTAAAAAAAAAATCGTATTTTAGCATGAAAAAAAACGTGAAGGTATCGTATGCTTAAAAATGTCACATTTTAGTATGAAAAAATCATTTTTTATTGCGAAAAAAATTTTATGGAAAAGTTTTACAAAAATATCATAGTTAAGTATGGTAAAAATGTTTTATTTTAGTAAAAAAAATCAACATATTTTAGTATGAAAAAAAATGTCATAGTATAGCTAGTTAAAAATTTCATATTCTAGTATAAAAATATATATATTTTGACATAAAACCAAGGTCATATTCTAGTATGTTAAAAAAATACATAATGTAGTATTTTTAAAAAAAAATCATATTTTAGCATGACAAAAATGTCATAGTATAGTATGATAAAAATGCCATCACATAATTTGATAAAAATATCATAGTGTAGTATGTGCTTGCATCATCGTCTCAGGCCCTAAAAAATAGGACAGAAAACTCAAAGAGCACATTGCACTTGCAGGATAACCTGCTGAATCCCAATAGGCTAACATAAAAACTCCAACATCAAAGGTATGTACACTTAAAGCTGCCAGCACTTGTAATTAAGAGTTTCACTTTCATTGTGCTGTTAGGGAGCACAGTAGACCTGATCCACTGATTCTCAGCTTCTTCTACATCTGGGATAAAGCTCAGGACAGCTGCTTCTCTGGCAGAGGGCCATTAGAGGTCACCGCGAAGCCCAGAGTGACTCCAGCTGTTTGCACGAAGCCCAGATGACACATAAACTCTATAAACAGCTTAAGACTGTGAAGGTTTGTGGCAGGAGCCAATAAACCGTTAAGAGGGATCAGCATTATTGTCTTTGTCCAGATGATTGCAGGGACTTCAGCAGAGCTGTAAAAGGGAGATGCGCAGGTTGATTTAGGAGTGCAGAGGCTGAAGAGAAAGAGAGGAGGCAAAATGTTGAATGGTCAAGATAAGTCATAGATTAAAATAGAATAAATTGACTCATTTAACGTAAAAGTGGGGTGACAGATGAATTACTACGCTGGGTGTAAGTCATCTTTTTGAATGAGTAATTATGAAAATGAAGTTAAAATGGTGAGTTAAAGTTAATGGATAAACAGTTCCAATAGTTACCTATGAGTGATGGATAAATAATCTCAGAAGTAAAAAGTTGGTTCAAAGTAATAGATGACTAAACAACAGATAATACAAGTTACCCATAAATGTAAAAAAAATTTAAATAAAAGTTTTGGGTAATTGTTGAATTGGTTCCAAAAAAGTTACAAGATAAATGTTAGAAATATCAAGTTCAGAATATGTAAAAAAAAATACAAAAATTGACAGAAATAAATTGATAAAAGCTGAAATATGAGGTAAGTTTAAAGCTACTGTAAGGAGTTTTTGATAATGTATGAAACAGACTGAAAATAATCATGCCAAGTCATACATTTTAACTGTAGTTTTTCTGTCAATTTACAACACTTGCAGACGAAACCATCAACAATCAATATGAGTCCACAGGGGGCGCCAAAGACAACAACACAAAGTTCCTCACAGGAGCTTTAAAATGATAATGTAACTGTTAAGATAGATAACAAGAACTGAAGGAAACAGTGACATTTGTTGTAATAGCTGTTTCGGAAAAATGTGTGTAACAGTTTAAAAAGTCATTTTTGTAATTGAAAGTTAAAAGTGGTACATTCACGGTGAAAATAGAGCTATGGTAGCTGAAACACTCACGTGGTAAGTATAAAAAAAGAAACTAAAAATTCAAAGTTGAATCAGTAAATTGAAATTAATTGATGTTCACTTTAAAAGGTGAACAAAATAAAAAAGGATAAATTGTTCAAACTGTAAAAAGTGGTGGATAAAGGGGAGGCATAGCCTTCAGATTTGGAGATTATGAGAGATGGTTTGCTTTGAGTTGTAGACAAACTGGTAAAATAGTTGAAATGAATGGATATATTTTTCTGCTTCAAGAGGAAAGTGAAGGAAAATTCTGTTAAAACAACTAATCAAAAAACTTATAAATAAAAAACACTGTCAGTGTGGATCTCAGCTGTTAAAGTATTCCTCCAAAAGCTGGTTTTATAAAAGAGAGAGGACTTAATTATATTAAAAAGAGCATGTTTCTTTTAATTACTGAAAAACACTATTTTTTATCATTATTTTTTTGTCATTAGTTATGTCTGCAATACTCAATATCTGATATCAAATCATTTTCAAAGATCACATGTCCGTCCGTCGCTGAGTGGTTTCAGTGCAGGGACTTTGTCAGTAGGGGGCTGTGGAAGTACGTCTGAGAAAAAGGTTGAGAACCACTGTCATACAGGGTTTCATTATTGAACGCAGGCGGCAGAAACAGGAGGCAAATGAGACAGGGTGCATAAAATAGTAACTTGTTTTATTCTTTTTTTAACCATGCCACCGAACACTGACGCATACAGAGTTGTGCCTGAATCCACACTGAGAAAAAACACTTTCACACACTGTGTTACAAAGCTGTAATGAAGAGGGATTTTACTGCACACATGGCAAGAAGAACAACCCTGATTGGACACCAGGTCGAGCTTTGATCTGGCCCTGAGGTAGACAGACATTGACATAATCTAAACAATGCTAATCACATCGTTCTAGGACACATCAAATAAAAGGATATCTGCATTATCACAACATAGAAAGATTAAAGAAAAAAACCCTTTTCAAACAAAAGTGCTCTGTTTCTTTTGGTCCACCAAGGAAATCCATTTATAGTGCATGTTCATGTAGAATAGATACAGTGAATGTGTGTTTTTTCATGGCACTGAGTGTTGTTGGCTACTTAGAGAGGCATTCTTCATGCCCGCAGATGCCAAGATTTGCTATACACACGATTTTTTTTATCAACCCAAAGATCTCAGTCCGTCGCCACTTTGAAGGGAACAATTTGAAGCAAGTACACGCTTGTCTCAGAGTACCAGCCACTATCACAGTAAGTTGCCTCTGGTTGCAATGTTCAGACAAAGTGGATCTACATGGCAGTCTATCTTTAATTAAGTAACAATAAACAAACACCCAGAAACAACTACCAATAGCACAGACCCATGTACTCAAGCACATCGATGCTCTACTTAGAAAAGAGGCACAAGGGAGGGGTCTGGATCGAATCAGAGACTTATAAAACACACACATTAAGATGTTTCTCAAATCATACCAAATGTAAACAGATAGCAAATTACTGTAATACAAAAATACAACATGTTTTTATTCTATAAGGCCTATATTAGGCTCACATAGGGGAATAACATACAATGACAGTTTGTACATTACAGCTACACTAGAACTGACAATAACCTGCTCATAGTGATTCAATTTCAGAATTTTCTGTCCAGCTTTTATAAAAAAAAGTTGTCTTTTTTTCAATTTTCTCCTAGAAAATTCTGATTTTGTGATTTTAGAAGACATCTATATATAGTTAATGATACAAAACTACACGTAAAAGCCATGATGTGGCTATTAGAATTTTTTTTTCACACCGTTTGACCATTTAATTGGTGATTTATCTGATGGAAAAAATTAAGAGTACAGATGAATGAATCATTTGCAGTAGGTTAAAACAAACGGTGAAAAGTGAGGAGGTAGAGCTCACTCTACTAGAAATCATCCCGAGAGATGCCGACTGTGATGAAAACCAGCACGTATTTGGTAACGAAGAAACAACATATAAATAGCAACACCTCTTACATTGCAGGAGAAACTCAAATTGTAAGCCAGCTACCTTGAAATAATGTCACCCACTGCAAGAAAAGACAAGGCAATTAAAGAGATCAAGCTTATGAGGTCAAAACGTGGCAGCCATTCAAGTAAAACATGCAGGAAGTAAACAACTTCAAAATAAAAACCCAACAGCAGAAAAAAAACAAACAAAAAACTGAAAAGTCACAAGAGTTTAGGAGAGTAAAGTGTTGCAAAGTTCAGCCAGTCAAGCCTTCATGGAATTATTTTCAACATCTACTGCACAATCATAAAAGATGACCCATGTTGTCTGCTTTAGCAATCAATCAATCAAGCATTCAAAGAGCCGCTGCTACACATACAGGTCAGCAGCCACAGCCTCTGCGGCTTTAAATCTAACCACAGTGGAACCATTAAAGTTACAGTTTTCATTGAAACTGCGAGTGAGGAGGGAGAACGTGTTTGTGCGCACCAGGGCTGAAGAGAAAGAGGCGCCGGGGAACTATTTGTTGATCAATCGATTGATCGTGTCAGACATATTTTTTTTGAGTTTGCTGCTTTTTCTCTGTTTATGCCGTTGTAAGCTGAATCTCTTTTGGCTTCGACTGTCGGTTGGACAAAAATAGTTATTTGAAATTTTACACCTTGACACCAAGATGTGACATTTTCACACTGAAGATTCTTCGCTCAGTAGTAAAAATAAGCTAATTGAAAATGAAACTGATCATTTCTTGCAGCCCTCGTGTCGACACAAATTTTTATTCTTAGTTGCATGTCTCTGCTGTCAGGTAAAAACCTTGTGTTTCCCAGAACTCTAACAACAACCTACATTGCATTTTTTTTTTTATTTCATTCAAAAACAGTCTGATTTTTATTCTTTTTTTCAACCTACAGGTAAACGTTTGTAACCCATCAGGATGAAAAATCAGCAACACTGGAGCTACGAGGTTTTCACCCAGCAGTGAGCATGTGGGTCAGACTGTGCACGAGTCCAAGTCCCGCTCAGACGTAACAGACATACAGGTAAGTCTTTTCTATCCTCCAGTCGGCCGGCACTTCCTCAGGTTTGTGGCTCTTCATGTGCTTCTGCATGGCGGCCAGGCTCGGGCAGAAGTCCTGGCAGATGGTACACTGGTACGGAGACGCTCCGTTGTGTGTGCGCAGGTGCTTGATCATGGCCGAGTAGTCTCTGGACCGTTGGTGACACAGCTTACACTCAAATGGCTTCTCACCTGAAAAATTCAACAACACGGCATTAACCTTGTAGACCTGAAGCCAGACACCTGCCAGGTGAAAGAGGATTCAGCTCTGGTACAGTCCACTGTCCTTGTTGTGGTGTTTTTCTGCGTGTGTGTGTGAGGATTACGTCTACACTGACCTGCTTATCGGTCGATCGCGTCATCCAGAACAAAAACGAGGACTTTGTCATTAAATATTTGTAACAAAAAAAGACTTAACTGGCTAACTGAGCGGCTCAAGAGGAGAGTACACAGAGCTGGGAAGTCAGAATTCAGTTGTATTGTTCCTATTTCACTTCTCACAGTAAAAGAAACTCTAAAAACAAACAAGCTTCCCATCAACTGCATGACTGAACGTCAACACCACAAAAACTAAAATCTCATTGAGTAGATTTGCCTCATTTTTAGTCAAAATATCTCATTACACCTCATTGAAGCTACATTATCTTTTTTTAAATTATCAAGAAAATCCTGCCTCCTTAATTAGCAACTGCATTCACTCATTACAATCAGTAAAATCTTCATTTTTGACTCTTAATACCAACTCTGAATACACAGCTAGATAGTCAAAGTGCAATAATGAGCAACAATGATGCAAAAATATTCTCTTCTTGGATAGGTGGAGATCTGACTCAAAACACACATAAAAGTTGTTGATTATAATATGCTATAAAATAAAGAGAGCTCCCATGCTAAAAGTGAGTTTTTATTACTTAGAGAACTTTTTAAATAAAGTCCCTTTTGTGTTATTTGAGTAAAGAGAACAGACATTTTTTGGGTCGTGTTTGGTGTTGTCATGTTTTTCTGTCTTTTTATCAAGTAACCATACTTTAACCTGGTACTGTGTGCATTTAGTGGTTAAATTTGAAGGTTCTCTACAAACTTCAAGTTAAAAAAAACTGCTAAATCGGTCAAATTTTTATCTTATTTATCCTTAATTTTGTGAACATGGCCATATCATGATGAAAACACGATCAGTCAAAGCGAGGAAGGGCACAACAAAGGTTGAGCGACAGGTTACTGCTTTGGAGGAACACTGCTAAAGTCATAGTTTTATTTTGTTTTAAGGCCAAAACTGTTAATATGTTATTGTGACTTTTCTGTACAAGTATCCATTTTTTTTCAAGAATTTTTTATAATTACATAGAGTAAATTTGTATGTATCTACACTAACACAGTTGGGAAATTTAGTTTTTAGGGTATGTTGGAGTTCTACAAAAAGCACAAAATTTCAGCTGCACACAAATAGATGTAAAGTGAAATTTCAGTGTGATAGTGTGTTTGCTGTTGAGTCAAAATAAACTACAATTCATAGTAGGAATGTTGAATGCAGTCTTGGTTGAATAAGAGGGAAAATCAGGATCACCTGCACTTTCATTTGATATTTAAAGTTATGCGTCTCTTCTGTGTGTTGTTGCGCTCTCGTCTCTGCACCCTCACCTGTATGTACACGGTAGTGTGTTTCTAGCTGGTGTTTGAGGCTGAACCTCTTCCCACAGCCGTTGCACTCGTAAGGCTTCTCTCCCGTGTGGATGCGTTTATGGCCTCTCAGCGTGCCGTCGTCTCTGAAACAGCTCCCGCAGAATTCGCACTCAAACGGGTGATCGCCTGCAAACAAAGTCATGTCAAAACAGCGGCCACCAAACAGACACAGCCCTTTACCATGACGTGGCATTAAAAGATAACTTCACCCTCGTCACGACAGTGTTAGGTGCGTACGAAGCTGCATAGGTCAAATCGTCACGGAGCCCTCTCTGCACATGCATATCAAGCGGGGAAATAATGTGCTTTCAGACATCGCTAATGTTATGACACGAGGACACTCCTTTTGGCTGTCTGCTAATAGCTAATAAAAGTCCTCCAGGCATGTGCTGCTCTGTTCTCTATACAGTAGTTAATCTATTTCTCTCCTAGGCTGAGGATTTGACTCATCTCCAATGACCTATGTGCCTCATTATCTCAGTGTCCACAGCAACAGCCAAGTCAGAGGATACATTGCTCTCCTCATTACAGGCCGATTCTCCCCAATCCCCCCACCCCACTGTGGAGCAGATGACATTTACAAAATGTTACTTCCAAGCAGAATGGCATACAAACAAGATACGCTGCCATGGCCAAAACTCCCTTCACTTCTGTCTCTTCACATCAATTATGTATTTCTCCTGTCTAGACATCAAGTCGTCGTGACAGCTGGGAGTGTTATTTAAGGTAAAGGAAGAAAGGGGGACATCTTTTCAGTAAATATCTCTCCGTCTCCTGCGGCTCTAAGACTCACCCTCGGTAGAACACACAGACAAGTCATTTCCATTTGCTTTTCCTTCAATATTTATTTGGGTTTCCTCTATCATTTTGGGTGAACCACACTAGAACTGACAGCCGTGAATTGCAGAAGCCCAAAGGCTGTCTAAGAACCCAAAATATAAACAGGATGAAATTGCCCAAAATATGCACCGGCCATAACGGTACAGTGCTGTCATCAGAGAGGTGAGTCATCTTATAGAGAAGGGAAACGGAGGGTGGGAGAGGATGCATGCAAATTGACTAAAACCTTAAAGCGGTAACCTGAGGAAATTAACCCAAATACCAAAATAAATACAGCATTTCTAAATAGAACATTTCCTCTAATATATGCATGCGTTTAACACTGCATGTCTGTTTTACGACAGGAAATAACACCACACACATGGATGATGCTGTGTTTGATCTCTCTCTCTCTTTTTCTTCTTCTTACCCGTGTGCGAGCGCAAGTGTCTTTTAAGGGTGGTGTGGCTGGGGAAGGGGCGCTCACAGTGGCTACAGATGTAGCTGTGCATGCCTGCATGGACCTCCATGTGCTGCTGCAGGGCCTTCTGGGTCTGGAAGCGCTTCGCACACAGCAGACAGAACACCGCCATGTCAGTCCCTGGAGAACGCACAAGACACAGACACAGTTATTTCAGTACCATACACAGACAGGGCCTTAAGTGGGGAAACTGGGTCACTTCAACTTTGTGTGAGTCCTCTGAGGGAAAAGCTTCTTTCAAAGAGCAAGTGCCTCTACCTAAACTAACTCCCCTAAAAGCCCAGAGGCACTTTCAACTGTGAGTCTTTATACGTTCTATTTTAAACCATGAAAGTCATTGTTTTCTTTAAGAATTTCCCACACAATGCACAGCATGCCAATCACACAATCAATGGCTCCTTCCTGGTGTGTTAGATGTGTAATTATTCTCTTCATTCCCCATCAGGAGTCAGCTCCAGCCTGTGAAGTCCTCTGTCTGTGTGCTCAAAGAGCGGCTGATAGTAGCTCCACCCTAAATGATGCCTACACTATGCGCTCTGTGCAGAATGTTAAGTAGTGATATCAAGCCATTAAAGGCAGGACTGCAGGAAAAAACACAATCCAGTTTAATCCTGTGTGTGACCTGGCATCTCTTTGGGGCTGCTTTCCTGTTGCACAGAGTGTGGGGAGGAATACAGATAGGGAGACGCTGGCAGGGTAGCTCAAGTCAAAATGGCTCTGTGAAGAAGATCCATTGGCTGTCATACAGTCAACACTTGATCTACAGGCTGTGAACGCCAGCTCTCAAATCTGCTCTGGCATTTACACTGATGTATATTCATATTTGTGGCAAGACAGAGGGACTGGTTAATCAGCGGTGTTGGACATAATGTGCTTGTCCTGCAGAGTGAAGCTTTAATGTGAGATTATGAGCTCCTTATTTCTCTGTCTGCTCAGGTTGCAGATCATTTACAATGCTAGCAGGTCCCATTGCTTCTGACTCAGATTCAATCAGACATCTCCAGCGGAGGATCATTAGTAAACAGAGGACTGTGCCAGCACTTCATTGGAATTCAAGTGGGGTTGCTGTGTCGCATTTAAAATGCAGTCTGATGAGGTCCACTAAATCAAATCATTTGTTACTGTTATTGAAGTGCCTTGAGGCAACTGGCAATTAAATTGGAATTAACGCAGGGAAAGGGATACAGCACACTCATACTAAGAGGGAAGAGTGTCAGACACTTGCTTTAGGTTCGATCAAGTTAACAGACAAGCCTGTTCAGAGTGGAGAGAAAGGGAAACAAATGGAGCAAATTCACATTTTCATGGATAAATCAGACACATCCACTGTGTATTGTTTACTAATCCACGTATCACAATTTGCTCAAACAAAGCCAGGCGCTTTTTTTAGACTTTGCATTTCACGGATAAATACTATTTGGTGTACGAGCATTAAAGCCTCCTCTTTCAGATGACTGTCCCTCTTTTTTGAAATCCTCCTGACACTAATAGAACTGATCATTCTTAATCATTAACAGAAAGGATGACAGGATGAAAGACCATCCCCTGATCTTAACAATCCTGCGTGGAGGCGATCCGCTGGAATGAACTGCACCTGTTCGGAGGCTTTAGCCTGTGGACTTCCACACAAAGGGCACACAATGAGGTCCAGGCCCTCATTGACCAAGCCCATTAGTCATAGGCTCCTCACGTAACTCCTGCAATCCCTGTCTTTATGCTGTCACCTAATGACCAAAGCCCTTTTCTCACCCACAGATCACAATATTTTAGTTGGAGACAAAAGACCCACCATTCTCAACGCCTCTGCACCCTCCCCTCTCCCCTTTTTTCCGCTGACCATCCAGGAAACCCTTTCACTGTCTAACCAGCCTCTCTCTCTGCCTGAGTCATACTTAACCAAAGTAAGTTCGCTCTGCTCTGTGCATCAGTGGAGTCCGGATAATGATCTATCTAAAAAGAAAAAAAAAAAGGAGAAAAAATGGCTGAAGACATTAAAAAGCACAGATTTCAGTCTCTGCGTGATCTTTGATGTGGAGGCTTGAGCCACTCTTTAGTTTTTTTGTGGTGATTATTTCAGGAGCCAGCAGGGGGAGTTCTTTCTCTCTAATACGTCCAGGTCGGTTTAGCTTCAGGCAGAGAACCCTCAACAAACTGAATAACATATTATCCACCTTGTAGATACTTCAAAGGTTCTTTAATCATGGTCTCGCCTCTCTCTCTTTATTAAATATAATATATAGTAAACGCTTGTTTTAATGCAGTCTGCTCACTTTGTTCTGTCTGCTCTGAAAGTTGAACATCCCCCCCTTCCTCCTCCTCTTTGTGCAGGTAAAGCCTAACTCCCTGACACACTCGCGCAGACTGTCACAGATGTATATCCTGATCCTTCTGTCACCAACGATACTGAAACTTGAGAAAAGAATTGTGACAAATATTCTGTCACAAGCATCTCACTCTTGATCTCAGGTTGACACACAGTGACAACAGCTCAGGAGTCGTTTTTGGTTTTATTCTGCGCAAGCGGTGCTGAAAATAAAAATAACAAATAATATCTTGAAGTGTAAACAAAAAATAAAAAACAAAACAAGAAAAAAAAAAAACCTTTGGAGCCGAGGAAGTGTTTGTGCGTTAGTGGTGGCATTTCGCCTCGCTGCGCTCTGTTAACTTTTCAAACAAAAAGGATTTGCAGTTGTAGAGTTTTCCAGTAAGCTTTGGTAATAAGTGCAGAGGAGCTTCTTTATGAGAGAATAAGCCCTAAAGTTGGCTGTCATTGCCCCCTGCTTTCTCACCCTCAACAAGACAATGGGCCTGGGATTTGTGTTTTAAGGCACAGGATGACCCCTGACCCTTGGTCCTCAATGGGGTAAATACCATGTAATCAATGGTATTCCTCAAAGGCCGCGGAGTTGACTGGGCATTGTGTTTAGTGGGAGGGAGCCTTAACAGTGGGAATAATGAGCTAGGTTTAAGCGAGAGGCTGAAAATATAAACATTTACTGTGTGTGTGTGTGTGTGTGTGTGTTATTTCCCCGAGCTGCCTGTCGAATGTATAATTAGATCGGTAACTCAGGACGCTTTTAGTTTGTTACACCACTTCCACGTATCTCCAGTAAGACGATGCGCACGCTCATGTGATTTAACATGGTCTGCCTTTATGCATCTGCCACTTATTCAGCCTGGGCTGAGGTGGGAGCCAGCCACGCTCTCACGCTGCCTAAGAAACAAAACCATGTGTCTAGGCAACCAGATAGGATCATGGTCCTTGTTGGGGTGAAGTGTTCAGGCTAATCCCTTCATTCACAAATAAGCGCAGCCTGTTTCTTTTCAGGTGCCGAACAAAAGTTTTCCCACCCTGAGAATCTGGGAGTAAACCCACTGCAAATTGAACAAGAGTTTGCATTCAGTGACGACTGCAAATCTGTATAATTTCGCCTGTACAATCTTAACTTCAGCGCTCAGAGCCCTCCAATTAAACTGATTTATTTAGGAGTCATTTGTCTTCGTGTTTGCTGCAACACACAGAAGCAAAACATTCATCCTGAGCTGTAACTCAAACAATAACATCTTCTCCAGAATTTGATCTATGAAGTATTTTGTGATGGTTGCTGAATTAAAGTTATCCTTGAAATGGTAAAAAAAAAAAGATTCACTTCACACAATCTTACATCAGTGACTAGCGGGAGTATGCAATGTGAAGTCACTATAAACTCTGTCCTTAGGCCGTGCTGAGTACAGTGCGCTCACCGTCTGCTGTTTCACTGATATCTCCCAGTTAAGCACACACAGTCATTCAGGCTACATTATGTGCTGGACCTCACATGACCCTGTGCATTCATGCTACTGTATGTGCTCATGCAGACACGGCAGTGATGTGGCAGCACTGTGAGAGGAACAAACGCTACAGTACCTTAAACAACCCCGGGCTCTCATCAGTAGACTGCTAATCTACCCGAGAGAGGAACAAGCGACTTAATAATTAATGCAACAAGAGATACGTTGCTCGTGTTTAACCACCATCCAATGGATCGGTTCATTGAGGTCACGCGCCGTTTCGTTTGCCTCGATTCCTGGAATGTTTACAATACATCGGCTATAATTCACTGTATGTTACATAGACAGGGCATCCGGGGCTGTGAGTGTAATGACAGTGCAGTGCAAATAAAATACTGGGGGCACCATGTTCAAAGAGATAACGGTTCAATTCAGTTTAGGGCTTATACGAGTTACATGAGTATTAACAGGGGAGAGCTTGATGACAGACACACTATTAGGCGAGCTAAAAGGTCTACATCAAAAGGGCTGCATTGTAAAGCCTGTGCTGTATGTGAATGGGCTACAGGACTGTTTAATTAGTGCTTGGACAGAAGGTAATATTATTCACTTGATGAAGCAGCCTGTAATGTGTGGAAACAGTGCAGCTGCTGTGAGTGCACAAAGGCACCACTCTTATGGCCTTTGCCTCGCAGGCGAGGTGGCAAAACGGTCGGCCAGCATGGTTCGAAGCATATACGGTCAATTTCAGTGTGTGCGGTAGATAAGCTACGGTCTTGGGTTTTTCCAAAATTGAAATCTTGTTGCCCCAGAGCCTCAACTTGCTCTGATGAAACAAACCCCTTTGTTGTGAGAGCGGTTCGGAGACAGATCCATTCTTTTATTTTGGGCACTGACAAGTAGGTCAGAGGAGACTATGACAGAGCTGTGGTGAGGAGTAAACAGCAGCACATGATGTTGTTTTCCTCTCAGTCCTGGCATCCAACACCAGCAGCAATCCTCCTGCCCCCAGGAAGTCCTCACATACCCCCTCCCCCCCTCCCCTTCCCACACTCCACCCCGCCCCCAACAACCCCCCTTTGATCTCCAACTTAAGCCACCCACGGCCATTCACCTCTGACATATCAAACTGGCTAAAGAGCCTTTAACTGTAGTTAGTGTTGCCAAATTGCTTTAGAGTAAGATTTCCCAAAAGTGGTATTATTTCTCCTCCTGAGGAGGTGGACAGCAGCGCTGCAGCTGCTGAGGTCTGGCAAGTGTTAATCTGCTAAAAGGAAACTCATTTGGCTCACTGGTTATGCCACATGGCAAATTAAAGCCCAGGCTGCCCAGTCGGCACTAAAGCACGGAAAGATCCTGTTTTAGGAGGAATAAAATCCAGGTTCAATATTTATTCAGTGTAATTCTTCGCAATGAGTTGAGCAATGTCACAATTTCCCCACACAACCTCAAATAGCTGATAAATTACCTGTAGCCTATGACAGTGCAGACTGTGATATGAGTCAGTAAATAAGGTCATGCGTCACAGCAGGCCGAGCTGAGATCACGACAAAATGCGAGAGTAATGCCCTTCTGTACCTCGCTGTGCTGACGATACTCTGCCAAGCTGAAACTGAGCTCTGGATGTTTACAAGTTGGGAGAGATGAGGGTAGAAACTTCTGGGCATCGTTGACACCCCTCCATGTCCACATCCATTAAGTATTCATACTGTGTGTGCCACCTGGAGTTACAGTTACATGCCAATGCTCCTAGGAGGGTGATCACCTTTCTCTGACAGTAGCAGAAAAGGTGTGGATTCAGACACGGCCAGGCATATGTAACCTCTGACAGTACTGGACAGATTTCACTCAAACACACGTTTTCATTATAACTCACTTTGATTGTTTTACATCATGATAAATAGTAAAGAAACATTTTAATACAAGGCGTCAATAGCAACTTTATTCACATCAATTATCTCATTGTTGGGAATAAGCTGTCCTCATGTCTTTAATGTCTCTGTAAACTCTAACTCGAGCCCAAAAAACAGTTTTTATACTTTGTTTCCACTTTCTTGTCCTCAAGGAGATTTCCACTTGAGTTTATTTTCATTTACAGACATGATACGCTGAAGTTAATAGGTGTGTATTTTTATCGCCACATGAAAATGTGTTGTAAATGTGGAAAATGTTTGTAGGAAATCATGTGACTGTTGATTGGCGTGTCTTTTTTTTTCTCTTATTACCTCTTAAATTTAGATTTCAGTCCGATTTATGAACGTGAAAACTCCTGACAGGAGCTTCAAGCCCTTTTCTAAGTTATCTTCTTCATCTGTAATGTAGCCTTTTGATACAGTCACACTGTTGTGTGTGTTTAATAACATTGACGTTGTCTCACCACAATCTTATCTCAGCCGTGGACAAAAGGCAACTATATTTAGTCATGGATTGTGTTAAATGAATTAGCATTAATCACAGATCATGTCAGCCGGTAATTACAAGATGTAATACAGAAGTTGAACAAGTTGATCACAGGTTTCCATCGCTATTTTTTCCCAGCGGGGCGATTAAATGACAGAAAAAAAGCCAAAATTTCGAAGTGGAGTCCTTTTCTAAGTGGCCTAATTTGTCAAACCGAATGTCCAAAAACCTAAACGTTTTCAGTTCTCTGTTGTAAAAGAAAATACTGACACTAGAGAGGCTGGAAATTACTTCAACATTCAGATCTACTTAAAATAAACCAACAAACTGTAAGTTATAATAATGTCATGGCCAGTAGGCTGTTGCTTATCTGAGAAGATGTCAAAGGGGATGATGTGCTGGCACTGAACTGAATCTACAGCTTTGTGAGATTTGGTGTTTTTTGACATGTCTCATTTTAGTATTTTTCTGTATGTACAGGTTACTGACATCAATAAGGTTGTAAACATCAACTTATTAATCCTTAATAACTTGATTCTGATAATAAAATAGTCCCACAAGCAAAAACATTTTTACAATAAAATGGCTTCTTTTACGAGTTTTCTATGACTTATCTTGATTTAACGGATTTCTCTTTAAAGCGAGTTGCACTTAATTCTCCCTCTTTTATAATCTTGTCTTCTGTCCTCTCTACTGTTGGTTTATTTTCCCAGAAGCAAAGTGACCGTAAGTCACTCTGATACTTATTTTGTCAGAGCACTTGTTACTAATAATACAGAAGTCTGGGAATGTGGGTTTTGAGAATCAATTTAAAAGTTCAAAACAGCTCCGGCTCCTCAGGCAGATTGTTCCAAACTCTTTAGAGTCCTCGTTCTAAATCACATGTTGACTAGACAAACCGCAGCTTTAAAAAAATAAAAAAGAAAGGATTCATGATGATGCCAACTTTTAATTTAAGACACAAAGTGAAAAGAAAAGACCCAAGTAAAAACACTCTCTCTCGTTTGAGCTGATAGAAAAAAAAGGTGTTCATGTTATTGTGAGTGTGAGGTAAATAATCCCACAGGTGCTGTCAGGCAGGACGAGGTGAGGATAGTATGTCTGTGAAGCTGTACTGCTGGCACTGTGAGGAACGGCTGTGGCAAAGTGGCATGCAGTGGGTTTACATGCCAAGAGATATTAGTGGGTGATATGTGAGAGGGCCTCCCACCTCCCTGATGATAAATTATGGAGCATCATGACAGGAACAGTTTAACCCAGCCAGCATGACAGGCAAGTTTAGAGCCATGATCAGAAGTCCTGTAGTCACGGCTTACTCGACAGCTCAGTGCGTGATGGCCAGGTTAAACTCAATATGGGAGTGTGTGTGCGTGTGCGAGCATGTATTTATAAGTACCTGTGTGTGTTTGCCTGTGGGCTTCCAGAGCATCCTCAGAGGAGAAAGTCGCTCCGCACTGATCACACACCAGCGCCTCTGCAGGAGCTGTAGATGAAATCACATTTATAAGAAGGTTTCCCGATCAGACAGTAAACATGTGTTTAATTGCAGAGCGAGTCAGTTAATTTGGCATTTACAGAAGGCAACAAGAGAGGAGGAACAAAGGCACCCTGTTTCAGAAGTCACCAAAGACCCCTTTGCTTGTCACACACTTGTGCTTTTCAGGTGTTAACACAAGGAAGCAAACGCGCTGAGTACAATGGAGCGGAGGAAAGCGCCGTAAAAAAAAAAAAAAAAAAAAACACAACGCAGGACAAACAAAAGCACCAGACAGGGTGCAACGGCCCTTCTTCTTGACAAAAAAGAGCCAAGCTGAAGAGTTTTATTTACCGTGCCCTGTTATCAGTCTCTGAACAGTGAGCAGACTGTCTGCCTGAGAGGCCACAGAAGGACTGGGTGTTCTCTCTACAGCAGACGCTTCCCGCCTACGGCACATCCCTTTATCAAAAAAAAAAAAAAGAAAAAAAAAAAAAAAAAACAGAGTCAACACCCCAAATCCCACCGCATACACTGTAACTACAGCACCCAGTTCACCTCTGGAATGCCCTTGTCTATTGTGACGAGGACATGAAAGAGACAAGTATGCAGACTGCTTGCAGAAATGTTCAATCCTTGTTCTGCACTCACCTCACACCTGCACAGACAGACACATGGGGACAGATATGCGCACGCACACACACATGCAAGCACACACACGCGCACACACACAGCTGTTTGGATGTGGGTTGGCTCTCACAGAGATGTAAATCGGTTGCAGATCCATACTGGCCCAGGGCTCATTCACTGATCTATTTTCTGCTCAGCTGGCTTTAAATGAAGTTAAAATGACTCATTAAAACACCCACAAGCTTTGGGAACTCTGAGCGCTACAGCCTAAATGTGGTCCTCTTTCAACTCTTACGATGCCTCTGTACGCAGACACTGTGCCACTGTTCCCAGAGCTGCACACACAAATAACGCAAAAAAGGCCTCAATCTGTTCATTTCTAAAAACAACAATTTTTGAAAACAAACCGTTACTGTTTCACAGCAAAAATAAAACTTGGTAGAGAGTAGACTTATAGAGTAGTAACACCAAGGCAATGTTGTAGATGTTGATGTTGTGTGACGCTGTCCAGTGTGGTGTGTTGTTTTGTGAGAGATTGTGTGATAAGGGAAGAAGAGAACATAGTGCATTGTCTTGTGCAGTCAAAGGCACGGAGTGTGCTCTCATCCATAAACCATCAAACTGTCTCCAGACGCGGCTGCAATCGTCCTCCATCAAAACACTTTGTCTGGCATACCAAAATAAGAGCCAGCATCGAGCTGAATACCAAATCAGCCCATTAGAGCGGTGGAGCACTCGCTCCTTAGCAACCAGCGGGATCTAAGGCTGCTATACCGAAATACACAGTGACAAAGAAATGAGATCCACATCTCTTTTTTTGTAGTATTATGGGCTGACACATTGGGATGTAGAGAGTTTATGCAAAAATTCAAATTAGGTTAAAGGTGCTGCTGTTGTAGATGTCACCGCCAATTGAAAATCACAGCGTGTTGTCGAGGTCTGAGAGTGTTTCAAGACAGTACGTGTGTTTAGGGTTAATGCGCGAGGTTTAAAGGATGGGAAAGAGGAGACGACTCAGGTGAAGTATAAAGAAGCAGATTCTCTCTCATCTGTCAGCAGAATGTCATTCCAGAACAATCCTCAAAAAAGCAGGCGGAGGGGACAGGGACCTCGCCTTGTCTTTACACAAATTCCATCTGAGCTTTGTGTTTTAGTTTCATTTTTAGTCTCTGATCTGCCTCCCCCTCCCACTCCTCCTCCCTCTGTCTCCCCCCCACCCCCCCTCCCTCTGCTCCTCTTTCTCTATTTTGGATAAAGTAGCTGGGAGAGCAGTCAGGTCTGATTAAGTCTGCATTTGGGTACAGTGTGTTCCTGGACACACATCTGCGAGCGAGCCATCACACACGCTTCGGAACACTGGCAGAACACCCAGGCCTGCCGGCAGCTGATGATGTCATCACTCAGAAGGGGCAGAGCTGGCGAGCCGCCAGAGTCTCCGAAAAAACACAGAAACGATTCAAACAGAGAGGGAGAGACTAGAGAGAGAGACAGAGAAGAGAGGAGAGAGGAGGGAGAGGTACACAGACCTAAGCATGGAAAAGAAAGCATGATCCAAGTATTCGGAGCAGCACTAACCGGGAGGAGGAGGTGGAGGAGGAGGAGGAGGAAGGGGAGGGGGAGGGAACTGTAGTATGAACAGGTGCATTTGAAAGGCCGCACTATCAAGAGGCTTCATGAGCACTGAATACTCTGAGATGAGAGTGTAAGAGTTACTAAGTACCTGTGTGAGACAACATGTGCATCCTCAGCCGCATGCTGTCCTGGAAGTGTTTGCCACAGTACTCGCAGCCGTGGCCCTTCTCCTCGTTATGCAGCCTCCTGCGGAAACACAAACACCGGCGTGAGCGTGTTAACACGGACAAGGAACAGAGCAAGAAGGCGCTCTTGTGATAATAAAAGTATCTCATTTCTGCGCCTTTTTTTTCTTTCTCTAAGGTCTCCCAAACCCAGAAGCATCATTGTCCTCGTAACAAGAGGAGCATGTTTTAATTCAGGCAAGAATCCCTCGCTGAATGCAACATCATTAGTGTAAGAGGCCCTTGGAGTTGTGAATCACAACGCATGAATGCTAAAAGAACACAGACAATAGGATATCTGGCTAATTTCAGAGTGCAGACATACGCGTGCCTCCACCCGCCAGCACTGCAAGACACTGGGCATGCACACGAATACACAAATGCATGCACGCACATACTCTCACACACCAATTACATGCACTCAAACTCACATCCCGGCATAACGTGCACACACACACATACACTCCTCCTGTAACTGCAATGAAAAGGAGAAAAGAAGATGATTCGCTGAAGCTGCGCCGAGAGCAAAACCTATCATATCATATCACACACATCCGAGCATGCAAGGCATCTGTACTGTTATCCTTATATCACCCCGCTAACAGCAGAGAAAATGGCCTCAGAAGAGTCCACAGTTAAACACTCTGTGGTCAGAATAAATGAGTCCTGTGATGAAATTTAACACACATGAAATCAACAGTAGCGTAAAGAGGGGATGTTATAATTTTAGAGCCTCGTGCTCATGTTTTTTTCTTTTCTTTATGAGGCCGATTAAACGCAGACATTACTGACTTTTAACTATGTTACTCCACCTGAGCATCCACACAACCTGAAATAAACTTAAACTTTGGGTTTGTTGGTGGCCAAACAGTGCAAACATTAATTTATGTGGCGCGATATTTCATAAAGGTAAAAAAGCAGGGCATCCTCTTGGCCAAAAAAGCTCAGGGTGTTAATCACACCAAAGTCAGTCTCCTCTCTGATAAAGTAAAGGCACCAAAAGCTTCAAAATATTCCATGAGGCCAAAATATAAATGTCATAATTAAAACTCATTTATTGTTTCCTAATAAAGGTTAAAAAAGGTTAAAATAATCTGAAATATGTTGTTATCTCCTTTTAAATTTGTGCGTAATTTCAATTCTGGATGCATTTTCTCGACCTTTCTTACCAAGACAACTTGAGCAGAAATTCAAAGTCATTTTCTCACACTAAAGCAGAGCCAGGAGATACTCTGATAACAACACTACAAAATGTCAGTCCGCAGACCAGGTGTATGCTCAGTGACCTGGTTACAGACCCACAGCAACTTCATTACATCCTCAAGCACCGCCACCAATCCAACTCCTTCAACCTGCGGACCTCCGCCTGTCTCCACGAGTAAGGAACGCACATCACTAACTATCCCACAGGATGCTCCATTTCATTGGGCCGTTTCAGCTCAACTCTGGAGCGGCAAGACACTGAAATGTCAGCCACAGGCTCGGACGGAGACGGACTATGATCCTAATCAGGGATTAGCTGCATATCAGGACTTTAGGCTCCCAGATTGTCTTGTTTCTAATGATTAGTGATGAGTCAAACACTGTCAAGCACGCACAGTTATTAACATCTGCAGTCAAATTAATGAGAGTTGTCACCGAGATAGTCCCTGACTTTGTGACTACAATGACAAATCTAAACTGACAAGCGCATAAATAAAGAAGGAATGAAGGAAAAACAACAGAGCGAGTCGTTAAGCAGAAGTTATCCATCATGTATCTGAAGCGTCCAGCCCGGTCCCTGCTGAGAGGCTCCTCTCCGCTGATGCAAAGGAATGCATATCAAATAGCCTGCGAGAGACAGCCTGTTGTGTGAGGCACGCTTCTGCACAAATAATCAAAGAGAATTTAGAAAAACAAGCCTTTGTAAATAACAGCTTAATGTGACACCGAGGCCTCTTTATATCAAATCCACCACAAAGACCCCGATTCAAAAACTTCTGTAGACGTCTTGCGATGAAGACATGAGTGCAGGTGTCCCTGAGAATAAATTTACATATTTGCTGTCGCCTCTTCCAGCTTTTAACTCGCGGAGAATTTTAACACAATAGGGAAGTCCTAAAGCCCAAATAAGTGTTCAGTTTAAGGAGAGACATGTCCGATGCTTTCCCTGACAGCAAAATCAATGACTGAGCCCATATTCATCAAAATACACACGCACCACCAACACATTCCTTACATCTGTTCTTAGACGTAGCACACCTTTGTCAGTGAAAGTGATGTGCAGGGAGGTATTATCATTGTTATTGCTACATGTCAAAGACACTGAACCTTGTCCTTTTGGCTTTGACAAATGATTTACGATTCAAGATCTCACCTGGACACACACTTTCTCTTTTCACTTTTTCCATGACTTCATACGCCGTAATAAAAGATCAACATAAATGCTGGTATTAGGATTAAAGATGTGGTGTTGGTGGAGATTTTGTGTGTTTTACCTGTGCTGCTCCATGGCCTGCCTGCTGTGCAGCTGAAGCCCACACTCCCCACAGCACTGCTGGCTTGCAGTTTGGCTCTCGTGCCTCATCCCCGCCGCAAACTGGCCCAGTCTGTTCAGAAGCTCCCTGTGCAGCAGGCCCTGGTGCAGCAGGCCGCTGTAGGCCCTCGGGTCCAGCGGCACACCCAGGGACGGAGCCACTGATACGGACACCGGCAGCACCCCCTCCCCTGTGTGGTTGGAGGGCACGGAGTAAAAGGAGGCCAGATGTTTCTCAGCTATCCCGGGGAAACAGTCCAGAGAGTTCCCCACAGCCTGTCCTCCATCCTCTGGGCTGGTGTGCAGCTCTCGGGCGCTGGTGATCACGCTGCCCCTCAGAGGCGTCCCCGGGCCCTCATCTCTGGGCTGGTCTGACACACAGCTCCCCTCCCCTGTGCTGGAGGACCTGCCCTCGCAGCCGTTGGCATCATCTACCTGCATGTTCTCCGACTTTATACTTCTGTCAGGATCCAGAGATGCAGAGCGGGATTCTGTGCTGCTGTGCTGAGGCTGCTGGGAATTCTCCATGTCAACCTCAGTGTCAAGTTTGGGACTCAGTTCAGGTGCTGCTCCAGGTTCTGGACCAGGAGAGCTCCTCTCTGTCATTTGGTACAGCGCCAGGTGGTGCAGAGCAGTGGGAGTGGTCCGGGTGGGTCCATCCTGTATGGAATGCTTCTTGGCCATTAACATGTGCCTCCAGTGCCGGGCTCGGCTGTGGTCACTGTGCTCTCCAGAGCTGTGATTCCTCACCGCCACCTCCTCGCTCTCCTCCGCCTGGATGGTCTCTAGGACCTTCAGGCACTGCTCCTCCAGATACTCGATCTCCAGGATCTCAGCAGCGTACAGCAGGTCATCCAGGTCTTCTGCTGTGGCCTGGAGCGAGGCGGTGTAGGCGTACTCTAGGATCTGCTGGAAAGTCTTGGGGGACAGGAAGTCGAGGGCATATCTCAGACTGCTGCGATGGAACAAGATTTCAAACATTTTGCTGGTGCATGCCAGGACTGTGCGGTGTGCTGGGAACTCCTGGCCATCTACTGTGATAATGACATCACATAAAGTGCCGGTCAGACGCATCTGGTTGGCCCGCTGCAGGAGCGTGCTGGGGTGAGTGGGATTGTGGAGCTGGAGGACACCCATGTTTGTCAGACCCGTATCCACTCGGACCTTTGCTGAGCCCGCGCATGAGGTGTGGCTGTCCTGCCTGCTGCACCCGCCTTCAGCTGGTCGTAGATCTATGATCAGGGAGAAGATCCAGTCTGGTTAATTATCCTGAAATGCACACTTTGATCCATCAGTCACTAAAAATATTTTTTTAACCAACAAAAATAAAAAATAAATGAATCATACTCTAAGAAAAAAAACATCCCCCTGCTTGATCTCTTTGGGGATTTTTTATTTCATACCCTCAACATGTTTATTTATCTTAATCAAGAAGCAGAGAGAGACAACAGGTCGATAAGCGCAGAGCAACAGTTTCTATTGCAGGTGATTAGTCTGAGGTCTCGTTGAGAGCGGTCACGTCTCTGTAATAACGTCTGCATACTGAGAGGTGACGGTCCAATTTATCACCCTCCTCACACACACACTCACACACACACACACACACACACTCACACACTGGTGCCCTCAACAGGTAGGACTGCTATTAACAAACGCCTTTAAGGTCTGATTAGTTCATTTAGGCTGTGCACGTTCATGATTAGACGCGTTCAAGACAATTAAGCCGCTCTGCTGAAAATCCTTGAATAAGTTATCAAACTATCCGAACGATGAACGCATGAAAATGAAGCGCGAGCGTGCCACGGCTGCACGTTCCCCTCAGTGACATTAAATACCTAGATGACAGTGTGAGTGATGAAAATACTCTATATGATGATTAGAGCTGTCTGAGGATCACTCAGCAGCTCATCGACTGATGCTGTGACAGGCTGCATCCTCAACTAACCGCAACATCAGAGCGCATCAGGTGCACACGCACAAATCCACCTTTATTATCCAAACACATTGCGACAAATTAACCCTCTCCACGCGCGTATTAACTGTCTGCCCCGTGTTTAGGGGGAGCGAGCGCGTGTTTTTGAGGGGGATAAAAGACCCGAATTTGTCCAAAATAGTCCAAAGATGTCTGTCTGAGATAGAGTCCCTGCTTAATCAAGTTTGTGAAATCATGAATCAGGCTGCAGCCAAACTTAGGTCCATTTCCACATGACCGCTCCACCACCAAATGAGCAAAAACAGCCGCAAAAACTGGATTTATTTCTAATCTAAAATGTTCAGTAAGTCTGAGATGTTGAAGTAGTTCATCAGAGCAGAATAACCGAGATAAAATAATGAGTAAAATTAGAAAAAGTATGGGCTGTCACAGTTGTTCTTACCTCTGTCTCCTAACGTCCTCCGCTGATTATCCAGGCAACATCATGGTTACACATTTCACAGTACCCGCTCCAAACTCAATCCTGCTCCAAGTAAGCAAATCATCACCCAGCCGCGACAGTCAAACCAGCAGGGGGACAGCGGCACTTCCGGGGAGAACTTTCAAAATAAAACATGTCTTCAGATTCGTGTCAAAACTAGTCTCCACGTAAATACTACTACTACTGGTACTACTGGTACTACTACTACTAATAATACTTATAATACTTTTACTACTACTACTAATAATAATACTTATAATACTTTTACTACTACTACTACTACTACTAATAATAATAATAATGATAATACTTATACTTTTACTACTACGACTACGACTAATAATACAATACTTTTAGTACTACTATTACTACTACTACTACTACTACTACTAATAATAATAATAATAATAATAATAACAATAACAATAACAACAACAACAATAATAATAATAATAATAATAATTATTATTATTATTATTATTATAAAGTAGTCTAGGAAAAGCAAGAAAGGTTATTTGAAAAGGTTATTTTCAAAACAAAAACATGAAAGAAAATCCTTTAATCTATAATGGACTTAAATTTTAGACTTTTTATGTTTGCAGATCATGGACCACATTGCTTTTTTGATCAGGATGTTTTATGTTTATAAAATAATGCTGATAAAACTGTATTCAACTAATGCACAGCTGAGACTACAGTATTTTAACTACTCATTTTGACACAATTTTCACTCTGTCGGAAATGCAAAGACATTATTAATCTGCAACTTTGCACACAAGACTGAGTTATCTACATGGATGTACTGAATGTATTGTATTGTACTGAATATGTTGTGTAATTCTTGTTTTAATAGGATGCTTATCTTTAACTCCTGTGTTAGGGTCTGCGATGACCTGTTTTTGATTTTAAATGCTTAAAAGAACCACATAAATTAGCCTTTTTGAATCAAGATTTTTTGACTTTGTCAGGAAGCTCTATTTCAACAAAATACAAATTAAAAAATAAACTGACCACATTACAAAATGCTGTTATTAAAATTATGGCACTTGTTGTGTTTAGAGTCACTGTTGACCCGGTTAGATCAATAGCTAATAATTAGAGCGAAAACTGAAATCATAAGTGCACTGACAGACACCACACTGACAGTCAGATCCTCTTCCAATCACATGAGATTTAGAAAATTCTCATTTTGCCATGTTTTTTCCCTGCACAAAAAACAACGTCAGGCATGTCCAGACATGGGAGATCAGTTCAATATGAATGTCTGTGTGAGTATACTGACAAAGAAAGGCCCACAGGACCACTACAAAAACTATTATAAGCAATATTTTCATGGATAATGAAGCCTAGAGATGAGAACCAAACTGGATGATTGGGAATTGTTTTTAGTGTAATTTACAGCTAATTTAAGACACAGGTCAACAGCGACCCTTAACATGGTGGGTGTGTAGTGAAAGCTAACACAGAAAGAAGGTTAAAAAATAGAAAGAAATGTTTATCTATTACAGAGGTTTGGTTTCTATAGTCACATTGATATCTCCTGTAGAAAATGTCAAAACAAACTTGAACATACTTCTGTTTTATGAGATGTCCAAAAGTGTGGGAGCAGTTTTGTGCTACAAGAAGAATATAATTCAAACTTGTGACTAGCTGGAGAATATTAAGTAAAACTTTATTCTCCTCCTGCAGTTGCTTTTGGTTTCTGTCGTTTTTAAAGATCACTTCCTTTCTACTTCTTTGCAGATCAATGGTTCATATAGATTTTCCAATAGCTTGAGTTACATCACTTCAGATTGGTCCCACAGAATTTATGTGTACTCTTAGAAATGATATGCGTAATTTAACATGAAAAAATAGTTTATTTTTACATGAATGGTTCTGAAATTTCCTTGGGCTTTATTTTAAATTCATTTGTTTAGTTCCAATGTATTGTAAATAGAAAGTACAACCCCAATTTAATAAAAGTTGCTACACAGTCAGATCATGACAAAACAGAGTTTAATGGTTGTAAATAATTTAAAGTTTGTATTTAACTGCAGCAAATTCAGAATAGTGTTCCTAAGGGTACAACTGCAGTGTATTGCAGGACTTTATCAACTGGGATGCATAACAACGTTAAAAGCTCCAAAAATTAGGCCAACAACTGACTTCAGATCGCTGTGATCTTTAGGCCCTCAGGTGGCACAGCACAAAAACAGACATGACTGCGCTACACAGAAACATGATCCAGAAACCAGTGACTTCTCTGGGCCTGAGCCTGGGTCTGTTTGAGAAGGACTGATGTGAAATGGGAAACTTACCTGTGGTCTGAGACGTTAAAACTTGGCGCTCTTTTTGGAAGCCATGGCTGCAGTATTTTCCTCTCTACAGAGGGGAGTGAACACTTTGCTTATTATCAGCACACAGTTCAAATGCCAGCAGCCCTTGTGCCTAAGCCTAGTTTTCATTTCAGGGAAGGCCTCATTAATGTTGAAGGAAATACATACACAGGATCTGTAGCACATAAAAGACCATTCAGAAAATGCCTTATTTAGGGTAGGCCTTACATAACACTGCAAGAAGATGCAAAACCAGATTCTGCTGGTAAAACAGCACAGTTGCATAGTGGAAGAGTGTCTATACTAAACTGGTCTGCTTGCACTTACCCCGTGTATAGGGTAAGTTGACCATAGGAGAGGGGTAAATTGAGCTACTTATGACAAACTAAATTCACTTTCAAGAGTGAAAAATGTTTTTTTTTTGGAAATAAATGTCTAACTCATTCACCCATGTGCTTCTAACCTTCACAGACTCCGTGAATTGATGCCCATCTCCTCAATATTTGGTCACATGATCAATTTCTTTTACGATTTCCAAGCAACAGGGGGTGGCTCAACTTAACCTTTGGCTCAACTTACCCCACTCTCCCCTATCAAATTTTAAATGTGCATTTAATTTTCTTTAAATAAATTAGTCTCAACTTTGGAAAGGTTGTTCTCACAACTTTCAGTATTTTTTAACTATAAAACTCAAAGAGTGGAGTTTTTAGTATTTTATTGTAAGTGTATGTAAAGTAATTAAGTGCCATATCCAGTACATGAAATACATCTATTTCAGACTGTTGTTGAGTCGATTTCCACTCCTTGTTAAATATGATTCTCCTTGCATATCCCAAAAGTTTTCCCATTGTATTCACCTTTTTTTTCCACAATTTTATTCTGAAGGCTACATCGTCTCACTTCCTGTTTCGTCACCGCTTCCAGCCGCCGACTTGACCGGCTGCAAATCATCACCGGGGCGACGTCACGGCTCTGAATGATCGCCCTCTGCTCCTCGTCTCTCCATCAGGGCTGCAATCAGAGACATCTACAGGGCATCTCAACTACTGACAGGCTGACAGGTCGGGACCGGGGTGTTGTCCTGAAATCAAAACACAAACTGATTAATGAGAAAAACATGCAGCCGGTTTGTTTTAGCAACTCTCCGAAAAATCAAATGAGGTAAGAGGAGAGAGGAGGGGGGAGTCAGTCGAAGAGAAACGGGATGTCATACCGGGTCAAGCGGGCAGCAGTGGTTGTTGACACACTGTTGACACAGCTCCGGTTTGCGGGGTCATGTCACATAAGAGGGGCTGAAGGAGAAGAACACCACAGCCCAAAATATCAAGCTCTCACTGGTACATAGTATTTTGACACTCAAGCCTGGAAGTATTAACTTTACTCCCGCACAAACATGTCTTATGTAACACGTGTTTATTTGCTTCTCCTCATTTATCTGAACTAGAAGCCTGAGAAATTTCCATCCCAGCATAACCTGTTTGCACTGTAACCTTTCTGTAAATAGTCCTGTGTGTCCATGACATGGCGAAAACAAAGGGGAATCCATGATATGTGTACTTACTGCCATCTTGTGTCGGATATATGCCACTGCAAGGAAAACAGAATAAATTCAGAACAAAATGGGCCAGGACAAAATTAGTTTGAGAAACCTTTTTTATTATTTTGTAAACGGGTTAGCACTCAGACTGTACACAACAGATATTTTCTGAGTTTGACCCAATAAAACCAAAAGGAGCATTCAGAGACAGAGGGAGCAAGGTGGTCTGGTAACAGCAGTGGAGTACATGGTGAGTAAAGCTTATTTTTTTCATCTGCCTTCATATACCTTACATCTGTTTCAAGATCCTCTGATAAAATGTCTGTAATCTAAAGCTTTTTAAAAGTAGTTTGATCATCTGTCTCAAGTTGACCACCCTGCTTCCTGCCAGCTTGTCGAGTCGTCGCTCTTGGTGAGTGGTTTTTGTACAAAAAGACAAAAAGTACCAAAAATAAAAGAAAGTAAGAAAGAAAATAAATCAAAATCCACATTACAGAACACTCAGATTACAATTTCAGGGGGGAGAAAAGAAAATCAGATATGTAGATATGCCAGAACAAGCCCCAAATGTTACACTCATTAAATCCATGAGAGTTTTTTTTACCTCATACAAACATGGGCAGCTCAATCTGCCTGGAGTTATACATTATGAATTCATGCCAAGGTTCAAAACACCTTCCTTCAATATAGCTGGCAATATATAGTGCTGTGACCAGAGACGGACAGTTTTACACACTACACGTGTTATATGACCACATTAGTCCATTTATCATACTTTTCTTCTAGTAATACAATATATCAAATCAAAAAGAAGAGGCTAAATCTCTCACGACAAAGCTATGCAGATTATCATAGAAACTGATGACAAGACAATCTATTGACACACAGGCACAGTGCACAAGCTTGCAGGCAGGAAATGGAAAAGAAATCTTTGTAGTTTTTAAATAGTACAAAAATGCTTTGTTATTTATTTGTTTTTTTTGCTTCAGATGTAAAACTCAAAGCACGAAGCAAGACCTTTGATCCGCTTTAATGTGAAGGAGAAACAATAGCTATCGTAGTTGTCGCGCCCCGGACAAATACATGGCATATATTTAGCGCAAGATTGTATGACGTTAGCTCAATTTGGAGCTCCTTGGCTAAGATTCTGCTCCTCTTTCTCCAAACTTTCATATTGAATGGATTCTTTTTTTCAATTAATATATTTAACTAACACCGTTGGCAAGCCAGGGACAGACTGAAAACACTTTCTAAATAAACGGGCCAAATCTGATCGGATGGTGCACACTTGTTGTCGTGTGCGTCAGCTCATTTTCCCCTGCAGGTGGGTGTGGGTTGATTCTGTATTTTTATAACCATAACAAATCTGGTTATAATCCAAACACTGAACTGGGGCCTGTTTTAATCAATGCCAGCACATCTGTGAGAGATGACACATCCTGGTAACAGACGAAGTGAAACCGTACACCTTGTAAACAAAACTTGACAACTGCTTGCAGGTCAGACATGCAGGACAAGCTATTTAATGAGACTAGCCCACAAAAGTAAGAATCCAAACTATAAAAAAGCAACAGTTTTACATTTTAACAGTTGAACATGAAAATAAGAAAAATAATTTCTGTATATAGTCAGGTTTTTTTTTTAAACATTTCTCCTAATAATCCAATATCTGCGCGCGATGGCATTACAAACTGTAAGCACGATAAAAAGTAGAGTCTAACTCCGTTTATATACCAGGCAATCATAATAATACGGGATTATTCTTAATCATCCTGACTGGTCAAACAAAATTACAATAAAAAAATAAAATAAATCTCTTATGACCTAAAGATAATTTCCTCAGGTGTGGAAAACATCTTATGTAGGACACCAGAAATAAAAGCACAGCCACGGTGCGCTCTAACCTATGGACAGGTGTGTGTGTTTGTGTATGTGTTGGTTCAAATATGTAGTTAAGGGCACTGGAAATCAAAACTCCTGCAGTGTTTCTTGCACATTGCTGCTGCAAAAAATGTTTTGGATAGGGGCTCGGGTTTCCCTGGCCCATCATGCTTTGCTTTCGGTGTTTTTTGTCTTTATGACACTGTTGTGTTCTGCAGTGATCTCCGTCAGGGCGTTTGTTAGATCTGCCTCGTCCAGTTTGCTTTTCTCATCTCCAAAACTCTTCCTGCAAAGGGGAGAAGAGAGAGTTCAAATTTAGGATGATTGTCTTTTTTCATTAAGAGAACAAAAATTTCAAACACTTCAAGTTCAACACAGTTTAAATCATTTATTCTCAATGACGTCTTCACCCAATATGTAAAGAGACCCTGTGTTCACTGAAGGTCTTTTCACATATTTCTTCACCACCGTAACAACAGTCAAATGTATAAAACAACTAATAACATACCCACATAAGTCATCCTGTCTCCACTAACCCTCCTGGTCTGATCTGTGTTTACTAAATATGATCTATTAATCAGTTTATTTCTACTTCAAAGAGACTTTGATGCCATGGTAAATGAGCCCTTTGGCTTGTGCTATGTGATACTACTGTTGATCTAAGAGGAGTGAAGCACAGAATCTAGATCCTGCCTAGCTCCCTGCCTCTCCTCTGCAGTTCAGAGCAGGAAAACAAACACCGTGTAGCCTCTGTTCCCTCTAGTAGAGCTGCAGAGTTGGTGAGACACCATTAAGCAGCCCAGACAGAAACAATAGTCACTATAATAAAGCCCCTTTCAGACATGAAATTTGCACCAAAGCTGATATTATCTGTTGTTTTGTCACTCTGAAATACACAGATGTTTGTTACAGCATGTCTCAGATGGAACATGACTGTTCATTTATAAAAAGCCACAATGCTTGGTGAATACTGCCACCTAGTGCATAAGAGGGAGTAATGACAAACTACTTTGTTTCACCCAGCAGGTGCAGCAGCTCTGTTTCGTGAGACAATGAGAAGCGTCTTCAGAACCGTCTTCAGTTGGTTTTACGAGTTTGTATCAGCTGATTCTAGCGGGGCCAGTAAACGCTGGTAAAGAAACAGACTGTGCCCTCGCTGAATTAAAGGGTAAATATATGAGCACCATTTATGAGCAGTCACACTCAAAGGCGGGATGAAAAACCTGTCATCAAAGGAGGTCAACCCCCCTAAAAAAGTTCATTAATATTAAGATAAGACGCCACCTTCAAAGATCGAGTCATAGAACTTTTCTTAACTGATGCAAACATCTGTAAACACACACAGAAAAGGCAGAAATCGTTGCGTAACGGATGAAAGAGGGCTTCAAAGAAAAAAAATTCGAACCTCGCTTGCTGTCTCACCTCTGAAGACCTGGACAATCACAGATCAAAAAGGGATGAGCGGACTGTCAGTTCTGCTGATTTAGTAGGAAAGCAAGTGGGGAGGAGGTTTCGCTTCTGTTCAGAAACCTGATGAGCTCTACGGTGGAAAAATAACCCTAACCTTAAAATCGAGGCAGTTAAATAGAAATGCTTATATACTTAGCATTCAGAGTCCATTTTTTTCTTTTTCTAGTTTTTGAAATCTTAAATGCGACTGACACTTGACTTGTTTTCCAATTTTGTGTGAGGAAACTCAAAGTGCAGACATCCAACCTCCAACAAGGCTCGAGTAGGATGGTGCAGAGGGCGTTGGCTGAGGTGGACATAAGGCAGCAGCGTCCACCTCTACACTGCAAAAACAGCCCAACTAGAAAGAAGCAGAATATTCTTACATTCAATCAAATAATCTTTTATAAAGCAAAAAAATCTGCCAACAGGGTAAGCTTTTTTTGCTTGACAAGAATTCTCAAAATAAGAAAAAATTTCCTGGCCCCGACAGACTCAAATGAAACTTAAAACTAGATAGAAGATCTTTTATTAATATATTTTTTTCTACAGCAAGCAATAAAAAATGAAGATGCAGTAACTTAAAATTAGAATTTTAGTCTCTTTAATAAATGAACTTCAAGAAAATACACTTTAATCTAGGATTATTAATGATCATGACAGTAGTTCAAAGACATAATTTCTTAAAACAGCAAAGCAAATAGAAGTGCTGTTGTCTTAAATCAAGATACCGAAACATTCTCCTTAAATATATATTTTTTATTCCACAAGCAAGCAGGTGGAGAGCAAGCATGTTCTTTGTATTATGTTGTGTGTTGTACAGACTAGCCTACTGACATCTTTATATGTCAGATAATGGATGAGGCAGCAGATTCTGTCAGGTTCAGATGACCCACAATGGAAATCTTAATAATAAAAAAATCTACTGTTCTTGTTTCGTGGCATTCTTAAATTGAGAAGTTGTACACACGTCTTACTCTTAAAATGAGACGAATGATCTTGTTGCTCCGCTGGATTTCATTGTAAAACACTTTTCTACTCCATTTCTGGTTCATTCTATCTCAAAATTAGCTGGAATATCTTATCAACAAAAAGTTAGCCTTCTTCTCTTAAAGTTAGATAATGTTTCTAATGCCAAAAATGCTTGACAAGATCAATATTCCTTTTGTACAAAAAATAAGACTTATTTCCTTAATACAAGGCTGTTTTCCTTTCTTGAAATTCCTTTTTTGCAGTGTAGTGATGGCAGCTTTATTTCCACAATATATTCTTGATTTTTTTTTTTTTTTTTTTTGCTGCATTAAGTTTCTGAGTGGTACTCAGGTCATATAGATGCTTGCAAACTTCAAGAGTAAACTAGTTAATGTTGTTAACAACGTCAGTTAACTTGACACCAGGCAGGTCTAGTCTGTCTGGGGGGGATAAAAGTTGACCAGAGGGGTTTTTTTTTTTTTGAAAAGATGTCTCTTACCCAGCGTAGAGGTAACAAAGTGCATGTCTGAAAGGGGCTTTACTGTTCTTGTAGTGAATGTTACAAAAGTAGAGACCCCACAAAGGCGAGCTGGCACACACAACCATAAAAAAAAAATCATGTCACTCATCTCCAACAATTCACAACATCTCACTTATAATAGACCCAATATCATTACCACAGTTTACCATTACAATATTTCATATTGTGTGGTCAATGGCAAGATGCGGTGGTGAATGAATGGGCATACAAATTACACACACACGCATCTGCACACGCACAAACACACAGATAAACCTCTAGAGGGAGCCGTACTCATCGTTGACAGGAGGAGCAGTCTTGGCCAGAGTCTCTGATGCTTCCAGAACTGGGCCTGAGGGGAGGTCTGCCGCATCACCATTGGCCAGGGAAGGCGGGCTGTCTAAGCTAATAAGGTCTGCTGGGGGCTCGAAGGATCTATCTGTCCCGTTTCTCAGCTCTAACTCTAAATCTGCACTCTTGGTACCGACGTCGGGGGTAAGAAAGTCATATGCGTCTGACGGCGATATGAAGATATCATTTGTAAGTGGCGCCTCAAGAACAGTGGGTGCAGTATTGGATGTGATTGGAGTAACTGGTAAGGGAGAGGCAACGTCTGCAACTAAAGGAGCAGATTTTTCAGCATCTTGGACTTTCAGAGCGCCGTATTTGAATGAAGGAGCGGCAGCATCTTCAGCAGTGGTCACGTTCCTATCAACGTTTTGGTCTGTGAGTTTATTTTTATCGTCAAACATAGTAAGGCTTTGCCCGCCGGCGCCAGGGGCTGCTGTATTTGAAAAAGGATCTGGTTTTAGAGGGGCAGGGTTCCCGAAGGTGGTGGCAGTCAGTGCTGGTGTCTGTGTGTCTAAAGCTACAGAGTGCGGCTCTGTGTGGAGCTGTGTGATGGGTGGAGCCGGAGCAGGTTTCTTGGTGTCGAAACCAGGAGAGAACGATGGGGAAGATGTAGCCAGTGGAGAAACAGGGGGGCTAGCTTTAGCATTTAGCGCAGCAAGTTTGGGAGAATGTCTACGCTTCGGGGGTATCGGCGTCCCAGACTTTTGAGCTTTAGTCCGTTCTGGCGTACAAGGTGGAGTGGATATTTTCCCCTGTTCTTCCTGCGTGTTACTCCCTCTTTGTTCTACCAACGGCGCCATTTTCGCTTCGACCGCAGAGGTGGAGAGCAGGGGAGTCGGCGGGGCCGTGTTTGACTCTGGAGTCGGGGCTGGGGCTGGGATAGGGGTGGGGGAAGGGTCAGAGGGGTCGTTGGCAGGGGTAGACAGGCTACAAGTGAGGGTAGTGGTCTCGCTAGAGGGGCTGTCCTGAACTGTCGCGGTGGCTGTGTCAGAGTTGGTGGCTACGGAGGAGAGGGTGTCCAGTGCCAGGGCAGCAGTGAAAGCCGCCAGCCTGAGAGAGCAGGGAGAGAACAGAGACACACAGACTAGACACCAGGGTGACTGTGACAGAGGAAGGGTGGCCCGGACGAGAGCATGCAGAGGGATTAGTTGGTTTTAGAAACAAACACAAACATAGACAAAGCAACTCAAAAGCAGAAACTATTAAGCCTAGTGAGAAAAAAAAAAAAGAAAAAGATAGGGCGCCATGCTGTGAGTGAACATTAAAGGATACACCCCATACACACACCAACATGGAATACACCGACTCAGAACACTAGTGTACTTAAGAAAAGAACCAGTCTTCCTGCAAAAAACTACAGCACCACGCAGAACCACCTGTAAGGGTTAAACAGTACCAGTGACAGTCTCATACTATGAATTGTTTTTTTCCAGACTGCTGATATATACATTGATTAATGGCTTCCTGAGGTTGTCAAATGACTCTGATAACTATAACACTCAAGAGGACAAAGGCCTTTCTGTGTCTTTAACTGGTATTGCTTCAACCTTGAGAAAACAAGACAGAAAATCTCCAAGGGCTGGAGAAGGAAAAACAAAGTGCAGTAATCCCTCTCGGAGGGAATAAAAACAGAAAAGCAACACGTCAGTGGACTCCACTCAAGAATGACTTGACTATTCCCTTTAGGGTCAAATTTTATTGCTGTTGAATAAGTAAATTATTCTTTAAAGTGGAGTGCAATGTACAACAGCTTAAAAGAACTGAGCGGGAAAAAGGCTGTGTGCCATATGTGCGCCGATACTCACTCTGGCTCTGTGAGAGGTGTGGTTTCATTGGGTTCTGTTGGTCCTGCTGCGTTATGATTCGCTGTGCACTCGTCCTCTGTTCGGACTTCTACTATCGGCTCTTTGGACTCGTCTTTGCTGTTGAACACAGAGATAAAAATATCTTGTTAATTGTTAAAAAGGCAACAGATTGCCTCGTAAAAGAGTTTCACACCCCCTGCACTGTGCAGTAAAAACACAACAGCAGTAGGCAGTGATTATGTCAATACAGGCTGTGAATGGATTATCTCCTCAACTCGATCAAAGCCTCAATATTTGAGTCAGCTAACTCGAGTGAAGAAGAACATGTGGCTGTATTTAAGTGGAGCTGGTTTGAATCAATACACGATGCAACCTCCTACTCAAATTGATTCAAATCTGGCTTATTGTGCACACCAGACTATTTGTTCAGTGCTTCACTTAACCCAGCATCTTTCATCTCTTCCCCAAGACAAATCCCCTCCAACACATCTTTTCGTTTATGGGTACATTTTACTGATATGTGTATTTTTCCTGTTCCTGTGATACTGACTGCAGCTGTCATAAGACATGTTGGCTCCACTCAAGAGGCAGAGCTCTCTCTATTTTTCTTCGTGAAAAAACTCTTCGACAGTCATCCTCTTGCTCTATCAGCTGAAACATTAAACCATGGCGAACTATTCATGATCACCTTCACTGTCAGTCCTTCAAAAGTCTTCACTATAATGTAGGAGGTCATTCACTTCAATATAACAGAAGAGGCATGTGTAACCAGAGTTTAAGCAAAGTAAAGATAAAATAAAACCATGAACACCTGACTACATAAACCAATACAGACAGACAGACACTCATGGCAGTGCCAAGAGCATCCCGAGGTGTTTCTCTAATTTTATGAGTCTACAGTGGATAAAAACATTTAGTCATACGCTTTCAGATCACGAAATATTTTACATGCCTGAATAGATTTTTCTCAAGACTACATGGAGTTAGTGCTGCGAGATAAAACTAGCATAATATCTCTCAAAGATCATTTATCAGTGCATATGTGTTCAGAAAAACACCTATTATGAAAGGAAAAAATGATGTTGAAATATAACAGTTAATATCAGAAAGAGGCTCCACATCCCTCTCCCTACAATTACTACTTTTACACATTCCTGCAAAACACATTTTTGATGAAACTACCAGTCAGTTTGTGAAAACAAAATACATTTAGGATGAATTTAAAAAGAAACAGAGCTACAAATCTGTCATTTTCATCTTGCCTAACCGCCTGTGTTTGCATATTCATGTTGCTGCTGTCACTGGTACTCACATAAAGGCTGCCTTGCCCTCCTCCAAGTTGTGCCCTTTGGTCCCTGTGCCCGATTTGCCACAGAGGCACATGATGAGGCCGCATTTGTTGACAAAGTAACAGGTGACATCCACGGCGAGCAGCAGGAGTACAAATACTACAACAAGGATCCCTGCCCAGAGCATGATGCCCATTGAGAGCGCTGCTTCATCGCCCAAATCTGCCAGACAAGAGACACGAGAGGGAGTGCTGAACAACTGTAGCGTGACTCAGTTTTACAGACACCTCCAAAAGAACTGAATTAACTGCTACTGTGCTTCTGTGACCACATATACTTCCATAAAACAAAAACAACTCACCTGCTAAGGCCCCAATGAGGTCTAGATGTCTCAGCATGAATGCAGATGCAGTGTGCATGTGTAAACTGTACTGTGTGACTTTCGTTGAATAATTCATATGACTTTTGAAGCGGTTAAATGTGAAACGCTTTCCTCAAAAAGACAGAAAATGTTTATATTCAACCTTTTATTTGGTATTAGAAAGAAGAGCAAACCAAAGCTTATACTGCACTGCTGGTTATGTAGAAATGCTGTGGAGAAAAAGAACAGGAGCTTTTTTCCAAATATCTCAGAAAGCTTTGATGTATCTCCTCACTGTTTGTGCACACTCTGTTTGAATCATATATGACGACTGCAGAACCCACCCAAATATCTTATTTCCTGATAAATTTTACTCTTTAGATATATATAATAACTCTTCTGGAGAATTACACTCTGCTATATATAAATGTATAAAAACAGATACTTTTGATCAATAATTGATACTTAATACATGCACGAGAAATATCTTCACATTTTTCTTAGTAAACAGCACAAAAATAACATTTTCTTCGTGATATTTCTGTATACAACTTGTCAAACTGTGGCATCATTATTGTTATTATAAACATTTTCGAGTAGGCGTTTGTTTTCAACAATGTAAACGTTAATGTTACCAACCTTTAGAGTATATTTAAGTATATGTATGATTTTGTGAGTATAATACAGAGTTTCTGTAAACGGACAGGCCTAGTATTCAGCCTTTCATCTTTTCTAAGTGCTAATTTTTAATACAACCTCATTTCATTTTTCACTATTTTTTAATTACTGTAAACAGTCTCTGTTGTCTAGTACTGATGACTAGTGCTAATGCTGTGCAGAGTGAAGTCTGTGGGAGGCCAAAGATTCTTGATGCCTTTAGTTCATCACGTCTGTCTGGTCTGTTCTGGAGCTTCATAGCACCCTTTTCTCACCCAAAACAGAGACACGTCTGTCGTGGACAAAGTCTGATTTTAAGGAGTGAAAGCATCCAGAGAGACAGCCAGGCCAGAGAAAGGCAAGCTCTCCTCGACAGTTATGGTGTGAATTTCCCACAAAAACTATGAGAGCAGGAGAACAGCGATGAGGGACAAGATGAGTGATACCAAAGTGCATGTCACAGATGAACAGCCCTGAGTGGCTGAAGACCACACGAAAATGCACACAGGTCGAGACGGAAATGTTCACGTGGTCCACCACACCAATGTCCAGGACCAGGCAAGAGAGCAGGAACATTGAGAGAGGGGATAGGGAGAGAGAAAGAGAGAGAGAGAAAGGGAAAAAGAACAAAAGGAAGAGAAGAGAGGGAAGGGATGAAAGGAAACAAAGAGGAAAAAAAGAGAAGGGTGGGGAAAACAGAGGAAAAGAGAAAGTGAAAATGAGTCAGGTCTGAAAACAAAATGTGAAAAAAAGGAAAAAAAACTGACTTCTTGCATTTGGGGAGGATAAAAACACAGCAACACATCAAAGCAAAAGTCCAGCACAAAGGAGGGGAGACTACACTGCGTTGGCTAGATGGTGACTCAGTGATGGGTGAGTGGAAAATGCTTTAAATTGGTGGATGAATTAGAAAAGGAGTGAGGGAAGACATAATGGTTTGTTGCAGTGTTCCAGCAAAGCGCTCAGCAGTGTCTAGAACTACTGAGGAAGTCTGACAAGCGCCGTGGGGTTTTTGTGCGGTTGGTAAAAACCTTCAGTTGCAGTTAGGACCTTAAGGTACAAGTTAATCAGTGGTTATCAAGGATCAATTTAAAGGCTGCTTCCACACCGGGACAAACTATCCCCTCAATCTGCGGCTTCGACAAACAAAAGGAAACCAAAGAAAAAAACTAAAGTAAAGTAAAAGAAATACAGCCATTCTGAGGGAATAATTTCATCCTCTGTGAGAAGAGCGTGTCCCAGTTCTTGAGCACAAACTCAAGCTCATTTAGTATGGGCTGGCAAATCTTCCAGGGAGAAAAATCAGCTGGAAAATCATTTCTGGCTCAACCCCATCCAAGAAATGCTTGTATTTTTTGTAGATTTATTTAGTTTTTATTCGTCATTAACAGTGTGAGAGTTAAAAGCAGAATGTGATGCTCTAGTTTTGAGCTTTAGTTTTGAGTCTGACGGAGGATACCTGGTATAGCTTCTGGCTCTGCAGACGTCTTGAAGGACATCGCTGCGGGCTGAGACTTTCCCTTCTGATTCTCTGCCACCACATAGACATTGTAGTCGGTGTTCCATTCCAGCCCGCTGAAGACCACGTAGTCACTGCTGGCAGGCAGTCTGATTTCTGGCTTCCACTCTGAATCCTGAAGCTAATGATACAAACACAAAATGTACAGTTCAGGCTTTTAGGGATGCAACCAAGTAAATACTAATAAGAGGTTTGTTTTCTTGAAACCCAATTGATGCTGTGGTCTGACATAAAAGTTTCTTTGGTGAATTGCCAAAAAAGCAGACGATTTTCTGTCCACCTACCAAAATGTTCCCTCACCCTTCCTTATTTGGTCTGAAAGTGCTCGCTTCTTTTAATTTTATACCTTGTTTGATCAAAAAACACTAAAACTGTGTTTTCTGTTGTGCATACCTAAACATTTAGGCTTGGAAGAAACAGCCATCACAATAAATATTTACAGAGTCAGACTTAACAGAGTTTAAACAGAAATTTAATTGGAGCTGCAACTCCAGGTTTCTGTCATAATATTAAAAGTCAGAATATAAATAATCCAAAGTAAAGTGAGGACACGTTCATTTTCCAGTTGGATAAAAAGGTTTGCTTACAGAAAACACAGAGAAACCAGCACAAATTCACATTTTGAAGATTTGTCATTTAGTTGAAGAAATCTTTTCATGATTCCTGGGTTATTACAGAAATCCTAAAGCCAAAATATTATTTCTACACTAACCGTCATACTTACCGGCTTATAGCGGACAAGATAGTGAAATATGGGTGAACCACCGTCATCCTGCTTAATCCAGCTGATTTTGATGGAGTTTCCTTTGGGTTGAAGTGAACCCTCCAGTTTCGGAGGACTGGGATTCCCTATAGGCACACAAGAGCAAGAAACTGTGATTTCAAAGTCTCATTTCACAGTTTTAGAAAGTTAGAGGTTAATTTGATTAAACGTTGTATCAGTCTAGCGGTGCCTTTAAAATGAAAGAGCAAAGGAAAAAAATCTGAAACTGAGTCTGAAGCAAGTAACCGGCCTCTTTGTTGTTGTCCTTTGAAGTGACTTGCCCTTCCTTAATCGCTTGCCTCAAGATGGTTCGTCTCAAGTCAGACTAATTACAGAGTGACACACGGCCACATGCCTATCTGATTCACTCTGAGTTGCTGAGTGACATTCAATAGGCATAAAATGCTAACTGACATTCCCCTAGTGTCATATGAGGCTGCAGGAGAAAGGGTTATTTGTCAGTGATAGGAATGTCACCGCAGGTTTCTGGCATTTCACAATTTAATACAATGGTATGCTATTAAAGACAGCCTCCAGGTGCATTCTTTAATTAATACTGTAAACTTAACAAATACAATATAACTAAGGTCAAATGGAGAGGACCTATCAGATGAGAACTTCAGAACAACCAATTTATACAGCTACTGGCTATTTTTTTCTTCATCCACTGCAAACTCAGTGTCACTGAGCTCCTGTATTTAGTTGAGTTCCTCAAGGGTCAGTCCTGGGCCTGACTCTCCTCTCCATTTGGGACAATTAACCACAAGTTTTGCTGTCAAGTAAGTAGTGTAATTAGGGGTGGGAAAGGTTTGTGAGCCAATTAGCAGTGAAAAAGGCCAAACGACAGAGAAGTTTCTTAGTTCAAACTGTTAACTTTTGGTAAACACCTACATCATAGTCCCTCAACGCCTCCTGATGCTTTTGAATAGCAAAGCCTAGCTTATCCGGCTAGATGTCACAGAACAGCCACTGTTGCACAAATAGCTAGAAAAGCCACTGCTGACGACTGTAAGAATTATAGTCATGGATTCTGACCCCAGTCCACCACCCAGGATGGTCACAATGGGCATGTTAGCTCCATAAATGGACCATGGCACAATTTAATACTGTGGCCTGGTCTATAAACAGAGTACATCTCCAGGACGGCCCTTTGGGAATACATTGTTCACGGATATTCATGTGGCTCTAACTTTGCCACCTAGCACATACATTATTCATTGTCCTTCAGGAGGATAATATTCCCTCATGTGGCAGTGGTCTCTAAAAGCAGGACAGAGGGTCCTGGCAACAGTGTGAGGTCTGTTCAGGAATTGTTTGAAAAATATGGCGAGGATTGCAATATTTTGACGAGGCCTCTAAATACCCCAAATCTGCATTAATGCGTTCTTATACTATATGTAGTTAACAAAGAGAATTTTTCAGGCCATAAAGTCTTGCAGACTTCAGCAGATGAGAGCTTTTTAGGTAACATAAGGAGGGGGCATGCATGCTGTGAGGCAGGTTGTAGCTGTTTATGCTGTCTGTCTGTGCACACTGATTTTTGCACATCTGATGAGATGCAACACTGTTTTTCAGTTCTCTCAGTACTTTTATGGTGCATTGACAATAAACTGAATGTAATTATCCAATCTAATCTAATTTATAAGTTGCTTTCCAGAAACCTGGGGGTCATTTTTAATTCCCAATTGAGAAACATCTGAAGTCACTTACTCAGCCGTGTCCTTTCTTTAATTAAGAAACACTGCCAAAAGTACACCACTTCTTCTTTCCAACAGCTCTAATGAAACATCAACCGGTTTGTCTCCTCGTGTCTTGATTATTGTAATACAATGTATCCTTGTTTTAGCCAAGAAGCTGTAGCCTGCCTGCAATTAATTCTGCTGCATGATTACAAACTACAGTAAGTCTATCGCGCCAGCCTCGGTACCCTGGTGTCCTGTCAAATCTAGGTTTGAAACCCTTCCAATTACTTTCACGATTTTGCAACACCGTATGTCAGTGAGTTTCTGATCTCATTTAGGCCTGCTACACCTCTCGGGTTGTCTGAACAAAAACTTCACACTAAAAGGTGAAGACTTGCTGAGGCCTCTATTTTTGGGTCATACCAGCAACATGAAACATTACTAATCTCTCTCTTTAAAACAGAAGGGTTTTGAAGTGCTTTGTTTGTCCTTCATTGAAGTACTTAATTGAGCCATTTAAAATGTACAGACAGTAAAGAAGACAGAGGTTAATAATGATTTCTGTTCATGTTCAGACCCCCGAGTTTGCCTGCTTTCAAAACCCCTTTGGGTCCGGTTAAAGTCTGCTGATTTAGCCCTCAATGCACAGGAGTCATACTAGGTTAAACGTGATGGACAATATGGATGAGAATGTTCAGGGGAGCTCTCGGCCTGAATACTAAAACTCTTGATGGAGAACCAGAGCAAACTGCTGCCAGGAGCAGTTTTTGTGAGAAGGTGGGTTAGACATTGATTATGATTCTCCAGTGATTAGAGGAAACTGTGTTTATCACACGCTTGATTTATAGAAACACATCCTACACGGAGGAAAGGTAACATCCCTTTAGGGTGGTGGACCATCAATACTATCCGAGTGGTGTCTGATATTAAACACTCTTGACTGGTATGTATCACCATAAGGGTGACTCAGGCTCTGTCTCATTTATCCTGCTGAGGCAAATGTCTACATGACTGATTAAATGGATTTGGGTTGACATATATTACATGAATACATGGATGCAATTAAAGTGTTGTTTCACGGGGGATTCTCTGATTTAGGTTAGAGATCTTCTGTCATAAATCTGAAACAGTGCGTTACCTTCTGCAGAGTGGAAGAGGATCATCAGAACCATGCAGAACAAATAACAGTCACATGAAATGAAACGTGAGCGTTTGAAAGAGGAAGATGGACATAAAAGAAGAGAGGAGACAACAAAACATAGATATCGAAACATAAAGACATGAAACCACAAAAAGCTTTTATACTTTACTATACACACTTCTGTTTGGGTTCTCAATGCAAAAAAGTGACATTTACAGCTTCATCCTCCTGACTTTAGAGACTTTTTTTATTTGCAGGGCAACAAATTAATCAGAGCTGATCGGCTTTGAGCAAATGTAAACATTCCCAAATAACACCAAATAGCTGCAGCCAAAGGGGAAATAAGATTTTGAGAAACAGAGATCTGGTGTTTATTTTTAAATCTGTTATTTAGCCAATTAGTTCCAAGCGGGAAATCAAAACTGGTGTTAATATTCATGGTGAGCCGATTGAATATGAGACAGAATCTACGGGAAACAGAGGAAGGGGTTTGCATCGATGATCAGGACAGACAAGGTCACAGTATCTAGAAAAATACACGTTTTGCTCTTTTTAAAGTAATCACAAATGCAGCTAATTAGTAGGGATGATGGGGTTATCCTGCAGAGAGAGAGAGAGCTACAGCGGTTACAACTAATTGTCTATTATTCTCACTACGAAACAAACCTGTGTCTTCAGTGAAAAAATGAGAAATGTCATCTAGAGACATAAAAGAGAAAATTTTAGGCAATCAGTATCAGTTGTCTGCATGAGTGACTACCTGACTCCCTGTCATAACACCTCAATGAGAAGTTCTGAGTGACTCATCTCTGGCAGACTGAACCAGGCGTTAACTTTAGGGGTTACAATCAGATAGAAGCAGCACACACACAGGCAGCTAAACAGGCTGCTCTATGACACAGCTCCAAAGATTAACACCCTGTATGCGCATTAACATTTCCCAGTTAAAAGCTGTGATTCATGAATGGCAGGTGAATTTAAACAGAACAAAGAGAGATGAAGCACTTACTGTTGTAAGTGTGGCCTGGTGGATAATAAGCACAAATGAGCAAATGGATGAAAAGAAAAGATGAGGAGAATGATGAACAAAAGACATGAACAGATGATCAGCATGCAGACGACAGTATGTCATGTCCCAAAGTGAAAACGGGTTCAATTGTGAGTCAGCAGATGCGTTAAATGTGAAGCCAACTGGGAGAAGCAGCTCGGTCTGTCGAAAACACGCATCCAAACCAACAGAGGGGGCTACAAACTAAATAATGAGCTCACTGTTGAATACAAGGCTGGTGTTTAAGGAGCCAAAGAATTTAAATTTATGGAAAGCAAAAAGGCCAACATAACTATCTCTAACTGCTGTGCAACTTGATCCCAATGTAGTTAATTAGCGTGACTTCAAGACTAAAAAGATCCAGATCTCTGCTTGGAAAAAAACTGAACCAAACAAAACAAGCAGGTTGATGAGTCAGTCCTTGTCGTCACTTGGAGGAGGACAGATAGACTGACAAGACACTGTGGGAAGCTTTAGTAACTCCGTCCAGACGGACTCATGGTGACTTGTGAGTTGCTGTCTAGCGGCTGAAAAACTCTCCTCTGTCTGTGGATCACTGACGGGCAAACACCTCTAACTCAGACATACAAGAGAAAGGGCTCCAGATAATGTGTTTTGAAGACAAGGGTCAAAAAGGCGTGATAGAAGCTGAACAGTGTGCTGTAAAGCGTGTGACGTGTCACTTACGGACAGGTTGTGTCTTGAAGATCTCAGTGGGGCTGCTTTCACCTTCACCCTTGCCGTTGATGGCTGACATCTTCACTTGGTAGCTGGTCTCTGGCTTCAGGCCTACGATAGTCACCTCACCAGGGGACTCTGTTACAACATAATATCAGAGGCAGAGCCAACCCCGGTGAGAACACCTTGATAGTTTTGATTAGTGGAAAAACAAACACAGCCCTGAGTTCAAACAATACATGCATAATTAATCCCATCACGAGCAAACAACGATTAGCTCGATTCTCATTTCATTCCTACAATGTTTAAACAGCAGATAAATCTATTTAGTGATGATCTAAAAAGGTCTAAACACAGAGATACACAGAAACAAAAATCACAGACAGCTTTTTCAAGATATTATACATATATGAACTATTCTGGAATTAACGTGACTGTTTTTCCTCTTCATCTTGACTTATTTCACTTTTAAATAATGTTCCTATTATCAACTTTTTCATTTACTCACCAGTCCACATTTTTAACAAGCTTGACTTTGTCATTACCTTATCCCTATTTAACATTTTAAAGCAATGTGACAGAGCAATTTAATTCACAGTACATGCACAGAAATCAAATTTATTTCTTTTTTAACTACATCAAAGACAATTTCATGATACTGTTGTGGAAGAAAACGGTAAGCAGCCAAATTTATCATGTCTAAAATGACCAAAAAAGTTACACATTACATGACAAAAAAACAGTTTTCTCCAAAACATCACTATATCTTTTCTTTGGGTTTGCATCCTCACCATCTATAAATTCATAGACCTTCTGCAACCAGCTGCCCCTGCCCTCAATCCTCCACTCTACTTTGTATCTCAGAACAGGTACGCCCCCGGTGGATTCAGGTTCCTCAAACTGGATCTGGGCTGTAGAGGAGAAGGGCCTGACCAAACTGATGGATGGAGCAGACGGCGACTCTGGTAAAAAGAAGGAAATGCAGTGTGATTACAACTAAAGCTGTGAGATTGCAGCACCCTGGCTGTGTCAGACTGCATTGTGCCTGTACCCTAACCGACTCCACAAAACCCTCCTAATAGATCCTAAATGCATCTAAAACTGCTTCATATTTGTACGACAGCTGTGGTTTATGACATCAGGGCTGTTTCTCAGGCACCAAGCGCTGCATACTCTTCACCTCCTTTCAGAAAAGGGAACCAAAAGGCAGGAAAGACACAGGAATACTCCGATCCCAAGTCAGCTTTAAATGATAATTGCACAGAGGAAACCACAGGAAATAATGAGCCTCTTGTTTTGATTTTGATGAGCCTTTGAGCTGGAAAAGGAAAAATTTGAGATGCTTCTACATGCTTTGCAGTCAGCCAAGCACAACCTATTGTTTTGCTATTATTGCAAATACGCCACAGATTTAAAAAGAAGCTACAGAGGAAGCAAACTGGAATGGAAATAGAGACTTCTGTATTTGTGATCAGTGTCTTTAGTATCTAGAGGGATTGTAGGCTGGTAGAATTCAGATCAATGACCAAAACAACACATGTTGCTTTATTCCAGGAAGAAGACATCCTAACAATTTAAACCAAAAGGGGCTTCAGTTGTTCCAGTAGCTATATCAGCTCTGACAGTTTATTATATCATTCTAATCTTTAATCAACAAGACTTGATCTGATTATTGTAGTTGCACATGTTAGTCTCTTTGTGGACAATTTTGTGTTTTCAATTCATTTACTGAAGACTGGGGATTAACACTTATCTCCACTCTCTGCCCCATTTGTGTAATGTGCTGGTGAGCATACGGTGAATATTAGCCGGTGTTGAGCTTATGTTGCAATGAAATGTCATCATTTTAATAAGTTGTCTTTAATTCTCTAATCCTCACTTACTAAAAGCTTTGATGTGCACAATAATGTACACTGTTTTACATTGCTTTCAACGCTGCGCTGAGCCTCTGTATTTTTCTAAACAACCAGATGGGAGGAACACAAAGTTATCTGATGTTAAGACAAACACTGCTCTGTGTAATCTCACATTGTGGTCTAATGTGTTTTGAAAATTGATGAAAAATGTGTTCCTAAACCCTGAAGCCTTGTTCAGCCCTTGCAATTGAATTTGTCTGCTACAGTAACATTTATCTGATTATTTCTTTGTTATCGCTATAAATCAATATTTTAATCTCTGCTCTGGATGTCTTCATATTACAAATTCTGATTGTGATGAAAAAGAGATAAAAATAAATTCTGGTGCAACAAACCGCACACAATCCAAACTGACCGGCCTGAATGAGGAGGAACTCCCTGGACTCTGTGCCCATCTCATTTGAAGCGGTGCAGTTATAGCTCCCGTAGTCATTTTCAGACTCGGGGGTTATCTGAAGGAGGAAAAAAGCAAATATATGAAGGGCAGTGTACCACAACAGATGAATAAACTTGTGTGTCAAACACTGTGAAGGTGACCTTTTTGTTTGTCCATTAGAGAAGTCTATTTTTATTTGTTGCTCTGAGCTTTCCTGCTGCTGAATTATTCATCTAATTTTTTTTCCTCCGCTCACAATGGAGCTGAAAGAAAACCCTTCACTCCCAGCCTATGCTCATGAAATGTTGATGACATCGAGTTTATATGTGTTTGTGTACGTTCACCTGGAGCACTACGTGTTTATGTGCACATATGTTTTATGGACCTAAAATAGAAGCTTGACATGTTTGTGTGTTTTTACCTGCAGGTAGCTGAACGATGGAGTTCTGAAGATCTTGATGTTAGTGGTGTTGGAGTTGGGGAGCTGCTGCCCGTCTCTCAGCCACACTATAGAAACATCACTGGGGTGGGCTTTGACCTCGCAGCTGAGGTTAACAGCGTTCCTCTCCCAGGTATATGTGGCCACAACACCGAGGATTTTGGGGGCAACTGTGGGAAAAAATGTTTCAAGTTTTGTGCTTTGAAATCAAGTTTGTGTTAGAAGAGACTTTAAGAGCTCTCTGCGATCAGGACTTCTTGTGTCTGGGAAAAGGATGCTGTTGAAAGTCACTTTTACAATACTGTTGTTATTATGAGGGCTGAAACACTTCTTCTAAAAGAGAAGGAGATACTTACAGCGGACCTCCAGATATGCTGTCTGTTCATCCTCTCCAATGGCACTGCGAGCTGTGCAGAGGTACTGACCAGCGTCCGTGTACATGGCATGCTTCAGAGTGAGGGAGGAGACGCGAGCATCACTCCTCACCACCACACCTCCATCCTCACTCTAAACAGGAGCAGAAAAAAAAGTTTGGTTCAGAGCAAAAAAAAAAAAAAAAACAAACTCAGCCATATTGCACATTTACATACAGAGCTCATTTATGCAGATAAAAATGTGTGACCTGAAAAAGGAAAGCTTAAGGAAGCCTGCCTTTAATGATAAGAGCAGGCAAGACTTCAATGAAGAAGCCACACACACTGCAGGGTGAAGACGTAGAAACATAAGGACACAGTTGACAGTACGGGGAGCTTATCAATAATAGATGACAGAAAGCACTAGAAACCATCTAAAGCTTTTCACACAGAGGGCTTAGCAACTCCTGAAATACGCTGATGCATGACGGTAGACACCAGAGCATTACCTTTCATGCAGCGTTCACACTTTTTCAACTGAAGACACTGAAAGCTTAGTGTCTGGGGTATTTTTTTTGTTTGTTTGTTTCAGTTAAATGACATTTTGTTAATCTCTAGTGGTAATATTTGGTTCAAGCAAATGCACCGCTCTCACTTTCAGGACATGTCCCAGTTCACTAGATGAAGGGCAGACGCTAAGTCACATTTGAAACCAGGGAAATAACAACAGACAGCTGGCTAATGAGATGTGTAAGTGACCTTCCTGCTCTGAAGATACCTGCTTTCACGAACACGATATGTCGAGTTACAACATCCGGACATTTGTAGCTTCCTGGCCTGAGGGTCAACAGCTCTGTGTTGTTTTGGTTGCTGCTGTCATGTGACACTAAATCGTACGTTTACCGTACCAGAGGGACCGAGTATCTCCTTTATTTAAAACCTCATGCCCCACCTTAAGGTTATTTATTAAAATACACGTGTGAGATCAATTCTTAAGAGCAATTTCATATAAATGTAGATCCTGGTGAAGCTCAATACATGTCCTCATGATTTTTTTTCTATCTGTCTCTAAAAATGACGTGAATCATGCAGTTAATTCTAAAAATTTTGTCCGCGCAACTGTTTTTAATCCCACTCTTTAATACAGTAACCTTCACTTTGTCTGTGAATCGTTCTTTTCACCAGGTGCTGCAGGACTGAGTACCTAGGCTCCTTTATTGGCTGTTTTAATGGCTTTGGTCCAAGCTGCAGGCAAAACAATGGCACGGATGCTTTTACACATATTGAATTAGGGCCCAGTCTGGGCAGCCATGTAAGAGAAACCCTTGCTAGTTTGTATTCAAATTCAATAGACAAAGCATGTCTGGGGCATTCATTATGCATAGCGGGTAGCAGGACCAGGGAGACACTTACATAACACAGTACCCTTTATTCTGACCCCTGTGCAGAAAGCATTCTGCCTCGACCTCCCTGTGGTGCTGCTACTGACTCTTGCATCTGTGCCACACTGTGTACAACCATGTTAGGCAGTATGCTCCAATATTGAGCCTTTTTTCAACGTTGAGCTAAAGCCACTTGTCTCCTTTATGAAGCCCCAAATGAATGTATGCAAGAAGGAAAATTACTCTGAGCAGTCACTGCATTTTAATCTGGCGAATCATTAATATTTTATAACAATTGATTTTCAGTTTGAATGCATAAGGCACCAGAGTAATCCTCTGTTCAAATCATACTTGATGATTTGTTGACTTTACCGCCGTCGAATAGAAACAAAACCTTTTTACGTGTCTCGGCGAAAACCTGGAGTGAAACACTGATGAGGGCTGAAAAGAAAGACCCTCAGACATAAGCTTCTCTAATAAATCAAAGCAAACTGACAGCAGAGCTCTGCAGCCGCTTCTGCAGCTTTAGCAGCAGAAAAGAGAGACACACTGCTGGAACACCAGAGCATAAAATTGAGAATTCACTGAGGACATGTTAAACTTATGTCTCACCAAATGTAAACTGGACCAGCATACAAATGTACCCTCCCATCCCCGCCCTGTCAAATAAACACCGAGCTTGCCTTCGTATTTGCAAAAAAAAAAAAAAAACATGCTCAGCATTCTCAAACTGCTGGGTGCTCTTACTCCTCCCCCGTGTGGTTTATAATGGGATGTCTTACAGAGAGATGCGCTGATCAATTTAGAGTGCAGGTGGATTTTAAAACCATCACATTATGTCAGAAAGTGAAAATTATCACCATCTGAGCCATCAATATAATCCATTGCACTTAGATCCTGAAACAAACACTGCTGCGAACGTGCTGCTAAGATGCAACTTGAGAGACAATGGTTCTCTAAAAACTGTTCATGTTAGGAAGCAAGGCTCCACTCTGTTTAGGAGGACTGTTTGTTCTTGTGTTTCTCCTTAGATTGTCGTTATCCTGCAAGAGACACTAAGAAGCTTTTTTCTTGGCTTTTTGGGGTCAGTCTTGTTGAGCTGATTACTAATTCAAATGTTGAAAATAATCCAGTTTACCCCAACTTCCTTGGTAAAAGAGTAAAATAATACAGGTTTTAACTACTGCTTGGAAATGTTAGCGCCTCCATGTGCACAAAAACTTGTGTGGTCCTGTTTTTCATTGAACGAAATGTAATATCTCATTGTGGTATAAGTGAATGCATACCAGATGTCAATATTTAGTGACTGCTTGAAACAGTGGATGCAAAAAATGTCCATCTTTAAATCTAGAGCAGAGTGGAGTCAAAGGAAAAGACTGATCCACCTGCTGTGCAGAGCTCCCTGCGATTCAGAGCTAAAATAGCAAGGGTATTTGAGGAACCGAATAGGCCTAAAAACACGTATTCATTTCTTGTCAAATGGTACATCAGTAAAAATCACAATGGCAACCCGAGTGTTTGATCCTGCACCTGAAACGATGACGGGCTGATCGTCGGGACATACTTTGTGAGAGCACAAATTTCTGTTTGATTGAAAGCCAAGAAGAATCTGTCAGCACTCTCCTCTTGTAAAGTGCACTCAGCAGAGACAAAGGCATACATCTCACCAATTTTCTCACATATGTAAAGCACATTTTCAGTCATGCAATTGGGCGTACACAAGCTTATGTGGGCAGCACTCTGACAATGTTCACTTTCTTTTACCAAGAGTCTCTGGCTCTCATACTCTGGGCTTATACACCAACACATATTTTATTCATCTTATTTGGAAAGCATGTTTATTAATCTTTCGGTCCACAAATCTGAACTATAGATACCTTCTTTCTCCTGAGATAAACACATTTTAAAGTTATAGTCAAGAATTGGCAGAAGACTCAGTGAGATGTAGGAGTGAGGACAGAGAGATCTGAGGAGAGTTTTACCGACAAAATCAATTTTTCTTGGACAGAAAACAAACTAACAATCTGCATGCAACAGAAATGGAATCGAGTCTATAAATGATTAACACAAAGTATTCCAAAAACCATATTTCAGCAGGAAGATGTCTTGCATTGATTTTTGTTCTAACAGGCTTGGTAAAAGTTCAAACAGCACTTTGAGCTTGTATGGAAACCAAACACGTATAAAGAGAGAGATGGACGGACAGATCTGCTGTGACTGGCCTGGTCTAGCTTCTGCATCTTCCTTTAGGGTTTGGTCTCTCCCTGACCCTTAATTGATCAAGAACTTTGATCTGCATCCATCCAGAATTGAATTAGACCCCCCTGACATGAAAGATGGATTGGTGTAGGAGAAAGTCATGCATTTAGAATACCTTGTGCTGCTCTGGCCGAGTCCATGATGCCTGTAGAGGACAGAGACACAAAACAACAAAACAAAAGGCAAAGCAATGCTTAGAAAGTAATCCTTATCCAGGCAAAGCTGGGATGCTGCACACTGCATGCACGTATTACGGGTCTAGTTGATTTTCTGTTCATCCACAGTCCCTGAGCTGAATCTATGATGTAGCTTTTAGTCTGCAGGTACTGAATTGCTTTGAATTTCTCTCCTGGGGGAGCCTATTATGTGACAATAGGACTTTTCTTTTAAAGGTGTATTTTGGGGGGGATTTTTTCGGCTGTATTATTTTCAGCCCTGAAACTGAACAACCCTGTTTTTAACCCCCAAAGAAGAAAGTCTCCTGGCATCATGAAAGCGTAAATGCTTACAGATAAGAAGGTTATTGGTTTATCAGGGAAAGGCGACTCCATTACAGCGACAGCAGAGATATGTCGGCCTGTTTGTAAAATGGAGCAAGGCAATTATAGGCTCAACGTCCACTGTTCAAAGCTTAAAGCAATGGGATTGAAATACCCAATAAAACTGAATATACCCATGCAGTGTTGTCCTCATTAAAAACTAACATTAAGTACCCAATTCATCAACTCATCTCACTATCCCTGCTGTGTTTATCAATAAGCAGTAAAGGGTTTAAAAAGATGTCTGTGAAGCAAGAGCCGATGTGACACCTGGAAATAAATCCTGGTCTACAGGTGGCTTGTGTTATGTTGAATTATTTCAAAGGTCAGGTGTTGTGCTCTGAACATAAACACTGCTCGTACAACAGTCTCCTGTGGCTATCTATGATTATGGTTACACTCACAAATAGCCAAAAATGCAGTGTGCAGTTTTTCTAAACTCTAAGATCACTTCTTGAAGTAAAAAAAAATATGATGGCTTCTTTCCCTGTCAGAGGACGTTTTTATATCTAAGCTTTCTTGATCTGCACATCTCTGTAAATCTACAGGCTTCAGAAATACTCCCTCTGCATTTTGAGATTGGATGTACTAAAAATTCTCCGACAGCTTGAGCTATGATTTAAATCATGTCGTGAATAAATTCTCAGATTGAAACATTGCAGTTCTGTTCTCACTTCTTGTTGAGAAAGTTACAGTTCAAATAATTGCACATTATTTATATTTTTGGAAAATCATAAAAATAATACAACATTATATAACCAAGAAGACTCAAACACACCTGAGTACAGCTGAGACAGGGATCAACATTAATGTAATATTTTATCCTTATATTCTTATCCTTTATCAATAAACATTTCTGCAGAATTAAAATCCTACAGAATCAGCAAACCCAGAGATCATCATAAGCTTGTTGGTCAGATCTCCAATCCAACTGAACACAGAATTAATTTGACTCATGACAGAAAAAATCAAACTTCTGTATAACAAAACCCTTGAACAGCACCAGACAACATGCCATGTCAAGTTAAATCACAATGACGCAGAAAAAAAAGCGCAACTTTACAAGACAAACAGCTTCGTGGTGAGCATGCTTTAACATTTCATGATACTGAGGAGCACATGTTAGGCATGAGAATGGGATGCAATGGCCCACACTGAGGAAAAAAAATGTCAAAGCAAAATGAAGAAACAGCTATTTCATCAGGTGCATCAGCAAGTAAATGTCAAGTTAATGAAAGCAATTTGCCGAAGTAATTGTGGGGCAAACCAGTGAATCAAACACTCAAATCACCCCTCTATTATCCTCTCATAAAAATGAGGTAAGAGCATATGGACTGTTTGGATTTGAGTTCTTTCTATTGCCGGCAAACCCGACTCACAATTTACCATGGACATAATCTAAATGAGGAAGGCACAGAGAGGCTTGGGTAGGGGACTTAAAGGAGAAAACATATGCAAAGCTCCTTGCCTGGGTGTAATTCACTTTGTTCTTAAGAGCTGTGCATGTCCTCTACTGTCACAGCATCACACACAGTGCACCGTGCATCATTACAAACAGCAGTTGGCTGCATATCACTGCCGTGCTGAGAAAGAAAGGTAGCCCAATTAAAACAGGCAACCTAATAGTCTGGAACATCACCGCCTCATCCACACAGTCGTCTGCGGCGCTGCCTCTGCAGTAAGTGAGCTGACGAGCATCGCTGAAATGTCCCTGACAGGTGTTTGTTTAAGACAAAGGCTCGGTGAACAACAGCAGATGCGAGTGTGCAAAACAGAAGACACCAAAAACACAATCACTCCTTCGAGGAAACGTGGGGAACAATATAGGGACGGTTCTCTTGGGACTTATCATTTTTCGACTCCATTGTTATTCCTTCCATAGAGAATTATCTTCTCTCTTTGTTCTGACATGAATTGTAATGTCACCGCGAAGAGGGCAACACAGCCAGAGAGGAGACACACTAACATAAATACACTAAACACATCAATGTACAGAGGCCTTTATTCACTGGGTAACGCCTGACTGAAAACGATGATTATGCGTTCTGTTGTCGTCCTGTGTCATTAACTGCTGAGTCTGGAAATGCTGCCAGGACATCACAAAAAACGGACTCGCATTTTAGTAAAGAAACCCTTACATCACCCCAGCACTGAGCTAGCGGGCGTGTTGTTATAAATGAGTAGCCCTTTGTGCCGGGACTAAACAATGCTCTCTCTGCATTGGCACGCATCACTAAAAGCATTCCTCTGTTTCAGATGGCCAGACTCAACAGCTGCCACACAACATTAATTACACATTTTCTTTAAGCGTCTAATTACTTACAAAATAATCATGAATTTCTTTGCTGTTTATGTCTAATTTGGCATCTTGCATATTAGACAAAGAGGGACTTAAATGCAGATTTGTGTCCGAGCTTTCCAGTTTTTAAAGCATTAAGTGCTTTATCACGGTAGGTGGCAAACTTAAATGTGCTTTAGAGTTTTTAATTGGTCCTTAGCAAAAAAAATTAAGAAAATTATAGCTTGAAAACTCTGTGCATCATGCAGAATTGTTAATATGTATTCAAAGAAGCAAAACATTCATTATGTAGATAATGTACAAAGCATGGATAAATACTTCATTTTCATTTCCAGTTATTAAACAGGCTCACTTATCTGAAACGACTCGCAGCGAATGCATTCAAAGGACTGAAACGGCTGAATGCCGCACGTTAAGTTGATGAAAGTTCGAAAATAAATATATAAAACACTTCTTTTTTATAGCTGCACAAACAAAAACAAAACCATCCCCAGATAAGTAGGAATTTGAATTTTCAAACACGACTCTAAGTAGGCACACACCTACGCGTACCTCGGCTTTTCTATTGTACGAAGCAGTAATCTCCCTCATCCTCACACTGTGCACCCCTTTACTCCTAGTCACCAGATGATGCTTTTGTCTGCAGACACTGAAGATTTTGTGTAGGAGGTTTTTCAGAATGAATTTGTCTTTCCCCATGTTAACCTTTAAAACCCAAGATCTGAGCTAAACAGAATGAAGCCAAATGCAATTTGCTTCGGCATCAAAGACAAGGTGAAAGACTAATCTTTCAAAAAAAAAGAGAGGTCTGGATTTCTGAACAAATATTCTTTAAACTGTCATTTTTCTTAAAACACCATATGGCAAATCAATAACTCAAGCCGCGGCATGTTTCTTTATATACTGCATCATCAGCTGTTAAGTAATTTAAAAGTTGCAAATTGTGTGACAGAAAAAAAAAAAGGCATCCTATGAGGTTTCACATTAGCACAGACTCATACATGTTCTCAGCATAAACTGAACAAAGGAGGTGGATGCAAATATAGCACTGATGCACTTAAGCAGGCGGGCTGCAATTCTGGAGCCCTGCATTGCTATCTTCGTCCTGTTTTCTTGGAACAAGGTGACCACTAATGGCTCTATTTATTATCTGGCTACTTAGATAGTTAATGACTGTGATCTCGCAAAATGGGTTTCTATTTGCTGTGCTCTCTGACCAGAGTTATTTTACTGTTAGACAAATATGCAGAGGGCTTATGGTGTTCGTAACAAGCGCGGCTTGCATAGCGGTCTGAGTCTGGGCATGTGGGCTGTGGTTCAACTACAAATGAAAAACTCATTGCTTGTTGCTAACATTAATACCTGCTGTCTTCTCAGCAGGGGAAAGAAAACAACAATTCAGAACACAAATTAAAGGTTGATCAAATTAAATCGATGTAAGACTGAACAAGTTCACAAGATAGAAATAGTGAACACAAACATCAGTGCTTTCTTATAAGTACAAATACCATCCTTTGAAGGTCTGTCAGACTATATGTGTCAGGTATTTGCATAACAACTCTCTTAATTGATTGAACTCGACTGTAAACTGGTATACTTCTGATGTAAAGTTGCCTTGTTTGATATGGGCTACTATGTGAATTCGATCTCTTTTGGTTCATGCCTCCAGTGGCCATTCGATGAACTGCAAACGTTTTGTCCATGCTTTGTTGCCTTTATTTTCCAGACTCTGAGATTTCAGCCTTGTTTGACAAATACTGTAGGTCTACTTTTTTAAACACAGGATGACGGAGATGGCATACAGCTCATTCCTGACAAATATTAGACTGTTTTTTCTGACGTACAGGTCACGGTAACTTAGAATTTACTGCGGGGAAAAGAAGTGTTTTGGTGAGTCATACTGAATGCAAACAGACACATTGTTTGTTTATATAACAATACTCCACTAGGCATCTTTAACAAACCCTGAACAGATATTTTTTGAAGCTTTCTTCTATCTTTCTACTTTGACGATGGAAGCAAACCACTCGAATCTAAACAGAAACAAATGCTTTCTTTGGCTCCGTTTCTGAGGCCTCTTTTCACCCTCTGTGATGAATCTGGACCACAAAAGTAAAGCATGAAAAGATTTTGTAGTCCTTAAAAGCAAATGGGGAACTAGCACTCACTGTCTTACTGTTCAGCAAAGATGAAATGTTTTAGATTTCATTGTTAACAGAGAATCAGTGTGTCTGTTCCTCAGCGAGCAGTATCTAACAACTGGAGGAACAGTCGATATTTTTGTTAGTGCCAACATTTTCCAACACTTTTTGTTCCATTGCCAACATATTGTAGATACCAGTGCATGCACAGCTTTCTTTTTCATCTAATTGTAAACACTATCACGTCCGTCCTAAAGAACAATTTATATATTATTATTCATACTCTCATCTTGTTGGCCAAAGAGAGGACGCGCAATGAAAGCCAGAGTAGCTCTGGTTGTATATGGGGTCGGGATGCAGCATATTTATGGTTAGATCTAAACCTCCTCTCACGCTCATTTGGAGTAGATGTTGAAATAAAATCCTGATGCATCTGTAAAATGTCGATCCTTTTATCAATCCTCCATTACCCTCAGTATTATCCCCACTCCTCCTCTCTTCTGTCTAAAGAAAACAAACCACGACTGATATATTAGATAAAGTAACATACTGGAAAGAAAGGGAAAACACTATATATTCAAGGGACTCTAGGGTTGAAAAGTCTTGCCAGTGTTGTACATAAGTATTTAAAAAAGAAATGGAAGTGGCTGACCGAGTAGGAAACCACAGAACTGAACGACACATTAAAATATGCTGCTAATGAATCCCATCTATTCATTACCACCACGCATCTTAAACAGCACACTGCAGGTCTGACTCTCTGACCAACACAACGCTCAAACCAATATGGTAAATGACAAATCCCACCCTTGAGATCCATTAAGTTTGCTCCAAAACTGAACCGTGAATTAACAGCTGCATTATTAACAATTCACCGTGTCCACCCCAAACGAATGTTGCTTCATTTGTCACACCCACTCTGGATGAAATACAGCTGTTGTGATGATTGCAGAAAGGATGACAGGCAGATGGACAAACACAACAAGACAATAAAACAATTAGCAGCTGTTACCTCACATGATCATTAGAGCCCCACTGTGGAAAAAGGTTGCATCTACTATGCATGAATGAAAGAAACTACAGGGGAAATCTAAGCAATCTAAATCTACTGTTTCTACTCTATAGTCACTACAGTTCCTCTTAAAAGGCTGCTAATCATTTCTGTGAGGACAGCTGTAAAAAGATACTACAGATCACCAAGCATACTGCACATTAAGGTGTAAAACATACCGCCACCAGCACAGCTGTGCATCACATGACATGTGATTCGTGACATGCCATGGCGCTGCTTGTCTGCAGGAATGCACCGTGTATAAAAGTGTGTGGGTTATGCACATTTTAGCTGCGTTTTTGAAATGTAACTATAAGCCTGTGTGCATTATCCACTTCCTCAGCACCGTACACCTGCAGAGTTCATCTTCACACTTTGAGTACAGCTGACCAGGCAACATCTTTTATGAGATAAAATGGTGGGACTGTGGGATGTAGAGCTGCAGAGTGTTAACTCTAGCCCCCTGATGAGTCTCTGCTCATCCATTATGACAGCTACACGACCACAAAAGGAGACAGTCTGTCAGTGACAGAAGAGGAAGTCGTGGTGCAGCAGCTGGGAGGTGTGTTTTGCAGAAAAAAAATGCTGCTTCTCTCGGGACAGCCACAAGAGATAAAAGGATAGATGTGTATCCTGATATTAGACGATGCATCCATGTGTGCCCGGCCACTGTTGGTTAACTGTGTAAAAAAATAGGCCTATTGTGGTGTGCATCATATGATGGTAGCATGTTTTACACTCGGAGTGATGCTCGACTTAAGACCCCTTTTTTTGAATATCACACACTCAACCTTGCAGACTCTGACAGGTGGCTGTAAAAACTTTATTTTCCATTGTCAAAAAAAGGCACAGTGGCTGTCATCTATTTGAAATAAAGTCACTCACGATGGATTCCACTTTTCAAGGTTAGAAAAAAGCCCATTAAAGCTCTCCTTGCAGCATATTCCACCTCTCCACTCGCCACCTCTCTGATCAGTATGTTCCAAACCATCTTACGCTCTTTTTTTGTCTGCAGGGGTTGAGTGGTTCTGTGATTTTCAAAAGCTAGATTTTAAGTGGAGCACTTTTACCCTCTATTTGAAAAATGACACCGACATAAAGGTTAGACAATCTACAGCACGATGGAGATGACAGACAGACTGAGCTGGGCTTGAATCCGAGCAACCTCATGCTGTGATGGAAAGTTTGAAATGATCAGGCAACAGCGACACAGAAATGATGTTTCATCTAATTATGGTGTTAACCAACTTTTCATCTGATCTCATGATATGTTCAAAACACTTTCTATCACAAGATCAGTGAAGTTTCCGGGCTATTCTTGCGAAGCATGCAGCAGTTGAATCAATTTCATAAACTCTGATGAGATCATTCCTTGGGGTTTTCAGGAAAGAGCGGGGAAATCCTCAATAAAAAGGGATTATTTGATTTCGGTGGGGTTTTCTTTGTCAAATCTGGAGGCATACTTTGCAACACTACTCCAGTACATTTCTGTGCCACGCGTATTTCATACCTGATAGATCCTGTTTAGGTGTGCCTGTAGGAAGAAAATGTAGTGCATGTAATGGACTGGCTTCAGAATTCCTCCAAGAGCTGCAGTATCTCTTTGAAGCATTTTCCCCCTCATTACCTCCCAACTGTAGCAAGACCTTGAGGACCTAGGCCATGTGGGGGGAAAGCTGTACGAGAATACCAAACAGGTATTCTCTGTGTTTGATGGTTTGCATGTGGCTAATGCAAAAACACATTTCACAGATGGCAGCAGAATATTTATCAATAATCATTTTTTTATTACAGCATTTTATCAGAAAATGTTTTCAATCACCAGCATGAGCGGCATAATGATAACAGTGATTGAAAACGCTGAACAAACACTTGATCGCTCAAGTGATCATTCTGGCAAACAGCGCTCAGAAAGAAGCACACAAAGTTTAATCATTGCCTCAAATTGCAAGCTTATTTTAGAAATGTTGTAATTGGGTTTCTGACGTGGATTTTCTTGACTGTTGGGAAAACTCGAGTCGAATCTGAGCGTGCTCCACATTACAGGAAAGAGTTTGGCTGGGCTAATTACAAAAGGTCCACTGGGCCATGGTGAAGGAGCTGCTAATTTTGGGGGAATAATCAGCAGAACATAAACCTTGTCAGGGGTTTTTGTAGTGGAACTGCACAAGTCCCCAACCTGCACATGATCAATATACCTCTAGAATTAGGTTAAAGGTATTCAATTCCTCTACCTGAGACACACCGGCGTCCTGCAGGTTTGTGTTCCTCCCTTGTGATTACAAGTCGCTGTGACCCAATTTGAGAGTGCACGGTTTCAAATCATAAAGTATGCTTGAAGAATGTAAAAGTACAAGGGTTGAACTTTTTATGATTGTAATGTATGGGAATGGTTGATTGAGGTCAAACTGCATCTTCAGTATTTTATCACAACTTCTTTAGTTTGAGAGGAAATCAAATTAAATTGAGTTTAATCTGCTTCCTACTAGTTTGGTCTTAATTTCTGACTATTCTACCGCTAACAACAAAGATAAGGAAGTGCCATATTTTTCTTTCTTTTCTCTTTTATGCCCAGTGTGTAAAAAGTACTTCAAACCTAGGGGTTTATGTATAATAAGAAACAAGTACACAGATATTGTCGGTATGCTTTACTGCCGGCCTGATTCTTAAACTTCTTGAGGAAAAAAAACCCTGCAGGACACCAGCCCTCATTTACCTAGGATATGGATATTTGGCTTCTCCTGTTGCCCCATACTGCCTTTTTAATTGTACCTGCTCTCCTTCAGTGAAGACGAGATCACCGAAGCTCCAGTTGATGGTGGGGGTTGGATCTCCTGATGCCTCACAAGTCAGAGTTACCTGCTCATCCATCTCTGATGTGGTCTGGTTTACGATGTAAGTGATCTTAGGTTTGACTGTAAATACAAACAGAAATCATCAGAGCTGCACTAACTTAACATGACAGCCAGGTGTTTTGACAGAACAAGTACAATGCGTACAAGAGCAACTCTGTGGATTTGGGATGAGTTCAAAGGGAAAGGGAAGAGGAGTATGACAGGTGTGTGGGATTTTTATGGCAGCTAAACTGCATTTAAGTCTCCCCAGTCCCGCTCCGGCAAGGATGTGATAACCTTGTGTGGCACCAAATTTTATTCATGTAATAATTTATTTAGCATACCTCAAAGGAGCTGGTCTTCACTTTTGTTTATAGTCGAGAAAACTGTCAGAGTACAGCACACATACGTAAGCTTGAAAGCAGAGAACAGAGCCAAACTCCGGGACTCGACTTCTCAGGTTGAGCAACACTCTGTGCTCTGATGTTTTTCACTGCACCTCCATGAGAGATGAACACATGAAGCGATACGTTCGCTTAATGCGAGCGAATTCAACCTGATGCATATAACTGATAATTTAAGCACAAAAAACAACTGCAACCCTGTATTAAAATGCTTTCAGCTCGACTGATAATTATTGAATAAACAAAGGAACATCTGTAGTGTCCTTTTATAATGTATAAATAATATGTTTATAGATAGGTAATATTTGTATTCACAGCCAGGGGTGTCACAAACTGATCAGGGATGATTATTACTTAAGAATAGAACAGATCAGTAATGTCCATTTTCTGACACTCTGTTCATTGTCAAAAACTCTAAAACAGTTTTCCAGCATACAGAAATGTGATCGACAGAACAACTCAACGGCATAAACAAATTAGCAGTCACCGCGGTGGAGATGTTTGTCAGTCACTCAAGTGAGCAGAGCTGTTTTGAGGGGTATTTTAATGGGACATAACACCTTTAAATAACCCCAGCTGCTGTCGAAGAAATAAAACTTTAACTTATTTTGTTCAGGGTGATGAGAAAGAGATCCTGCCTGAACCTTTGGATGGCTACAGCTTCACACTAACAGGTTTCTTAAAGACAGACACTGGTTTGAAGTAGGTGTGTGGGTGTCACATAACAATGCACAAATCAGACTCTATCAAAATTCAAATATATTAGCACGTATCAAATGACAGATGTGAAGCTGTTAGCTTATGTTGGCACCACTGTCAGAGTGATAAAAAGGACTCGCACAATTCGGATGGGGGTGCTGTGAAATCCTGAAAAATGATAACCCAAAGCTCAGTTCAGACATGGTTTACATTACAGGGGGAGGTGAGGAATTAAATTTTCACAGTGCTTCTCTGTAATTTAACTTATTGCTCTGCGCTGCGTTTTAACCATGAGGAAATTAGCCTCCTCCCAGGGGGGTATGGGATAGTCGAAGATAGAGACGTGAGGCAAAGATACTGCATGAAGGAAATCTGAGTCAAAATCCATACTCCCACAGTGAAACAGAACTCTTCATTTTATAGAGCAGGCATAAAAACTGTTTTTCATATCACACCGTAATTTTTTTCAATGCTTTTAATGAATCTTGTTATCAGGAGTGTTATAATGAGACATTTTCTTATTATGAGAATCTGCGAAGAAATCATGGAGAAAAGACACTCAAGACCTTTTGTAAGTTTTCTTCAGCAATAAAATGGTCTAACTACTGACAGCTTTTCTGCAGAGAGTTAGTTAGTGTTAAAATCTTAAGAAAATGTAGAAATTTAGTTTTCATTGAAAGACTTAATGTTGTATGCTGGCTTTTGTATCAGATTCACGCTCCACTTTCTGACAAAAGTCACATTTCGGTTCCATTGATACAAAAGGACAAAGAGAAAATGCTCTTTGTGCAGAAAAACAATGATCCACTTCTTTACACAAGGACATTGCTCTGGTTCAGTGAACTATTGAGTCGAGTGTGTCGAAAAACAGTGAGCGATTTGAATTGTTATCATTAGTAGTTTGAAGGGGAACATTTAGACACATTTGCACTGAGAGCTTCATTGGCATCCTGCAGGTTTATGTTTAAAACCATCCCTCTGACCGTGACAGCATGATTCTCATCAGTTCTTTTTATACAGAAACCTTCAATATTGCAAATTTAGTCATAATTATTCACTGTTATAGAATGATGTGAAGAATTCAAAACCTTTTTAGGCCTACTGTGAGTTGAACCAGGACAACACATATTAAATTTATTACCAAACTTATTTTAAAAAGGCTCTAAATGTTCACAGCCTTCATTTAAAATCAGGGAGATTAGGAAAAATATGATGGTGAGAACGCATTTAAATTCATAAAGCTTTCACATTCAGAAATGAGTGCTTCCAAGTACACACATGATTGCAGCTTTTCACACACTGATGTTAGGAGACCACAGCTTTGTAAGTGCAAGAAAATCTTCTCGATAATGAGGTAAATATTGCCAAAGAGGTAAACAATGTGCCTTGAAAGCTGCCTTGTGTAATTTAATGGAAATTGTTTACCCGTTGAGCTCTAAAGAGACAGACCCTGGCCACCTCTGTTGTTTCAGAAAATGAACTGCACCGGCATACTCATTGTAAATATAATTGACTTGACTACACGAACTGATATTGTGGTTGTGACTGAAATAATGGACATCATTACGTGACAAAATAAAGAGAACAACAACCTTTTGGGCGAAAGCAGAAAAAGGAGAACGAGAAAAATACATCAAAGATCTGAGCTAAGCTCATCCCACTTGGCCGGTCTCTAAATCCTTAAGCTTCAGTCTTACATGAAACAACCACAACCCACACTGAAACAACACCTAGTCTTGTATCCTGTAGGAAACAGACACATAACCGAACCATTGTTCTCCCAGCACCCACATACTCCATATACCTCATTCCCACACACTTGGAATAATATATACTGTCACTTGGGGTCATGTAGGTATGTGTGTAAAGCACTTTCCCTTACCAAACACTCTCAGACTGAGCTCCTGTTCACTCTCCCCGGCCTTGTTCTTGGCGATGCAGGTGTACTCTCCTTCATCCAGCTTGGCCACATCCATTATTGTCATTTCGGAGCCATCTTCATTAAAGCTGTACTTCTCTCCCGCTTCGAGGACTGCTTCGTTCCTGTGGGGAGGCATAAGTGTTAGACATAATATCCCCCCATCCAATCAATTTAAAACACATTTTCTGCCTTCACCTTTTACAAAACCTCTCTTTGGAAAAGTAACCGTTTCCTAAGAGTGATGCTAAGGTCTATGAAAAATAAGCGGCAGTTTCTACACCTACGGCTGACAAATTGAAAAAGATCAAGTGATGAAGGAGAAAAGCAGTCAGTGAAGAAGAAAAGCTGTGAGATAATCTATGTTAAAGGCTGGAAATGTTTCAGAGAATATGGGCAATGTTTTCTTTTGAAAGAATGACAGTCTTTGTTGGTGAATAGAAACGGTTTAACATATTTTTCTTTCGCACGAGTGGAATTTGAATTTTGTGTCACTATGGTTAGCCACTGAAAGCGTATGATGTTCTCCGGCCTTTAACCATCTTAAACCGCATCTTTTGGGTTACAGTGCAGCTTTTAGAGGGTTCAAAATGTGCTCTCTCCACACCAACAGAGGACATTATTCAGAAAGCATCAAAATACTGGAAACAAAGAGGAACAGTAGCTCCTTGGGTGCTGCACTTGTGCTCCCCCCCAACCAACCCCCATAATCTAGGCTGTCCACACAGCTAACTGCTGTCTTGGAAACCAGATTGAACAGGAAGTTTAACAAAGACGAAGCCTATCAATGGCTGTATTCAGCTACACAGAACAATGTGGCTATTGATGACACATTGGTCTTCAGGTTTCACTGTTTACATGCACCTTTGATACCCGGTGATAAAGTTTCCTGTTGCAATGAATAAACCAGTTGGTAGACTTTTCATATTATCCTACAGTGTCAGGCACACACCAGTTTGAAGACAGTAAATTGGTGCCTGCAGCCAGTAATGATCCTTACATGTGTCTGTACAGATTCTTCAAATTACTGTCATTCCCTTTATTCTGACAAGCTCCAGATAGGATACCCAGCCTGAAAAAGCCACATTATGCTTTAGAAGCAGCATCACTTAGCTTGATAACCTTATATAATATTCATTTCTAACATAATGTAAAGAATGTTATATAATAATGTCAATAATGCAAAGCAGGCTATTAATACTTGTTACTGCCACTAAGTTAAATCTTCCTTCTATGCAGTCTTGCTCAAGTTAAGAAACAAACAACATCTCGCAGAAGTAAAATAAGCTTTAATGAACGCCAAGCTTAACTCTTATTTCTTATAGAGGAAAAAATTGACTCTGAGCTATAAGGCAATTTAAAATCTCTTTAAACACTCCAACAGGGAAAACTAAACATGAGGAGAAATATTTCCTCATTTCTCTTCTTAAATATTTTATAACACAACTACAGCCCACAGTTTTTTTTTACCTCTAAAAGGCCATTTCTCTTTAGTCTGTTGCTGCCAGCTTTTACGGATATTGTGAATATGTTTCAGCAGCCATTAGAGCTGTTTACAACATTTGACGCAACCACCATCAAACACGAAAGCATGCCTCTCTTTCACCATCTCTGCAGCTTGATGTGACCTTATTTTAATGTGACTGAACAAAGATAATTGACCAGCCACGTCTCTCTCTAAAAGAACTCGGCTAAGACACTCGAATGTCTGAGAAGCTTCTTTAGTGCACTGCTGGAATCACACGTATTTATGAGATTGTTAACATCAACATTGCAGCCAGACTGTGAAGTAGAGAACCTTCTAGAAATGAGGTGCAATATTTTGCCTTCAGAACAGTTTGGTTTCATGGATGGAAAAATCTTTCCATCTGGCCGCTGATGGTCTAGTGGTCTAAGTGCCCCACATACAGAGACCATAGTCCTTGCTGCAGTGGCCACTGGTTCAGTTTCCAACCATGAACCATGGCTGCATGTCTCCCCCGACTCTCTACTCCCCACGTTCCTTGACACTCTTCAGCTGTCCTATCTGAAAAATGCAAAAGTGTTGAAAAGTATAACTTTGCAAAAACTATCCATCAGTCTGCTGGTAAAAAACTTGGTAGAATTCATAAATTTACAAAGACTTAGTTTGGATATTAATGATAGCCAGAGGATAGATTGAGGTAAGATTGGTGACTGTGGGTTTTTCCACTGACGGCAGCAACATGTTGAAATTTCTGGTTACGGATGAAATATCATGATGTCTCTCAGAAAGACACATAAAATTTGAAAGAGACATGTTTGCTCTTTTCAGAGAGAATTTCAATAATATAAAGTATCCTTTATCTCTCTACTCAGTGCCATGAAAGTATTTTCATTAGACTCAATCTAAGCTACATTCACCTAATGAGTGCTGACTTATGACTTATTTCAAGATTTACAAACCAAATAGAAACCTGAATTGCTTGTAATGAGTAAAAAAATCCACCAACAGGTTAAGATAAAAATGTATGTTAGAGTTCAAAGTTCCTTAAATTTAGACAGCCTTCTTATTTCAAGAAAATACAGTTTTCTTGCCTCATTGGCAGGTTTCTCATTATGAGCAATTCAGGTATATTTGTGGTGTGTTTTACCTTGGATTAAGATGTCTAGCTGGACCTTCCAGGTGAATACGGCTTGTAATCTTGGCTCTAAATAGACATTTTTATGAGGAATAAAACAACATCTGCCGAGTTTTGAGTTTCTGCAGTACACCCTCAGTGTATGTATTGAACATGCAAACAGCACTCACAGCTCAAAGCTCTAATGTGAACCTATAAACTCTACAACACATACCAATAAGTATATAACGTGTCAAAAAACCCTAAAGGATGACTCAATATTAGTATATTTAGTTCATACCTGCACTGCCCATATGTACATACCTTGCACTTTACTACCTTGCACTTCTGGTTAGATGCTAAACTGCATTTCGTTGTTCCTGTACTTGTACTGTGTTTAATGACAATAAAGTTGAATCTAATCTAATCCAATCTAATCAATGAAGCTTGAACTTACAGACGAATAAAACAGAAACATTTTTAAAACAATAAGGTCAATCTGATTGAAACTGAGAGGTGTTGCTGAAAATGTGGAAAGCACTTGTTTCTGCAGTTGCTAGCCGTTTCTACCTTGTCCAAGTCACCATGGGTTCAGGATAGCCGTCAACAGCACAGGTCAATATGGCAGGCTGCCCGACCTCTGCCGTGGCATTCACTTCTGACTGCCAGACTCTGATGGTAGGGAGCACTGACACATGAGAGATAAATAACTTAGTAAACAGAGAAATGATTTCATAGATAGACACCGCACACAGCCGCATAAATAGATAGTGGGAGGGAATCAGGCAGAAGCAGTGACAAATTCAGAACGCTTATTTTAGGCACACTCATTTTCCAGGCTCAGAAGTTGCAGAAAACAGACTTCATTAGCATGGAACATCTTTGATACACGGTTGCTCTGGGCAACTGTTTCCACTCTAGTGCTGAGCCTGGTCCCCTCTCAGGATCTACAGCTTATTAAGGCATCGTGGGACACCTGCCACACAAAAACATGCACTCAGGAACAAAAAAAGAAAAGGAAACAGTAGGAGGGAGAGGGGGCTGCTAACCATTCACAACGACCTTGATGACCCGCAGATCAATCTCGCCGCGAGCCATGAGGCGACCCTCACAGGTATACGAGCCCTCATCTGTCTTCTTTATGCCGCGGATCTGAAGGTGATTGTTGCTCAGTACTTTGAAGCGAACTAAAAGGAAGCAGATGATAAACATACTGTCAGGTGTGATATGTATTCTACAAGCTTAAATGAAGCAGAAGTCAGGCACTTAAAGTAAACAGCTGCTGTGTTGGTACTGAGACAAATGCATACCAATAGGAATGAAACTCTCTGTATACAGAAAACTATTACCCAAATTTGTAAACCATTGCAACTGTTCACTTTGATATACCTGGCCGACAACTTACAACATTTAAATTTAAGGGTTTGATTTAGTCAATGTTATCTTTGATCTGATACACAAACCTAATGTTGAATTTATGCAGTTTTTTCAGGCTCCATTAGTCAAGGGAATACGCAATATTGTGTTTTCCAGAGGGACACGTTTACATAAAAAAACAACTAAAGTAACATCTCTTTTTTGGATGAATATTAGATGCGTTTCTACTCCATCAAATTCATATCCGCGAACACTCCCCAACACTCATTCCACCTGCTCTCGAAAAGGAGAAATATGGTCAAAGCCCACAAGAACTCCCCCAGTTTGAGATGAAATGTGAACAGAATGAATTTAATCATGTAGTAATTTAAAAGACTATTACTACCCACACATGAGCCTGCGTTATTATTTTCTCAGCGAGCAATACCAGCACAACCATACACAATATGATATTGCTCAGAGTCAGGGGGTGAAGAGCAGAGATTCAATTGTATTTTCAAATTCAAAAGCAAATTAATTTTTTCCTTTCAAAGCTCAGGATAAACCCTGGAGGAGGGTGGCAACATAAACTGAGCATGAACACTTCCAAGCCTCTGGTCGACCTGGATGTCCAATTCAGTTTGTGCTCTGTGTTTTATGTCACATATTGTTGAGGTAAATGCCCAATGCAGTAACAATAAAGCTAAAAAAAGGATGAACTGTGTTGCTTTTGTTATGAGGGTCGATCATCAAATCTGGACCTCGATCAACACAATGCTTTTCCTTGGCTGTAAATCTTGGTCATTTCAAGGCCAATTTACATTTCAAATGCACAGTCATCAAAATGTATGACTGGTGATTTCTATACTCAAACCACAACTTTCAATTTTGAGAGGAACACAAAAAGAACAAAAGATTTAGCGATGACAGCTTTTTGATTATTCGATTCTTCTTCATGTGATGGACTAAAAATGGATTTTGTACCAACTGCTCTGCAAACTAGACCATGCAAGCTGAATATCAAACACGTTTAAAACAATTCATATGCATATAGTCAAGTTTTGTCACAACAACTCATGAATATTAAAAATCTGCAGAATTAAAACAGATGACAGGAGCTTAAAATTAAATCAAGCGAGATATGAGTCTTATCCTCATGCTGTTCAGAGAACTCCTACCGTCTTTTTCCATCTGTATTTTCGCTCCTTTGTACTTCCAGAGGACTGTTGGTGGAGGCGAACTGATGACGTCACAAACAATGTTGGCATTGTCACCTTCTGTAAACTCTTGGGGTGAAGGCGCGTTTGTGAAGGTGATTTTTTCTGGAGTAAAATGGAAAAAACACAGTGAACCAATTTGCATTTCAGCATGAGTTTGACCTGTTTTCAAATAATTCACCTTGAGTGATGAGAGGGAATAGGTTAGTATTCACTGCTAAGGATTTGAACATTCATTCATTATTTTTTGTAGTGCAAGGGTAACTTATTAAAATTTTAAGAGGTTCAGGGAAAGAAATAGTCTTCAAGCTAAGGCCCTGTACTTCCTAATGTCTGAATTTCCATGATTTAATGCCATTTATTTTTAAGCAGTTAGATCAATATATGTGGACTGTCAATAACTGAGTATTTAATCTGACAAAAAGTTTAAGAGAAGTTCATCAATACTTAATCTGCTCTCAGTAATAATGACAGTAATGTGGATTAATGTTATAATGTTTTTAAAATAAAATACAAAACAGAGCCCTCTTGAAGAAGCATATTTGTACATTTTCCGTGTTCTCAGTCTGGATTTGTGTTGAGAGGACTGTTTAAAAAATCTGTGTTTTAACTCAGAACAACTGCTGGACTGGTTGGGCGCTTTTAATATTTGTCCTATTATAAAAGACACGTACCAGTGTTGGAATCCATCTGTTTGTTCATAATACTAACCCATGTTGTAGCTGTGGACCTCTCTCATTTTTGGAGTCCACTATTTCATGACTCACTTCTCAGAGTTACCTTCTTCAACCAGCTTCTGCATGTGTGTGTCTCTGAACTGCTTGCTATGCTAACCCCAGTAAAAGATATGATTGGGTGAGCAGCATCACATGTGACGACTTACAGCAAGCACATTGGTCCGTGACTGTCTTGGTCAGCTCAGATTATTAATATGTAACTAACAGAAGAGCTGCACTTTATGAATTAGAGAACAATACGGCATGAAGAGGGATGCTGGTCAGAGTAAACACTCGAAAGAGAAGCTCATCAGAAAGTATCATCAGGTACAGCTCTGGATAGGATGGTCTGTAAAGTTACAGCTGCTATTTTCTTCGGATTGCATTTTATACCTCCATTCTGACACACAATCTCAAAGAGAGCTCTCCTGTGTCTAACTTCGGTCAAAGTGGCAAAAACCCAAACCTTTTTAATGCTGTTAATAAATATTGCCCCAAGTCAAATGCTTATCTTCAGAAACCTCAAAGTAACAAATCAAGCTGCACTCTGTTTTGTGATTGACACTGTTCAGTGGTTTTAATGTGCTATATTTACATGAATGACCACCTCCGATAGAAACCTAAAACAGGCGCTGAATTAACAGGAAAGTTCTGTTTGGAAAAGGATTTCATGTCTGATGGACATTTGCTGATGCTTGGCGTTCATGGAAAATAAAAGCCATTACTCACAAGAACTGCACAACAGACAGGATCATTAAGCAGCCCTCTAATGGTCTTCCGACCGTTTATTGAACTGATGAAAAATCCATCCTCACTTGAAAAGAAAAAGAGTAATGTGTTGCCCTTGAGCAGTCAATAAAATAGTGTGAGTTCAATAAACAGGATTTTTTCCTTCTGTGCTCATAGCGCTCAATAATGTGGAGTGTTTTGGGTGAGGAAAATACTTACGGAAGATTTTCACTTTGACTGTTGACTCCGCTTGCTGGTCTCCACTGGTAGCGACGCACTTATACGTCCCTGCGTTTTCAGTGCCAGCTTTATACAATGTGAGGGTGGAAGATGACTCATCGTTACGTGTTACTGTAACGTCTGGTCGGTTTGGGTCTATCCTCTCCCCGTTAGGTCCAAACCACTCTATTTGTCTAGGAGTACCTATAACTGAGAGCACAGTAAAACAAAGTATGTTACAAACAAGTTTTCTTTAATGTAAATATTCACCGCCAACGAGGCTCAAGGAAAATGACACAAAAACTCAGCACTCATCAACTAATTATGTTCTCTCTTTTGTTTTGAATGAATGAAGAGGGAAACAGAGGTCATTGAGATTCTTCAACAGCCATTGTCTGTCACTTGAATTAAGTGCGTAGCAGCGGTGAGAATAGCTGGTCTACAGCATCCAGGTTATCTGTATATTGCTTTAGAAACTCACTTCTTGTTTGAGACTATTGTGGTCACATCCTCATTAAGAAGATGCCTCTCGGCAGTTCATTTACCGATGGATCTTGTTAAGGGATTTCTCGTTGTCCTGATTTCAACTGGTGTGTGACTTCTACCTGCTTTTATGAAGTAGTACTTAAGCTGTTCTGATGGCCTGTTGCTGAAACACCTTCACTGGTCTTGCCTATAATAAACATGAGGACCACTTTATAAGTGAGAGTCAGACTGTAGGTTTATCTAAAATATACTGATGGAGTCCTAAAACAGACTGATGCTGAGTTTGATTTAGAAGATGTCTCAGTGGGAAATATTGGCAAATGAAGTACCTAAAGTAGTAGTTAGCATCATTTTTTCATTTACACTTGATCTGGAAACCAGTTATCCACAATAGTATCTCCTTAAGGAGCACTTACAGCGCAAAAACACAACTGGATATTTTTCTTCAGAAGATCCACTTTGTCAAAATTTGATGTTTTTTTTCCTTTTATTGTGACTAAACTAGACTCTCATTTTTGATATAAGGAATATAAAATGAGAGGTAAAATTCAGTAAAATATTGGCACAGTCAGAACAGTTTGGAAAACTCACCTTCACACATGAAGAATTTAGACTCTCCAAGACTAATTTCCCCCTGAGTTGGTGTGATCTGCACCTCCAGGGAAACTAGGACACAGAGAAAAAAACATACAATGAAAAATGAGTAACATGAACAAATACTCAATGTAGCACTGCCTAAAATGCAGGTATGTTTACAACAGTTTCAGCATTCAAAGACTGATATTATACCTAGACTAAGGTGGACAGATTTCTGTAATGAAATCCGGGGACATCCGGAGTGAGCATGGGCTGCGTGATCACAGACAACATCTTGGTACTACTAAGTAGCAGCGCACGCCCCCGTAATAGCCCTCCGTAAAAACTTACTTGTGCTTCCTACCTACTCGGCCACCATAGTAACTGTTGTTCTAGTCTACACGCAACATTTTTGTTCTCATTCATTAAACGCTTAAATCGGGGATATTTCCAGGGACAGGTCATCAAATACAGTGACTGTCCCTGGAAATCAGAGACGTCTGGTCACCTTAATTTAGACTGAAAGCCATGAGAAACTTGAACACATATGTACCACAGTGGTCAAAATGATAACAATAACAGCTTGTCATTTTGTAAATAAGGCCCAGTTTTCCTTATTGTTCTGGTAGGAGGTGTCATCTAAATCTTTGCACATATGTAAACACTAAAAGGACAGTGTGTTTATGAAATCTGTTAAAACTAATAAACCTGCACGTCTTCACTTGGACAATGCAAGTGTCTGCTCTGGCAGCCAAAAATACTTGACATTTTCTTTCCTCTTTTGCCTGCAGTCTTCCTGCACTTTCAAAAGAAATAACATCCAGTCAGCACTGCAATTATTCACATTAACATTCAGCAGTTGGAAAGGACCAGAGCTAGACTGCCAATGTACCCGAGAGGAACTGTATTTTAAGTTTGCTTCAAAACTTATGAGATTGTTCTGTCTGCACAGAAAGATAAATGCAGAGCCTGTCATTGCGCTCCATCAAAGACAGGCAGAAAAGGACATCGTTTTTGTTATTCTACACAGATGGAGGTATAGCCTTAAACGTTTCAGTGCTTAATTAGAACAAAGCTTCACTTGTTTCCTCCAGAGTCTCCCAAGGGGACAGTCAAGGGTTCCTGTGGTTGACTAAGAAGTGTGACTAAAAAGGCTCCAAATCCAATTCTATGTTATGCATGAGCAAGATCACGTGCATGTGTATACTACCGTCGGTGTGCAAACAAATGCACACACACACACACACACGGACACACATGCACACGCACTCTCTCTCTCTCATTTTCTTTCCCACACACGCAAACACCCTGGAGGTCTAGACAAGAGTGGGCACATGGCGTTGTGAAGGGACATAAGGAAAGTGAAGATAGGCCAAAAGAGAGCAGGAAGACAGATTTTTGGGCTGTCTAACATGAGGTGAATCTAATCTGAACTGATATATTTAATCACATTTGTTGCCTTAGAAGTGACATTTCTTCACATGACAATTAAAAAAACAACACAATATTTGAATATTCTGTCTTTTACATTTGTGTAATTTATGATTAAAGAAGCCCACCCTGTTAGTCGAATCAGGCGTGCTCTTTTATGCCCAATCAAGCATAATTCCTAACCCCACTGTAAGCAAAACATGAGTATATAAACAAATTCATCCTGCTGAATATGATATTTGATGTAGACACTTCATCATTATTTGCCCTGGGCTGCAAAATATCCTGCTCTGCTGCACGGCTGATGGAGTCTTCCTCAAAGAACTGCAGTACTTTTTTTTCGTCATCTGCTTCATTTTCAACACCACATTTAGCACATTTGGTCAACTCAACGTTTGACCGTCATCACCTAAACTTGCCAAACTAAAGATTGCTGGCCATATTATCGTTTCTGTGGGTGAATAATTACTGCTGTATGTTACCCACAGCTGTCAGGGGCTGCATGTCAGGTATGTATTACGACTCCTGCGGTTGAATCAAGCCTCACATGTATTCTTAGTATAAAACAAAGACCAGGTAATTAAAGTGACATGTAACCACTTGATAGGAGCAATGTGTATCTTGCACAAGCATGACCTGCAAGAATACCATGTACTGGTGGTGCTAGCTATGTGCTAAGTAACTCTGTGATCTTGTGTTTAGCTGTGTTGTATGACTTTGTTCTGTTTTGATTATTTTCTGAGCTTTCCTTTTACCTTGAAACCAGTTGGTTAATCTGTTGCTTGCTTAATTAGTTTCTGTTTAACTACTTGGAAATTAGTCACTTCAGTCCCTTCATCCTTTTATCCAATAAATGTCTAAGTCCTTGAAAAATAAGTCTAGTTAGCTCTGATTTGAAAAGCCCCAAATGTTTTCCAAATAATAAAATAAAGTAAGAATGAGGAAAATGATCTCACAGACTATCAGATCGGCAGTGTGAGGTTGAAATCATGTGAATGATGATCACTGTAATTTGTGCTGCCTCTGCTGCCACAGTATCCTCATCATAGTCAGCTAATAGTGATATAGACCAAAATGTCCTATCGCCAATTGCATTATATGAAAGTCATTCAGCTGTTAGACACTTTTTTAAAATTTGTTAATTTTTTTTTCTGCAGGGTTTGATGTACAGAGTGAAAGAATATAAAAACCAGACATCAGAGCTCTTGTCATTTTATTTTCAGACAAACTACAGACTGGAATGATGTCATGCTAATTTTATGGGTAAGGATTTGGTTTTAATTGGACTGAGGAAATAACTAGGGTTGGTAGTCATTTAGTCTAACAAACAGGCAGCTCATTTGCAGAAGAGGCACGATGATGATGATTATTCAAAAAGCGAAGCGTATTTGTACAGCCCATTATCACATTCAATGTCTGACAGAGTCTTTAGCCAGGACTATCCAAACCAACCAGGAAAAATCCTCTAAAAATGTCAAGGCATATAGAGATGACTGAAACCAAAATAGAAAGCGATAACAGAAACACAGAAACTGAGAGATGTATGCAATAGAAGGAGACTCCCAGTAGAGGGGTTAAAATAAGGTCGACGAAATAATCCCCATTAGATAAGTCCTTAAACAGACCCTGTGTCAGTATTTTACATTTTTAGTCCCAGTGGGACACATAGGTGGAGTGGCAATAAGAGACGGGGGGGGGGGGGGGGCAAACACAGGGCAAATGATGAGTCAGTACATAGTAGCACAAAACGAAAATAGCTTGGTTCTCCGGTGCATTTTATGTGGTCCTGGAGCGTTAAAGTGTAAGCTCATTTTATTAAGACACTTATTCCCTTTGACATTTTTGCTGCGATGATCCACACACACATCCAGACACCAATGAAACATGACTGGGTGGATCAGGATTTACTGTAGCCCCTGTAATTTTATAAAAATGCTAACCTCGTAAAATCCATCAGGAATATATCTAATGCTTACCCCAGCTTTAAGTCTGAGAGGTAAGTTAGAAGCAATATTAGGCAAATTTTATGTTGAATATGCTGCAAACACACAGCTGTTTATTAGGTGCACCAAACTGAAGAAGACAGTCTAAAGCACTCCTGCAATGATAACTGTTCACCAACCCCTTTGTATCTAGGAGGCCAGACTAAACATTACAAAACCTCTCAGTATCATCTAACACTACTGTAGACAAGTACGCTGTAGTTTTGACTGGCTGTTACCATAAACATGCACCAGTATGTTCCACATGAGAGGAACTAAAAATGGAAGTGAGAAATTATAAATGAATAACTGATTAAAACCTGACATAAAAGCACAAAGGAGTGCTCTTAAGACATCAAAAACTTTACAGATCCACTGTGTGCATTAAATTCATATCAAAGAGTCAATAAACAAGATTGTTAAAGCTGTCAGAATTCTTCAAAACAAAACTTTTTTCTAGATTAAATTGAACAATTCAAAACAGTTCTTCCAAGAAAGCTGCTGTTTAAAGTGACAGAGATTCCCTTCGGGGAATTTCTGTCACCTGAGCCTCATCTTCTACTTCTACTTCTCTCTCACAAGTGCCTTTCTCTTTATTGTGTGAAATATTAACATACAAAAAACCCACACACCTATGCAGTCCAGGAGTTTGCTGTTTCTGGTCTGCAGCACAAACACTAATTAGTCCCTTGCAGATCGAAGGCAGGATCAAGGATCCTCATTCTAAACAGTCACACACAAGACAGAGTAATTGCTCTGCAGCCAACAACAGCTCACTTTTTATACATTAAAAAGGCTAACCAGCTCCTGAAGCTCAAGTTCCATTAAAAGGGCAGAAACTCTCGAAAAGCAGGCGGTGGCCAAATTGCAAGAAGCAACTAAATGTCCTAGAAATTTAATCTGCATGTGAATCCCTGGTGACAAATCCGTTTTAAACCCGAGTAAGACTGAGACAGCGAGGGGATCTCAACATCATAGGCTTTGAAAGATAGCACTAAGGAAACATAGAGAAGTACTGTGTATTAAGTGGAGAGTACTCAATACAGTATTTTTTGGCTTTATTCATTCATAAGATGTTGCTTTTAATGCAAGTTGTGCATTTTTGCCTGTAGCTCAAATTTTTTTAATAGATTTTTAATATTTCAGATTTTGGTGGTTCCAAGCAATGACAATGAAATATACTACTTTAACTCCAAAACTTTGCTGGTGCTTTCATTATCCATTCTTGTAACTGGGTCAAGAGCATGCAGAATTGATTTTATTCCCATTAATCGAAGTCTTAGATTGTTGGAAGTGCTGATAAACACATTTACACAAACTAAGCAAAGATGGTGAGCTCAATCTGGCACAAAGCTGCTAAACATTAGCGTGCCCTTGTGGGAATGATATAAGAAGGCTCATGTTTCCTTTACATTCAACACATTTACACTAGAGCAGAAAAGTATAACCTACAGCTGCAAGCATGGCTGCAGACTCTTAATCTAAATGAGCGAATGGTTTCCCATTAGTCAGTATTAAGGAGGCGTCACTACCTGTTGAGCAAGAATTAGATCATTCTGCCCGAGTGTCTTTATTAATATTACCCAATTGCTGAAATCTATTATTATTTCTTGCACCCACCGGTTCTTTAAAAAAATGCATACAACAAGTAGAAACAGGTTGATTTTAAATAGTACCTGTTTTAACATTTAATACAAAGTTGAATCTTAAATTATAAATCAAGAATCAGGAAGATAAGGGGAACCTGATTCTGTTATATCAAGCAACTTGTCAAGACTTGTGCATTTCCTCTCTATGTGCTTCATAAGACTGCAGCATTGAGTAAAAAAATATATCCAACCTCAGGCAAAATTAGCCTCAATTGGCAAGCTGCAATGTATGGAATGAAACCAGGTCTCCATACGACAGCTAAAACATATTTTCCATCAGCAAACTGACCACGAACATTAAAAACAGGAATTATGTCTTAACCTATGTGACTCCAGAGCAGATTTCACATCAATAACTTTTTCCACAAGGCTTATGGGGATAAATATATAGAAACCAGAAAGGACAATTATATTTAATAACCTCTGCTTTGAGGCATATCAAAAGAGTATGTTTGAAACCCTGACTTTTGCTGCCAAGAAACGGATAGAGAATGCTAGCCTGTCCCTAAATCTGAGCAGCAAATTAAGTCTTATTTACAGTCGCGCCATGTGTTCGGCTTGACAGATGAAATACGAGCGGAGCAGGATGGTCTACCTCAATTTTATTGCCATACCGAGAGAAATACCAGGAAAACACTGGCAATAAATCTAACTGTGGGTCTACAGACAGGAAAGCACAAGGTGGATATGAATGCAGCACAGGAACTGTGGCTCTGACATTAGCAGTTCATCTGTGACGTAGTATTATCTGTAGCTGTGGGCAATGTCATATTTGGAAGCAGGCTGATAGTGACGATAGGAGACAGCTTGTGGTGTTAATAAATGATGTCTCTGTAGGTCATCAATAAACCTTTGCTGTTTGCAGTCTTAGAGAAATCTCATTAAATTTACACCAGCATAGAGTAAAAATACTATTAATTAATAACAGCTTATCCTCTGTTTTAACATAGATTTTTCTGCCACTAAATGAAGATAACAGTGCGCTGTGGCAAAAAGATAAATATTTTATGACATGTGCTTTTAACTGCAGCTCAGAACCAGAACTGATGCACCTTCCAAACTCAAATGACTCTAGTATTTAAGGATCATCATTATGGTTTCTACAGGGGCACTGTACCACTAAATATCACTGAATTCTCTTGCACATGCATGGCGGTTAAGGTCTGTGTAGTGATGGTGATGAAAGAGGACTATTTCCTCAATGAAAGTGATGAACATGTATGTCCCAGGGCTCTGGTAATCAGCAGTTGCAGTTGGAGATCCTTAAATAGCCTAATGCAGCCCCAACCCCGCTTCAGTTATATCTTGAGTTTGTATTCCCCCAAAGGTATACGCTGACTTTTCCGCGGTTGTGTCGAAAGCAACTGATAAGATGTGGAGAGCAAGGGCACCATATAGATGAGAGTTTTAGCCGAGCTTTCCTCTGGCCTCTGTGGTTATCTTAGAACAACACCTCCGGTGCTATAGTCCGTGCTATTGGATGTTTTAGTAAGCCTCAACCCAGGCCGTGACACGCTTCGCTTGCCGTGCAGGATTATGTTCATTATCTATTCTGTCAGCGTGAAATACTCTCTCACACACAGCCACAACTTAAAGCCTGCTAAATTAGCAGTCACAGTTTTAAACCTTTCCTTAACTATCTGTAATCTAAAGTAAACAAAAGGATCTAATCTGTCCTTCAAACAAAGGGTAAACAAGAGCTGCATTAGATCCTGATACCATGATAAAACAATACTTTTACAGAACATTTGTTCAAATTTTCTTAATCTTTTTTTTTGTAATTGGCAGGATAGACCTTTGATATCTTTGCACTTTATTTATACCAATACATAGTAGGTTTTAAACACATGCTTTTATCTTACTGTCTTTGGAGCTCTCACTTTGAAATATTGTGTGCCAAAATGAATTAAGGCCAGGACACACTCGCGCGCACTCACACACACAACAACATGAACTCATTTGCCCCTCTTTCAAGTCAAACAGCCTTTAACTGATAGCGTGCGAACCGCAAGAGAGAAAATCATTTTACAGTTCAAATGTCTGCAGAAATGAAGTGTCTCTGCATCAGTAAAGCTGCCACTGTGCTTTTAATGTATTGCAAGAGACTGACTCACAATTTCCAACAATATACTGTGGCAGGATGCTATGTGTCCCTCACGCTGGAGCAGAGAGGGGCTGCCAATAACTCACCCACTAAGACCAATTTATTGTGTAGGTTCATCATAACAAACGCAGTGAAGCGCATTTGTCAGCGGGGCAGGCTCACTTAAAGCATGTATAACACTTGTGCGCAAATAACTGCAGTCGAACATTATAAATCACTCAACATTAAAAAAAATCTACTGTGAAGTATATGTGTATGTATAATCCAGGTGTTTGGTACATTATTTCTGATTAGACATGGGCTGTAAATGGATGAGAAAACATTGTATTTTGCACAAACACATCCATAAGGTTTCTGTCTGATAGGAACGGTGCATTCTCAGTGAGGTTGTATTCAGGACCCACTACTTTTAAAGGAACAAGTGAGTATTTGCTTGCTGCTCATGCCTCTCAACCACAGTTATACCCACTTCTACCAGTTGCTATGGAAACATGTTTCCCAACTCTCCTCTCCCCATATTTGACATCACTACGCTCTCACTCTCTCTCTCTCTCTTCCTCTGTCTCTCGCTGGTGTCTGATTGGATGCAGCAGTGCAGCCTCTGAGGAGTGACTATTTACATTGAAGAGGTTGTCAAAACAAAGTGCACAACTTCAGCTGATGATCACAGTGATTGCCGTCAGTGACTGGAGCCATAACGCTCCAACATCTGCACAAGTTACCTCGTGTTATACAAGCATAAAGAGTTATAAGTTTAGCCCTATATACAAAACAATATTATTCATCATGTGATGACTAAAGTTCAAACTTGAACAATTCATTTCTCAGCTGGTGCTTGGCTCTCTATCATAGCCCCCAGCTAAAGCAACTATATTTGCCAGGTTCCTTTGACAACATTTCATTTGTGCTTTTCCTTTTTAAACATGACACGACTGCACAACAGATGGCTGGATGCTCACAGTAAATCTCTGTGCATTAGGTTTCAAAGAAATGGGTGTGTGCCAACTCCAAATGAACCACCTGTAAATAGAAACTGCTTGGTTCTAAAATATATCTATTTCAAGGCTTTCAGTCCAAATTACCCGTGTAAACCTTAATCTGAATCCCAAATCGTCTTTTCCATGGCATCATCTACAGCATTTAAATGTGTTTATATGGCAATTGAAATGTATTTAAACCATTTTGTGCAAGTGAAAAATGATTAATTTATTCTAAAAATAAGAGTATTAAGAGCTATATTAATATTTTTTCTGAAAAAATAGTTAGCAGATAGCAGGATCATGTTTCATGGCCACGGAAAGTAACATGTTAAAAAACAAGGACATAAAATATCACTTCAACACTGACGTAATGGTCATATTTATGAGTTATATAATAGGGCAGCACACATTAGAATAAGAGGCCGAGGCAGCAGAAGCTGAGCTGCCACTGTGGAGATGATTCAGACTGCTATCTGTTGTTGAAGGGTGGCTGTTTGAAAGGTGTTTGGCCGCGATACTGAAGTATCATAAAATACGCCATATTTTATGCCTGTATCAACTTTATCGTTTTGTCATAAGCCAAAAGGATCCTTTCTGGCCCTTGTGCTGTAGCTTTATGTGTATTACTTCAAGACAATTGCCAACAAAGTATTCTTTATGAATATAAAATCATCAAAAACATTCATCAAACATTCTCGTTAAAGTTTATTTTAAATCTTTCTAAACACATTCTGGACCATCTTGACATTGAGAACTATAACATTTAAGGATGTTTGTCTTACATGGATTTTTGGCAATATCCAACATGCTGATCTTGTCTGACTCATTTTGGTCGATACCAATATTGATACAGATACCATTACATATACCAATAACAGCCAAAGTACATCATTAGGCTGGGAGGCCTGCATATCCCACCACGCTGAAATTGATTGGTAGCATTAAAGGAGTGTTGTTTGGCTTTCCTCCTCATTACAGATGCAACAGTAAAACCCGACCCTCATCCTCAGGCTTCACAAGCATTCAAAATGGCCATATCCCCGTCTATTTAACACACTTTTATGTGTGCATAATTAATGTCACCTTATCAGCAATAATTATTGTTAGTCATAATCAAATCAGTGAACACATATAATTAACTTAAGCTAAATCTGCTGATAATGATATGGTGGTGGTAATACCATGCATCCCTTAATACATTAAAGGGGCTCATAAATTAAAGGCTGTTAATTCGAGTTAACGACATCAAAAGTTGATTTTACACAGTTCAAATACCACACGTTTCCAAGGTCATAAAATGTGCTTTGTTCTGAGTGGACTTTGGTTAAAATAAGGGGGTTCTGTCCGATGGGACAGTTAATCTACAGAACTTTAATTGCAGTTACTTTTTCAGTCTCAAATGAAATTAAACCGATCATCAGGCTATTTTTGCCATCAAGATACTGTTAATTATTCTCTCCAACAAAACAACTGATTTATCAGTTGGACATCATTTCACCAAATTAGTATTTCTTCAAAGCAGAATACGGCTAACACGAGAATTCTTTTACTTATGCATCCATTACTCATCAGTACATAAAACATGACCATTTCAGTATAATTTAAGTTTCCTTAACAATAGTGGCCACTTAACCATAAAATGTTTTCACACTCATGGTGGTATGGTAGATATGTATTGGTTGAGTCTGTTGAACTACAAAATGTTATTCACTCACTAAATTCAGTGGAGGGAAGATGTCTTTTCAGTCGGTGCAGTTTCGCATGAATGCTTCATTCTCCCAGACTTGGCACTTTGACTGCATTTCTACTGACGACTGAAAAATATGATGAATATAAAAACAAACATACAATTTGAGGCTGTGGTAAATTTATTTGGTTATATCCGAGAGATACGGCCTATGTATCTGAAAACTGCCGCAGAGCCACAGTAACTCAAAGTGAAGCCAAAATATGAGGTGGAGTGGATCTGGTCGAACGGCTATATGCCTGTCTGAGCTACATTCCTCTCCCTCTCTTTGCTGAAGATAAGCTGTGACTCAATGAGCTACGGTGCACTCCACTTCAGTGGCCAACAAAATTCGCCCTCATTCAGGCAATTTAGTGTGAGTGCCCCTCAGCATCTGCCTCAGCTGTGCACCACACAACAAAAGCCCAGAGAGGTGGGGGAGCTGAGCGTCTGTGGCCCACCATGCCATGCTGTGTGCTCCTGTAATGAGTCAGTATTTAGAAGGCTGAAAACAAGGCCAGAGGAAAATACAGACATTGTGAGCAACGTGCAAGGACGCTTAAATATAGGGGACAGAAAGCTTCTGCAAATTCACAGGAAAGAGATTATTAATGACTCGAATTACGACAAACAGTAGCTGAGGCTGTGGAATTCCAGGATAAACATGTTTTGTCATCTCTGTGAAATAATAATTTGGCCAAAAAAATCCCAGTTTGATTTCGATCCAGCTTGAGACTCCAGTGGAGCTACAACCTGTGCGAGGACTGAGAGAGCAGTCTGTCACCACTGTGTCTAAAAAAGACATGCATAATCAGTGAAATGGAAAGCTTCTTGGAATCTGAATTCTGGGGACTGTGCTAACCCCTTTTTTTTTTAAATTTTGGCTTGAATCCTGCCTGTAAACTACATGCAACAATAGGAAGACTGTGTGGCATGAACAATGCCTGAAATGGTAACATTTCTGCAAACACAATGATTCACCACAGACTGCCGCAAAATGACACTCTTCTTTCAGATTAATCATAACAGTGGTTCTCCAGTGGCTTCCCTGTTAGCGCTGGTCACGACACATGCCCGTGAAAAACCCACAAAGCAACAGCCTTCCTGTTACAAGTGAGAAGGCTACTTAGGTTCGGAGGAATATAATAAGCCGCTGCTGTGCTAACTGGGCAGAATTTCATGCATCTCTAATAATTACTGTAGCAACAAAGGAAGAAAAATGGGGGATGGGGTAGGCGGGAGGGCAGGAGGGAGGGAGCCACAATGACCACTCAGCCACAAGCTGCCCGGGACTACGCAGAACCCCGAACCCTGGCACACACACACAGCTCTCTCTGTGTGTCCATTCACAAAGCAGACAAGCTGGGAAGAGCCGGATAAGCCTGCCTGTGACTCCAGCAGGAAGAGGATCAATAAGAGGGAATGCACCATTTCAGATACAGCCAGACAGAGCCAGGGGCAGGGCGGAGAGGCAGAGCAGCACTTGAGTACTCATTATGGTGTGTAGGATGACACAGCGTGTGCGCAGCCACTTCTGGAGTCATGTATGAATGGAGGAAGGCGTTGCATACCCATTAGAGATTAGAGCAGATCATACGGTAATTGGATTAAACCACTAATGGAGACAAAAACTGGCATGTGCGTGTCTGCGTCAAGGTTATAGAGCTGGGAGAGATATTAGTGTGAGGGACTGATAACAGGTGGAGAAAGTAAGTCCCCAGAAGCCCAAACCTTTCCTATTGACCAGAGAAATGTTGAGCAATGTTCGCCTTGGCTATCTCCTTTTCCTCGCTCGCTGGCATGGAAACAGTTGGCTACAGTTGAGCATTTTGGACATCATCCACCAACAGTCAATCACAAACCGATGTCCCGCCTCCCATACTAACAGAGTCTGAAAATTAACACCTGCCAAGAATCAAATGCCAGTAAAATGTGTCTTTGCCAGTAAATAAACAAGGGTCACCCACTACAGTGGCCAACATGATGACGCCTCAGCTGGTGGTTTCCTGTCCACAGATGACATCCCCGCTGACCGCCAAACACCTTCTCTAACCATAAGCCAGTCGACTCAAAGCAAAACAGTGGCTGTGCATCAAACAGCACTTGTGATTGCAGCCTCTTATGTTGGCTCTCGTAGAAACCGCAACACTGTCATTTCCCATTTGACTGCATGGTTTACCAGCTTAACACTGGTTTATAAATAACCACACACAAACTCTCACAAGCAGAATTATAAAAGCAGAGAGGAGACACCAGGACAAAGAAAAGATCTGAGAGACTAAGTTTAAAATCAAAGCTTCTATCTGCTCATCTTTATACTGAATTTTTCACTATGTTCCTGATGTGATACAGAACATGAAACAGCTCTAAAAATAAAAATATGTGAAGGTTGGTGCAGCAGCCCAGGCGGCTTAGATGGTTCATAAAAAAATAGAAACGGCAGCACTGTTACCTGAAGCCTAGGAAGTGCTGAAATCCACAGCTTCTTAAGCATGACCAATGAATTAAAAACAAGAGCTTTAAGAGGGCCAAATGATGGTGAGCATTTCAACATATTTCTCTGCTCATTAGGACTGCTGTTTGAAAAAGGCCTCTGAAAGCTCCTCATGTTTTGTATGCGTTGAATCTAAAGTTAATTTGCGGGTTAGTGAAGCGTACAACAGCCTTAGCTGAGTATTGACTACTTCCAATCAATTGTAATTCCAAAACCCCAAACAACAACCAAATCATTGTGCTAATGGGCAGCTTCCTGCAAGAAGAAAAAAAAAAAAGAAAACCCTTCTAATTTCACCTCACAGACTGAGGAGGTTGCTGCCTTTTTGCAGTGTGAATCTTTATGCAAAGGATCTCTTGCTATCTAACAACCAGACAACTGCCATCATCAAATGCCTTCAGTTCAATTCATCTTTCTAATGTGTACGTGCGGTGCATCTCCCTGCTGGAAAATCAGCCCCTTGCCAACCATATCAGAAAAAAAACCTTTGATCGTAACACAAGAGTCGTCTATGCCTCACTAAGAAGCTTATTTGTTTTATCCTATTTCAAATTAGTTATACTTTATAAGCCCCCATGGGAAGATTTGTCCTTTATATGTTACCCATCCTTACTATTTGGGAGCCCTGGGTATCCACACTACAGCGCCTGGGGATCCAGCACCTCATCCAGCAGGCAATAGTGGGAGAGTCCTGATAAGTAATGTGCATTTCTGATGGGGTTTTAAAGCAGAACATCCAGAAAATGTGCATGAAAACTCTGGGACAACATGGTAGCTTCACTCACTAAAGCTGTGCAAAACCCACCAAACACAGAGAAAATCAAATTTTAAGACTGGTATCTTTTGAAATATCTCAGATTGAAATTGTGTGGTCATCGTATATATTAACACTTGAACAGCAACTTCAAACGGTTGTGTTCAGGGTCATGCTCTGAAATCTGATATTGGACTCTTTTTGATTCAAGTTTTCAAAGGAAAGGCTAGATTTTCCCCCCTGATAGTTGAGAAATGCTTTTTTTGCTTTCCTGGAGAGGGTGGGCTGAGTGCCGAGTAGTTGCATGTTTGTATTGTCCAAGGCCATCTCCCAATGCCCCTCATTAATCCGTGCCACAGCTAATTGTCCTAAGCCATAACAGCAGGGGATTTGCATCTAGAAGCAACAGCTCTCCAACAACTCCAGCAGTAGTTATGGCTGTTAAAGGGATGCTTCTCACTGGCTACATGTAGATGATATACACTTTTCAGAGTTTAACTGAAGAACTCTCACCGATCAGAATCACCCAATACCTCATTAGTTTGCAGGAAACAAAAGACTGGATTTCACAAAACTGCCTGACTTTGAATAAGCTAAAACCTCGAGTTCTCTTGGGCCCTAAAACTGCCTGCCATGATTTTTGATTCTAGGTTTAAACAGGAAAACACACATATAAATATATATTTTTTTCTTTTTGCTGCGAGCCTTAGCCAGAGTGAAACCCTTTCTACCACTCTAGGAGTCCTTGCTTTTATTCTGGCCTGTCTGGATTTATGTAGCTTCCTGTACATCAGAGTCTGTCAGCCTTTACTTTCATGTCTGCAGTTTGAGCAGAACCATGCTTCGAGATTGTTAACTGGTACGTACTGTGAGTGAATATCCTACACACCAACTCCCCTCAAACGGCTCAGTGTCCATGTTACAGTTCATTTTAAAAGGTTAAACAATCACACATCCTCTCTCTCTTGAACTGTCAGACTGTCTCTTAAATTCAGCAAACAGTACATTAAAGGTGACTCCCCGCCTTTACCCCCACACACATTTGATCAGCCACCTAGACTCATTCACTCAAAGCAGCTCAAAGCACTGCTCTGGTGACTCGAGATAAGGCAAAAAATGAAAACAAGTAGAAAAAAGAACCACATTTGACGCAGTTAAACTTAACCATACCATAAATTAAGGATGTATCAATATCAAAATCTCAGGATGCTGTAAAAAAAAAAACAAGGATCAGTATCAGATTTCAATCATTATATTCTAAAAAAAAAGGGAAAAAAATAATGTCTTGGAGAAAATTTTGAGTTTCTTGTGAAGTTCTCCCATCTGTGTCAGATGAGATGCACTTCTTGCTTAAGGCTCCGTGTAACTTTGCCCTTTGTCTCTCTCTGGATCTAGAGCTGGGTGTGAATCTGATTTCAATTTCTTTTACAATTATGGCTCCCCACGATCATGAAAACAAGATAATCGAGACTGAACGATTACTGTGCAGCCTGCTGTGCTGCGCTTGTTTTGTCCCATGCGATGAATGGAGCCCACTTTCCTTCCCTTGATTTACAGCAGAGCATGTGCTCTGCCCCTCCCTTCAAACAGCATTTCACCTCATTACAAGCTCAAATCAATGTGAAAACGAAGTTTGGGAGCAGGAGGAAGTGGAGATGCTGCTGGAGTTAATCGTCTACCACAGTATTTTCAACATGCGCTGCAGCCACAGGTGTAAAAGGGAGTGCAGGTAGAGGAGAAGGACGAGTCAGGTGTGTGTTTCCAAGAGTCTGAAAGCCAGGAGACAGAGTAAGTGATGAAAAAGGCCATAGCCTTCACCAGCATACACAAGTGTTGATGAGCTAACAATTTCAGGCATTGGTGCGTAACATATTGGCACGTAAGCTAAAATCTTTGTGTAATAAGTTGAATGATAGATCTGCAGCCTGTGATCTGATCTATTCTGGCCCAGATCCTTTCTATTACTTGCCAAAACCTTTTCTTTTTCCTGGCAAAACATTTGAACACATTATAATGATGTTTGGTTTATTTTGCCAAACGCTGATTTCAATGACCTGTCATAATGCAACCAAATGTCATCTCATTTAGTTCACTAACTAGCTTTTCCTGTCCCAACTCTAATATGAATGCCAACAATTAAGCACTGTTTTTAACAACCATGACGTGCAAAAAAAAAGTTTGGGGGTGGTTATCAAAACTGCTTTGACTAGAGGAAGTATGTTTACCACAGCAGTAGGAGGAGCAGAGGCAACTCAGAGATGACTGACTCTTCTCATCCTGAAGAGAGTCAAAAGTATTCTCATCTGTGTTGCCTTCACATACTCATAGTGAAAAGCAAATATATCTGCTCGTTAATCAACATGACTCAATGCTGATAAACTGTAAGTACAACTCCATCAGTCTCAATCAAATATCACTCTCTATCTCACTCCTGCAGATCTTCAAACACATAATGCAAATGTGTTAGTTATCTTTTTTCTTGCACTGATTTTCTTTGTAGTGTTTCTCAACATACATTCTTGTACCTAATCTGGGGAAAAATATATATTTCACCAGAGTGAGAAAAAAGAAACTGTGATTCACACACTTGTTTACATGAAGCCAGAGTTTATGAGAACACTTTTGATGGTAGTGTTTTGATTTTTTTTACAGCAGGTTTTCTGTGATGAAGAATAGAAGAGCTGTGTGTTGTTTTGGTGGAAGGGATTTGTTTAGAGGCTAAGGTGGTTTTGAGGGCTGTTTCATTCAACAAGAGATTAGAGGAGTTTTGACAAGGCGGTTAACTGTTTCCAATTTGTGTTCAGAATCCTAAGAAGCTGGGCCGAAGTTTCTGAAAATGTGTTTGAACATTTGGGAACAACTGTAAAAGCCTCTGGAGAATCCACGGTTTCAAAATTGTGTTTAACTTCCTTGTCACTAACACAGTTGAGTGCTAGTTTCACTGTACTACATTTGAGACAGGAAGCATAGCAGAAAGAAGGATTCTCACACATGGGTGATGATGCTCTCTATAGTTATGATTTTGCTGTATTGTGATCCGCTGCAGCTGAGACAAAACTACCTTGACTGTAGGGCTGGGCGGTACGGCCTCAAATCAATATCACGATATATTGAGCAGTTCACCTCGATAACGATAAATGGGCGATAACTACTTCGCAAGCTGCTCACCCCCTCCCACATTAGTCTACTTCAGCCGCTACAACTTATAGATCATCCTCCATCTCTTCACCTGTCTTTCCCTCTTTGTTATGGACTGGATGGGGTGGAGTTATGACTCCAACGTAGGACAGCGTCTTAAAAGGGACATGAGACCATAGCCTACCTACACATATCCAAAACCAACTTTTATTTATCTATGTTTGTGACCCTGAATATATTGATATGGGCAAAATGACATTGGTTATTGTCGTAAATTTCAATATTGGTAAATTTTCGGTTTATCGCCCAGCCCTACCTGATTGCCTGAAAGACCTATTGCTTTATTCCATCACAGGTCCACAATGATATCGAGACACTATTGGTCTTGGGATATTGTGATGTTGACAGTATTGTTACATTCCTACCATATATGCATTTTCAAAAAGGTAGTGATTCTTGATATGTGTCACTCTGTCCATGGGCCATGACTCACACAAACACAGCCTTATTCATGTACCAATGGACATGAATGAGTTTAAAAGAATGTTGGACTGTGGAAGCCGACTGGGGAGCCGCACCGGTTTAAGCAAAGGGATAGTTTGGATAATTCGTGTCCATTCAACCTTGATAATTATGCTATTTTTGCTATTTTGTGCTAATTCTCCGTGAGCCAAGTCTGTTAACAGAAATGTTATGACTCAAACATTTAGCACTTCTGGTGAGACAACAAATTTATCCAGACAAGCAATGACTCATGAACAACCTGTTACTACACCTGCTAAGCAAATCTGTTCATGTTTACTGTTAGCATGTTATACTGAGTGTTCCTTTTCTCTCGAAATCCAAAGCACATTCAAGAAGCAGGAAGATTTAGCCACACAGATTTCTGCTTGAAAGAACAACAAAAGCAGACCCTTTCAGAGGATGATACTTTGGTTTTTATTAAAGGCACTAATTGGAGAGCTGGATGCTGTTTTTCCCTTGTGTGCCTGATATAGCTGTCTGTACAAAAGAGCAAGGAAAGCCCAAGGTTGTGTTTTGCATTCTCAAAGACAGACTGACTAGGCGTGGTCTTTCTTCACAACGGCTCCACCGAGGACGACAGATGGCACAGAGGCACCTTATGACACAACCAGAGCTTCCACACACACACACACACTCACACACCTTGTTGGCCAATCAGAGAATGGACTGTAAAAATAGACACTGGGACAGGGCTAGCCCCCAGAGAGTTAACTACTCTATTCCTCTGAGCTACAATCTCCCGAGACATCCTTGTGAGCCACAACTCACGATTAATCTTGGCACTTAAAACAGAGCTGAGATGAATTAGAGTGAGGTAATGCCATTCCTCTAGTTGGGTCTGCTCCTACACATGTAATAGAATTATCAATATTAATTTCAGCCTGGTTGCTGAAACTGATTTCATAACTGAATGGTTACCGGTTAATGGTTATTGACGGATCTCATTGGTTTGACCTTTAGATGATAACCAGACAGGTTGGCTTTCAACTAACAAATTTAGCCCCCTCAAAATTCACACAGCCTCAGGTAGATCAGAGACAGCACACACTGCATGTTTGAGCAGCTGCATTTCATTTAGTGTTCTGTAACAAATCCTGTGAGCTCCACTCCTGGAATAAATTTGTTGGTAGCAAAAAAAAGTCCTTGGAGATTTAAAAGACAGAAATTCGAGAAATCTCAGAAAGTCAGTTTTAGTCCTTTTTTTTCCCCAAAATTTAAGTTGTCTTATCTCGAAACTGGCGTGCCTTAGGAGAATGAACTCTCGGGGAATGCAGTTGGTTGACGTTTTCATTTTTTTTATGAAAGAAGTGAAATCTGTGAACAAGGTCAAACTCTAAGAGACATTACAAAAGTAACAGAGGGATGGACATGAAATGGAGGTATTAAAGAAATTCAACTTCACACTTCTTGTTGAAACACATTTTTTGAGGACCCAGACTCAAAAAACTCAGACGATTTAAGATCAGTCTAGCAAAACTGTGAAAAAAACAGCTTGACCTTGACATGATAGAATTACCCCTTCAAGTAGAAACTTAAAAAATGTCACTGCATCTCCAAAACCCTGTCAAACAAAGAACCTTAAGTAATTTGAGTCTACAAACACAGATCAACAGCAAATCAAAGGCTCACCTAAAAAGACCTTAGCCTATCTATTCAGTGAAAGTAAACACAGCTTGTTATTCGTCTCTCTGCTCCTGCCACTTAGTCAAGATAGAAGCTTTTCTCCGGCCATTTAAACAAGATCTTTGAGATACTATCTAACTAACCACAGTGGCCCTGGTCCACAGTATGCTGGCATTGTGGTTAGACGTGTCATCCTGTAAACGAGTAAATATCCAGGCCTTAAGGCAATAACAGCAGCTCTAATGTGGAGACCTGTAATCACTGTGTCTCGTGTTGCAGAAGAATTTCAACACCGCATTCCTTCAAGCTTATTTTCTAATTAAGCTCTACAAGAAAATTAGCTTGAAAACAGTTTTACATATTTAGCACCAGACATCACAAAACCATGATTTGGAAAAGATGCAGCCTGACTGAAATTGAAATACTCACATGGAACAGCAGTTATGTTAATTGAGTGACCCTATAACACCCTTTAGAGGGACAAATTGATTCTAAAACTGTTATTTTCTTGTCTAATAAAGCACTCTTTAAGTATATGTACCTGTAGATATTGAGCTTTGAAGGGTGCATGCTGTACATTACAACCATAAGGCAGCTAGCACATTGCCTCCCCATGATATCAATAGATCCGAAACCCATTTTCCAATATGGTGCAGCTTGTCCTGCCCAGTGACACAAATGCCGCGACAGCAGATGTCACAAACCCTTAATGTTTGGGAAAGGTGGCTTACATCCACCGTAGAGGGAGTGCTGTGACCCTGTTCGGTCAAAGTGTGCTTTAACAGAGTGTCTGTGTATCCACTCAGGCAGAGAAGAAGCCATGTGCTGTCATAAGGCTGAGGCCAGCCCTTCACAGGCAGATCCGCTCTCCCCCACTAATGGTGGTAGTTGTGGAGCAACCTCCGATGGGACTAGGTTCACAAGTCACCAGTATGCTATTGAGAATACAGTCGATGATCACTGTGTGCCAACAGAAGGCAGCACAGTCACTTTCTGTATCACATATCAAACACAGTTTTCTCCTTACAATGTTTTTGAAATAAAGAATTTAAGTATTGATTTACAAAATGCATTATTGTTTTTTAATAAAAGACTCCCATGCTTTGATTAAGGTGTGAGGAATATGATGTGAAAAAACCTAACAGAGTTAAGATTAAAGGGATATTCCAGCGTAAAATTAATTAAGGGTGAAACACACCGTAACACCGAATTAGACACCCCCCTCAGATGAATATTGCTGACCGTTTGCTTCTCTAGTTATACCAACTTTAGTAACGACTGCACGATAGCAATACACAGCGGTCTGAGGAGCCAAACACAAACCTTAACCGAAAAGCCACTCTATAGCCACAAATAATGCTCAGAACAGCACCTAACTTCATCAACAGTACATATAGGGTCCTAGCCACACCACTAGCCACCAAACATCTTTATAGCTTTGCCTAATTTCTTAAGCAAAGAGACTAAACACAACTCACCTACTCTCTTCCAGCAGCCGCTAGTTTGTAGGTGAGTTGTGTTTAACCAGAACTGTAACTACTGTTATATCCCTAAAATCCATAAAATAATAGCTTCAAGAACTGTATTAAATGCATTTATCAGGCAGTTGTTCTTGTTGGAGGTTCTTTCACCTTCTGGCTAAACTCTTTTTAATATTTTTAGGGGGGCACAGAACTCTGCCCCTTTGTTGGCCTTTGACTGGTCATGTCAGAGAGTTTCATTTGCTTCAGAGGGCCTGTCATCTACTTTGCACATGATGGCATCCATGGAAAAGATGCACAATGGGGTTCATGACACATCCGGCTTCTTCTGGCTGAAATAGCAAGACGGCTTTCAGGCAGTGGAAGTCAATGAGTCACACTGAGACAAGATCCTTCAGGGAGGAGCGTGAGAGACATGATAAAAAAGACCCACATGGCAAAGACGCCAAACATACAGCATACACAAACAAAAAAGTTTTGTGGGGATATTTACATATCAGCCTACTTCTTTTGTGGAAGTGGCACTCTGAATTTTACATTTTTTGATAATATTTAACATAGATGTGACTATTTTTGACAACTTTGCCTTCATTATGCCACTTTTACTCAAAAGCCTCTGCATGTTTAATGGGCATTAATTGATCCTCCGTATTAGGAGTGTGGACTCACCATTGTCTGTCAGCATGGTTTAAATCAGTAAATAGAGAGATTGTCCATTACATTATTTTATACTTGGATATGTAACAAATGACAAGCTGGTATTCTGCCACAAGAATTTAAGAAGGACTATTCTGCAATAACATTCATCATTGTCAATTTACCCAGATACATTCAGAGTATATACAGGTAAGACTCCCTCCAGCTAAGCTTAGAGCCACACACACCCACAGTCATACACACACACACACACACACACACACACACACACACACACACACACACACACACACACACACACACACACACACACACACACACACACACACAGTTAAGCAAGGCTGACAGAGGCAGACAGGTATATTTTGCGTCTTGAGAACAAATGAGGGAGCTTCTAAAATGTACTTGGTAAAGCCGGTTGCAAGTTGGAGCTATTTTGTTAGAACCAATTATAGTAACAACTAGTTGGCTTTTAGGCTGACAGCTGGCATATATGGATTGCCCTGTATTAAAGCAGAACGTTAATGTAAAATATTGACAGGAGCGCTGTTTGTCCGTGAGCTTAATGGTATTTTCAGTAACAACCAATCACAGACGAGTACCAAAAATACTGGCTCCCGGCCCTCATAGATTCTTAAATGTGAAAGTTTTGATAGCTAAAAAAAAAACTTCTTAGCGAGTTGAAGTCACATTCAGTGAGTTAGGCATCGAAACAACGACCAGTAAACTGCTTGTGGAAGCCGCACAACATGAATTTGGTGACATCTGAGTAATTAGATACACATAAAAGTAAAACACATAAAATAATAAACACAAGACATGCCTGACAGTGTTTTGTTACTTTCTCTTTTTGTTGAGTGCAGTCACAGCAAAAAACACTAGATAATTTATGAGAGTCATCTGTTCAGTCAGCCAAATGAGGTGAAATGGGTTTGGCACATATGGAATAGGCATATTAAAAATCGGTTCATAAGGGTTTCCTTTCAATCCGTGAAAGTCTGTCCACTTAAAACTCTGAGTCTTAATTGTAATCTTCCTGATTCCCAGTAATAAGCTGCTTGAAAAGAAGACATCTTGACAAGTCTACTAGTTTCTTCACACCCCAAACAACCAGACACAGTATTTTGTGCGGTTTTAAGGAGACAGCAATCCAACCACTTTCTTCTTTCTAACACTTGAACTATGTTTGTTGGAGTGCACAAACAAGTCCAAGAGGTATAAATAACAGTCAGCGTGCTACCAAAGGTGAGAGCTGCCAAGTAAACTGTCAAGTTAGGCGAAGACTAAATGACATCACATTTGTCTTCATCACTGTGCCTTACTATCCTGTTCATGAGAATCAGTCACAGTAAAGATGAAATGTCAAACCCTGTCAGAGCTTTAATGTCAGCACCAATGGTGCCTGAACTTATGCTAAGACTGCAAACAGTGCTTGAGGTTAATAGAAAATAAATGACTGAACTGGATGAAATGCCCATCCCTCCACCATTGTCTATAACCAGGACACACTGCCATGTGAAGTAGGACTGAAAGGGTAAGGTTAAAAGAGTCTCCTCTCAAAGTGAACATGGGTTTCTACTTTTAGGCTGGAGTTACTTCATTAGAGACTGAATATGGGACTCAGTGCTGTAACTCTTCTCAAAAATCTAATTTCATTAACTTTACATTTCACCCATCTGGCATCACATTTAGTGACACTAGAATTTTTCAAAATATGTTATCAGCTGCGATAGCACATTGCCAAGTATTAAAGAGCAAAATAGTTGACAGCCACATGAGGTTGAACACTTGACAGAGCAAAGCTGTTTCAAGCACGCCGCAGAAAAACTGACTGCTGACTGCATTCTCACCGACTGAAAATATAATGTTTGATTTAGGCCTGGATGTAGAGTGTTTGGGGAGGAGAGGGAGGAGGAGGAGGAAGAGGAAAAAGAGAAAGCCTTGTCCATGATTGTTAAGGATAGTTTTTGTATGATATTACAAAATGTATTAGGACATAACTGCAGAATTAAAGGAGTTAATTGAGGGATGCTAGAATAGCACAAAGTAGCCTCTCACTGTGCTATATTAACGACATCACACACGCCCTCTCTCTGAATCGTCTGGACAATAACCTCTGAATCTGCACAGTGGGTCTAGCTTGTGTGAGTCAATGTCATGTCAAAAGATACCGATTTGGAAATGTGAATTTACGCATGAGGGTCCCTCAGGGTAATGTCTGGATGTGTTCAGGTGTGCAGTGCATTAGTGAAAGGGGCTTTAGGCAGCTGTTTCGTACATAGTCGAAACACAGCCTCGTTTTTGTGAGTGACTTTGCCATATGGTGCAGAACCCAATCGAAGGGCTGTCCATGAGTGAGGGCTAGCCTTTCATTTTTAGAGAAAACAACATCACTCATTTACACAGCAAACAGATTAATACATGGACAGGCGAGAGGTCAAGTTTCTCCTCGAACAGCAGGAGAAACTAAAGATTTTGAATAAGAAATAAGTCATGAATGTTGAAATATAAGATTTTTCAGAGTTATTGAATTTCAAATAAAAGGTGTCTGGACAGAGATGACCCCATCAATAATGCTGTTCCTACACATAAAACACAAAAAATCTTTTACAGATCAGAACAAAATGTATCCACTTCCAGCACATTATCACTGAGGAGAAAACTGCAGTTCTCCTGTGACCTCTGACTCAGAAATGGCCCTGAATCTCTTCCCCTTCCTAGCTGAACCTCCTGTCCGGCGTGTGTATCTGTTGGGATTCTGCTAAGTGCTCCGTTAACCTCACCATGAGATCGCCTGTTAATGTTAGCGATTCAGCGGTCTCATTGAAAACACCTTCAAATTATCTTTTATAGGCTCTCAAAATTGCTTTCACACCAGGGCTTTGGTGGTTACATCTGATTGGCTCGGGTGTGAGAAAAGGGATGGGGTCTGCTGGAGAAAAAGTGTGAACGTCTGTGTGTGATCCACCCTCTCTTTTGAAGAAAAAAGGCTGTCGTGACTCACTGTGTGTTAAGGGAAATGCATTCCAGCTAGGAGTAACATATGTCTCAGTTAGAGGGAAAGAGGCTGTCAGATCAGGAAAAAAAGACATGTAGAAAGTACTAATGTCCCAATGCCATCTGTTACAAGGCCATTAACAATAGCAATATTCCTCTAAATGCTGCAGAGGCAAACGCTGATAAGAGATGGTGTAATGACCGAACCATTATTCATTCATTATTCATTGGGATCTATCACCACAGGCTTCTGTGTGCAGTCCAGACAAAAAGGTCAGAGTGGATGTCAAGGTCTCAGATTGCACTGTCTAAATTATTATCAAAATTATGATTAAATTTGAATGAAAAATTTCCTGGACAGCTGAATGAGGCTGTTTTTTATTAAAAGATACAAGGAGAGTTGCAGAGACCCAACTGTGGAGGAGCCTCAGTGTCTGTCTGTCTGTCCTTAAAGAGACAGTTCAGTTTTTTTTTTTTTATGTGGGGTTGTATGAGGTACTTGTCAGTGGATTAGTGACATGGGATCCCTATCAGCTCAGCTGGAGAATCAACCATGTTATATACATAGTTTGAACAAATTCCAACCAAAGCACTATTCTCTATGTAAGTCAACATTCATCTTGGATATTTGTGCATCATTTTGCCTCTAGTTAACAGTAAAATGCAGAATATAATGGCATTTTTTTAAATATGGGTGTGATCTATGAGAAAATCTTTTTTTTTCTTACCATTCATTAAGCTCAAGTTTCCCCCACAATGACACACTGCTACACTCAAATCTTGGCAAGTGTTCTCTGTATTTTTTCTAGTAGTGGTCTATTTAAGTCAGATTTTCAAGGGCTGATTAGATTGTAATGAGAAAAAAAAACTGACGAAAAGTTAAAAATTAGCTTTTGTGAGCTTTTAAAATGACACATTTTCGTATTTAAGAAACTTAGTTCTTATTTCTGGAAACTTGAAAAGTAAATTTATTCCATTGGCAGACTTTTTCTAACTTATTACAAGCAATTGAGTTCTTAATTTTGGCATGTAATATTGTGAAATAAGCCATTTTCATGGACAGGGTAGGTGCATGTGGCTTATATTAAGCCTAATAAGACAATATTTCTAGAAATATGACATAAATCAATTAATCAGCCGATTATTCATGCTGATTATTCAAATTTCTGAAATAATCAGCATATAATTGTCATTGACCATTACAAAGCTAATGTCACTGTAATCTTTTCTAACTGATAACAACACAATTTTTCCATCCCAATGACACATATCAAATTTAAGGAGATCACCGGCAAGGCTGCTCAATTATGGCAAAAATCATAATCACAACTGTTTTGATTGATATTAATATCTAAAAATATTAAGGATTACTTGAAACGAGACAAAGAGGTCTCCTAAGATGTGAGCTTTTCACTGTGCAGCTGTTGTTAAAGGCCATCTGAGATATTGAAGTCTTTAGAACATTTATGAAATTCAACACTATGTGCTGAGATTTGAGAAGAACCATATCTGAACAAAATCTACAAGAGGAACAACTTCTTCTGTCAGTCTTGTCAGCATTTGATTGACTGGACCCGCAAGTCATAAAATGACCTAAACAAACAAAAACCGAGAGAGGCAGCATGCCAGCCAATGCTCATCTCTTCCCACATGCAAACACAATGGCAGATGCAAGACATGAGTGCACTGAAGATTCTGTGGCTATATGTGAAGAATCTGCTATTCCAAAGTGAAGATTTAAAACCTTGAATGCAGACATTTGGTGAAGCACTGTAAACAAGGAGGAGCATTACCAGAGTACAAGTAGCCTCCATTAAACCCATCATTCCTCCTGTGTTCAAGCAGCATATGGAGGCTGTCTTGCAGAAGACTCATGGGAATAACATGTGAGTAGCTGTCATCAAAAGAGCTGACACCAGAGACTGCAGTATCCTTCTGAACGTTTTCATTGGCGAGTTAAGAAGGACATCACTCACATCACAGGCTGCACTAAAATACGACTGAAATTTTAAATAATGTATCAACAGTCACTATATTTTGGATATGGATTATCTACTACATGATGAGACACTATTCGAGTGGCAAAACGTGAGTACAGAAAATTAAGATGGAAAAAACAGATCCGGGAGAAATAAAATGGGAAGTGGAAAAATCGCAGCACTCGACTCCATGTACATTGTATGAAGTTCATCAGGTCAACAGTTCTTAACTACACACTACAAGCAGTGTGGACTGCTTAAAACAGGTACAGGTTTCAAGCTGCCATCAACAACAAACAACCCCCCAATTATGGTGATTATCAGCCAGTTCCAACACTCATGTTCAATATTTTACATTAGTAATGATCAACTACATTATAGAAAAGGCAGAAAATTGACCAACATTCTCCATCTTTACATGCAATGATCAAGACTTCTGCACTTGCTCAGAGGAGTTGCTGGGCAAATCTCCTACAGAACTAAAAGAGGTTCCATGGTGCCATGCAGGTTTCTTTCTGCATGTGGACATTACATAATTTTAGATTACTGTGCATGAGTGAGAATGAAATAAGGTTAATACCCATCTCTCGTGATATTACTCCCGTGATATCAATTTCAATTCACCTGCTGGTCCTCCAGAAACCCCCACATACGCCCATAAAATTCATTCAATTTGAAAATAACATGACTCTTAAAAAACTGCAGCTTGAGGCTAATACAATTACAAAAAGGTGATTATTTTAGATTGTCTTAGCACATCAGTTAGAAAATTTCCTGTGACTAAAGAGCCTGAGTAGGGAGTTAACAGCTAATATTCAAAGCCTGGGTGAATTCTGTACATTTGTAACTATACTTTGTACTGCTGTGGATTTCATCAAACAAAACTTTCCCTGTGTTAAAATGTTAGAAAGGTGAAAATATACTTGAACGATTGTAATAATACTTCTGCAGGCTGTCCAACTATAGCTTATCTATGGGAATCACTGACACCGTTTAAAAGTGGATCCTGCCTGCTGAATGGATCAGAAACAGCTAATGCTGCTACAGCTCCTCTGGAGATAGCGCCTTCTTAGTGTGATCTAATTAGAGATTAAAAATAACAGCTTTTTTCCTGAATGAGTGTCACTTCAGTTCTATAATGATTGAATTTTTTCAGAGTACTATTAATTCATGTCATGACTTTGTGTGAAAAGTAGGTATCTCTAAGTTGCCAGGCAATGACTAAGCCTGTGAGAGCAGTATAATGTTAGAGATGGTGACACATTATGGTGAGTGAATAAAAAGAAAGCCCGAGGCGAAGCAATCCAAATTTTCCTCGGTCTGTGCATGGTAATGCATCCTATAGTGTTTCAATAATGACTGCACCATGCATGCATGAGGAGATACACACACACACACTGCTTCCCTTTACACCACATAAAGCAAGTTTAGAGCAAAATCCTAGCCAGCAGCATTATGCTTTATGATGGTCAGATGACACATGGACTCATTTTCTGAAATCAGACATGTTGTAAACCAGCTTTCATGAGGCAAACTTGAGGAGACTCATATGTATCACAAATAATGTTGCTTTCAGCATGAAGTGTCATGCTTAGAAAACTGATTTCCTGTTGTGGGGGCCACAGATAAGGCTATGATGACTTAGTTCGGGCCCCCTCTTTGTTTTTGCTTTCTCAGTCCAAAATGAGACTATGAAGGGCAGAAAAGGGGCCTGCAGGTTTGAACAGGTTCACATCATATCCAGAATAAATGAGAAATCAGTCTTTATTTGCAAGTGAATAGCAGAGGTAGAAAAACTGGTACATTTTGCAAAGTGCACAGAGCATTTACATGAGCAAAGCTTTGATTGGCGACAGGCTGTTTCACCGTGCTAAGGTAGAAATTTGATCACAAAAAGAGATTTGGTAGTCTCATTTCTGCCAGAGTTATGGTGCACTGGTTATGTGGTAGATTGGGTTTCAACTAACGTATTGCCACTTTTGAGGCCCCCAAGCCTCGGTGAAATATGGCACCTCTTTGGAAACGCTGATGAGATGTTGGAGAAGATATTTTAAGGTTCAGTTTGTCGTACTAAGCAGCATTTAGCAGGACGACAAGGTAGTAAAAGGAATATGATGTTCATGAATGTCTTTCAATTACTGTAAAATCCCCTGAATTAGAAATGAACAATTATTTGAACTTTGCGACCATACTTATCATGCAGCACAAAAGCTTTCCTCAAAGGCCACCATTGCTTCACTGATGGGAGGGGTGAGCAAGGGAGTGTGTCAATCTAAGATTTGACCACTAGAAGAATGTCAGAAAAATCACTGTATCATGATGCAACTGATATTCAATAATAAATGCACCATGTTTAAGAATCCCTCTCTTCTATACTAACATCAACGGTCATAGAAAATCAGAATAAGTAGACAATAGTAAAGTGAAAATCACAAATATTAATGACATATCAACAATTGTATGATCACCTCCTTTTGACAGTGTCATAATGCTGACAAAGTCTGAAACAGCCTATTATAGGTTCCCTTTGTCCCACAGAACTAAAGATTCAGAGGGCAGAGAGGCCATTCAATGCCTTAAGGTTCGACAATCTAGGGTTACACGTCTACAGGGATCCCATACTGGCCTCTTTTCTAATTTGATGAATGACAAGGACAAACTGTTCTCATTTCCTAATAGCTCTGACTGAGACCTTAACATGTTCACACCGGGAGCCAAGTACGACTACAATTAAGCAGGTTTTTGTACTAGTCTCAACAAAATACACAGCAAAGTTCTCTCCCTGGTTCCTCTTTTTAAGCGCTGCTGTGTTTAACCTGTCTGACACTCTTAAATTAAGCCTGATTAATATTAATCCTGCATATAAAGTTCAAACCTCACAGGAAAGGCATAAGGAGGAAACCACAACAGATACTAATCACAGCAAAAACGGTTCTTAAACCCCCAGTCTGTGCCTTTTCTGCGAGAAAACACTCAGGGGAGGATGTTTATGTTCCCCCACAGTACTTCACAGGGTCACATGCACGTGTAATGTCATCTTTTAACTGTCCTTAGGCGATGCATCTCCTCTCAACTCTCTCAGACCTGGATCTGTCTGATCCACTCCCCATCACTAAAGAGCCAAGCAGCTCTAGCTGCAAGAAAACCACATTCCCTCCCTTGCTTTGAGTTCCTAATACTGCACGAAAACACTGGCATCTGTGAGATTAAAAAATAGATGTGCGAGAGATATGTGAGCTTTAAAACTACGGTCTGATTTAAAGGGAATTGGTATTTCACTGTCTGTTTCACGGTTAAGATAACATATAAATTTGTTGAATCTACCAGTCTGAATAGAAACAATACCTAACACATGCATGGCTGACAGTTTCCCAGAAAGTGTTTCCAAATCCAGTAGTTTTCTTTTCCCATCATCAGTTCCATTGTGAAACACACTCTGGTTCAATAAACAGCCTCTAAAGCTTAGCAGCAGCCTGTCAGCACAAACTCTCCTCTTGGCAGCTTCACTTATTTGATAAGACAAAACAAAAAATCACAGAAAGACAAAGTAAAAATGCACTACTAGGCCAAGCCTTGTACCTGCTTTGGCTAGATTTCCCCAAATGGACCTTTCCCCAAATGAGTGTGTGCCCGTCTTATTTTAGTACAATTTCACGGCGTGCTGCCTGACGCTCACAGTCAAGTTTGCACAAATGCACTTGACAGTATCATCACGGTTGCTGCTTTGGTTTATTACAGATTACTTCTGATTCCCACACCAACACCCATGTTCTCGATTTAATTTTAGCATGTTTGTCCAGTGCAGCACATACAGCTGCCTGCATGCCAAGTTATCATCGTATGTGGTGCCAAAAGGCTCAACTGGCTGTCAAAAATATTTAGAAAAAATGCCAAACATTTTCTGGTTTAGCCTTTGAAATCAGACCTACTGCACCCATCTTTTGTGTATATGTAAAATGATTTTTGCAGCTGGTTTTCAAGAAACCTTTGAAAGAAATCAATGAGTACTATCGATTTGACAATACACACAATATACCAGGCAAAACGATTTATGACATTGGGTCAATAATAAGAAGAGCTGAGATTTTCACACCACTATTAAGTAAAATTCAGTGATGAAGAGATCGTCTTTCATTCAAATCAAAGTCACTAAATTCAAAGCAGGTTCATTTGGAAATGTTTTTACTAGTCATCACCTTGTAATGAATGTCACTTCAGTTCTACTTTTTCAGTGTAGTAAACCACTGCGCACAACCAGTGGGGGCGGGTGGGGTCAAGTGTCTTGCCCGAGGACACTTCAGCATGTGGACACTTCTGATTGAGAGACGATGGACTCTTCTCACTGAGTGGCAACTTGCTGCATTTGGTGTGAATTACCGAATGCAGCAAAAGACACAAGCAATATGTAAGCCCTGTAAAATGTGTCATCATTCACTTGTTAGTCTGATTTGTGCAAGACGAGGAAATTGTTCATCTAAACAGTACTCTTATCTTACAGAATTATTAATGATCACATCTTTACATAGTAGGGGCATGCACCATCTACTGCAGTTAGAAGCGTATTTTGTGAATTCTTCCACCTTTTTTCTGATAACATTCCCAAGCCTGTGATACTGATACAGTATGTTGAGCTCTTGGCATGACCTGACTGTATCCTTTGATTATAAACTCTGACCTCTGCGTGTGTGCCTCTCTCTGTATCCAGGCCTATTCGAGGTTACAATGAATTTATCCCTTGTTTTTACTCCTTTTAAATTTGTTGAGGTATCTGTCTACAAAATAATCCCTGATTAATTGAAACAAAGATATTACACAAAATATAACATCAGTTGTAATCTCAATAAACATTTTGTTTATTGAGATTACAACTGAATGTGGTGTTTTATACTCAACTGTCCCAGTCAGCAAGAAGACGCCACGGCTAGACAGACAAAGTGACTGTGAATATATACGAAAAAGGCTTTTATGAAACAAAAACAAAAACAAAAACAAAAACAGGGTCAATCATGGAGTCTGGTACTACTCTGTATAACTCTTAAGTCTATTGGTGAATAATCTTCGTTTTGCTTTTCCTCTGCTTTGGCATTTTTTTGCAAGACACTGGACTGATTCGTGATGCCATGGCTGCATTTAAAAACTACAAATTTACCAGGCGCTGTCCTTGGAAAATGATGATGTCAGAATCAACAATAGCCTCAGGCGGTACCAGAATAGGCTAGTGCAGAAACCTCAGAAAAAAAAAATAACATTGCATAAAAAGACAATGTTGCTTGTGGCGTTTTTTGCTATTGTCAGTCATTTTAGAGACTGGAATAAAAATAATGAGATCAATACCCATTGAAAATAAATCTTTCGGCAACCTATCAGCAAGCTTTATGCATACTAAATCCAGACAAAATTGGTCACATTCACACCATAACTAACAGGAAAGGCTTCAGCATTTAATCAAGCTTTTAGTTCTGTAAACTGACTGGTGAAAAACACCGCTGGCTACACAATTTGCACGCTATTTTCCATCTCTGTCCAGTAGTAACGGCTGCCTCGCATTGGACATGCAGCCACAGTTTTAGCATCCTCATGAGGCTGAGTCAAATGTAAAAAAGACTGCGGCTTCTCTTGTTGGTTGCCCTGCGGTCAGCCATGCTTCCATCTTGCTTTGTAAGTGGAGCAGCATTAAGCTACGTCATCCTGTCCACATGACCTGACTGATGATGTAACACACACCAAGAGAAACAATCCTACAGTAAACAAGAGAGACACATTTCGCTATTCAGAGCCATATGGCAACATGCAATATATCTCTAACAAAGGATGAGGACGCAGGAGCTCATCTCTCACCTCCCCCCCTCTGCCCAGGTTTGCTTCATTTTTCTGCTTGGATTTCTGAAGGTTATATTTCACCCCTTTTGTCAGAGGCAGTGTGGAAATTCTCTCATATTCCAGATATCAGATTGAAGTGTATCAATTAATAATTATGTCAGGGGGTTCAACAGCATGCAACCGGTAGAGAGGAGAGAGCAGAGAAAGGTGGCTAATCCTCTATTAAAGGATTTATTTCATTTACATCCCACTCCAAAGTTGACATTGAAAATACCTTTTATGCAGACCATAAAAACCACCACAAAAAATGTAGAGTTAAAACACTAATACAAAACAAATGTTTAAGCTAAAGAGATGGGGTACGAGTTATGTGGGAAATGATCCGTTTATGAAAGGCTATCTACTTTATGTAAGAACAGAATGGGGATGATCTATTGTAGACTCAACAACACAGGAATTATGTAGTAATCTCCGTTAAATCTATTTTTACAAGGTATCATAGTTAAACCTCCATTGTCTACTTGTCCTTAACTGATTACTGTTGAACTGTAGGGCAGCAGATTTCTTTCTTTTCCAAAGACACTTCAGCTGTTATGAATTTTCCTGTCCACACATAAGTTTTTATCATCTGATGTTACACACGAGTTGTGAAGTCTTTAAAATGACAATGTTGTACATGACAAACAAGTAGGGATGGGAATCGAGAACCGGTTCCAAATGGTTCAATCCATTCCTTTCTCCCGGGTACTTTGGAAAATGGGCTTCGCAAAGGAGAACAGAGACTTTGAGGAAAAAACATGGCGGATGGTAAGGAATAGTAGGCAGAAACGATCCAAAGCGTGGCTTCATTTTACTGAAAAAGATGACTACGAGTCTTGTATGGAATTTTTGAGTTTGTGTAGCGTGGACTAACTGAGTTAGAAGCAAGTAAAAAAAACCTCAAAATTTTGCACACAACTCCATCCCGTGTAGCCATGTCCTCTTTTTGGAGATCCAGAGTATGGTCACCCTGATTCAACTTAATACCGACCAAGTAGGTGTTGTACAAATAGTTTGTTTAATTATTTTTAGACTACATCTTTTTTTGTTATCAAAGACTCAATAAAATTTTGAGTTAACATTGAAAACCTATAGTCTACTTTTTTTAAATCAAAGAAAGGCATTGATAAGGGGATCGTTAAAGAATTGAATTGATAAGCAGCACCTTTAATGGCAACGATATCGATAAAATCGTATCAATTCCCATTCCTACAGACAGGTACATCCTTCCATCAGCAAATTCCCTACGATGAAGATGATCAATCACAATTCTCAATAGAAAAAAATGATGATAACTAGAAGATCTTTGTGTGTTTTTGACAGATAAAAATCTGAATGCTGGTCATTTTAGGTCAGATTCGGCCAGATTCAACTGCCTCACAACCACATCACATTAAAAAGTTCCACTAATGACCTAACAAGTCCCCTATTTGGAGTGGTAACCCATTAATATACAGATGCCCTTGAAAAAAGTCACACAAAGTAATAGGACCAAATTTTAGCCCATTCAAGAGTAATTGGTAATCGGCCAAAACCTTGCTGATTTTCGCTGATATTTTCAGAAATAAAATGCAGAGAATAAGATTCGGTTTAACTTCCAAAATGTTCGGCCATTTGAAAGGATCCCCCGACTTATCCTGTAGATGGCGCAGCGACCTCATGACAATCTTCATCCACTAACTACCTCACAGCACAGCAGAGTGACGGATCTGAAGCAGGCAGCTCAGGGACGCACGGAGAGAGTGGTCCGCCTCAACGGTAAATAAACCAGTTTGTGAAATACACAATAAGTCAACAAGTTTCAGTCCAACCCACTTCACCATGTTCCCCGCTGTGCTGGTCTTGGTCACGCCGACTGCACCATGTAATATGCAAGCTAAAGTTAGAGTTAGCCACCTGCTATTAGCCTTGCTACACTGTTAGCCGTGCCAGTAACGGTAGAGTAAACAACAATACACATTCGTGATCAGCTACTTCTCTTACTGAAGTACCGATCAGTGGTGGGGGGTTAGTTGAAAACGCTTTTCTGGTCCGAGTTTGATCATTCAGTCTTCCTGTTGGCATGAAGAGCAGTAGCCAACAGTATATCTACATTATATAGTATACTGTGGTTTCTACAGTACATATATATATATTTCATAATGTAATAAAAAATTTAAAGAATCTGCCGATTAATCGGTAATCAGATTTTTTGTATCGGCCCCAAAGAATCCATATAGGCCCCTATTTGGAGTGGTAACCCATTTACATACAGATGCTCTAATACAAAGTACAGCAAGAAATCCATTTCTAACAAAATCAAGGATCAACAGCGGCTGAAGCTTCTCAATTTTTCTTCATTAAATTAGAATTTCCTGTAATACCTTCACGGATCAAACAGGTTTTCTAAATATGCATGCAAGTTGCTCAAAACAGCTCTGCCAAATGTTTTAGTTAAACGCACCAGTCAGGACAAACATAAGAAAATAATGAGTGCATGTGTCAAATACAATAATAGAATATGCTTAAATTAAATTATAGCGCAGGAGGAGACTGAATGGAATCATAAGTGTCTTGCAAATTCACATTTCAACATCAAATGTTCCATTAGACCCGAGAGAAATTGCATTATCATTACAATGCAGGGAGGGCTCCACTCCCTCTCCTGCCTGAGGAACACCCCTGCACACATTGGATCGTACATAAAGGATTAAAAGGCTATCCCACGAAAAGAGCCTGAGCCTGAACTGAGAGGACTACTCCAACCATGAGTACATGACGAATTACTGAATTTAATAATAAATAAATAATACAATGGGCGTGTAAAGGCTATTACAAATGTAATTTGACACACCTCCCCCTCATTTGGACTTACATAAGGACACATTTTTTATCAACTTAGAGGATCTCGTTTCAGAGCCTTTATCGTGGCTTCAGATTACATAAGAGATGATTCAGAGTAGAAGTTGTGCATGCTGTGTATCAGTGTGCCAGACACACAAAATCAACCGACAAAGTCCCACAACAGGAGCTTGTTTTATGCTTTATATCTAATAAAGCATCCATGGTCAAAAAAATCATTCTTAATGCAATTACTTGTGCTCATTAGAGAAGGTCACACTTCATATCACCACGTGTTTATTTTGCACAATGTACCTTTAACAGGGAGACCGTGACTAAACCCAGGAGGCTGTGTGTGTGTGTGTGTGTAGGGAGCCCAGCATCACTCCCCCATCAACAACAACAAGACACGTCCCATCCAAGAGGAGAGGAGTAACAAAAAAAAGGACCAAAAATAAAAACAGTTACCACCATTTTAAATCAAACATCTTCATCAACACCTAAAGATGAATATCCTCTCCCTCCAGAGTAACATCATGTTTTATTTATTGTACTATAACGCCAACTCAGCGCACAGTCTGGTCACGCAAGGAGCAGCCTTATACATGGTGCACTAAGAATGTGTGTGTCCAGAGAAAATGGTACTCTGACACATTAGCTGCAAAGCTGTCTTTACTTTTAAACACACATCCCCCCTCCAGCTCGACGCCTCTAAGCTAATTAGCAGCAGTCGCAGTACCGTTAACGTTACACCTGGTACCCAGGGCGCGTGCGGGCGGAGGGAGAGAGAGGGACGACCGGGGGAGGAGAGGGGATGCCTGTACATTAATAAAGGGCAGGGGGGTAGGGAATTTAAAGCGAATAAATAAAGGACTCATTCAAGTGTAAAAAGCAGAAAGAGTAAGGACTGAATGAAACGTGTTCTTACCTGTACAGCCCACAAGAAGCAAGGCTAGAAAAATATCCCTTGACTGGACCATCGCAACTCCCGAGTAACCGTTAAACGGCGAAGCTAACGTCTAATCTCCACTCGGTCCCTACGGTGTTGCCCCCCGGGTTTTCCTGCCTTGTTTTCTCAGTAACTGTTCATCCTAATCTACGAAGAAATCTGAGCTCGTCGGTGAAAACTGTCAGCAGCAGCAGCAGCAGCAGCGTCGTTGATGACAGGCAGCGCCAGAGATTAGTAGAGATGATGAGCGCCAGTGCTCTGTTCAAAGTCTGACTGACAAGCAGAGCCTTCTCACACACGTGGATCAATCCGCACAGGCGGAATAAAAGGACGTGCTGTTAAATAGTGCGCGCTTCTCAAAGGCAAACCAGTGTCATAGGGAATTTCCCACTGTATTTATAGCAACGCGAATAATGTTAACGTACTGGTCGCATACATTTTAGATCAATATGTCTGTTTTCAGGTAAAATATATAGAATAAATAAGCCCTAGGATAGGATGTTTAGTATATTTGGTCTGTATTTATTGTATATATTTAGTATATTTAGACTGTGTTGTACATACTTCTAATATTAATTTTATTTTGTGTTTTTATTGCTGCTTTAACATGGGAATTTCCCGGTTTCAATAAAGTCTATCTATCTATCTATCTATCTATCTATGATTGTACAGAAAATGTGTTTCATTGAGTAATAACCACGTATGGAAAAGCATGCAGAAAGGACAAATCATATTTTAATCATCCAAGCAATTAGAGGGACAATTTAATATGTTATTAATGAGTTTAATCAGTGATTTAGATTTCCTAAAGCGTCAGTGAAATTTACATTTGGATTGCCAGTATAGATAGATAGATAGATAGATAGATAGATAGATAGATAGATAGATAGATAGATAGATAGATAGATAGATAGATAGATAGATAGATAGATAGATAGATAGATAGATAGATAGATAGATAGATAGATAGATAGATAGATAGATAGATACCTTATTAATCCAGTGAAACACAGTACACATTCTACGAATACAAATACTGTAACAATATTTACACTAAATAAGAGTAAATAAAAACAGTCTATAAACATGACCATAAGGCAGTAGTGCAGCATTACCAAGGCAGTGATTTCAGTGCTCTAGATTTCCTAAGGCTTCAATGAAATCTACATTTGGATTGCCGGTATAGCTGAAATAATCAGTCAATTAATCAATAGTTCAAATGACATACATGTAATTGGCTGAGATTCTGATAATTGACATGTCAGTCATTTTTTAACTTGAATGCCAAGCTGTCTCCAGACGTGACTTTTTTTAATTATCTGCTGCTTTGCTTGACAGTTGTGGTTGATATTAAGAATTCGAAATCTCTGGGTATCTCTGGGTATGTGTTGTGTTGATAAAACAATCAATGTAAAGTCATCACAATGGGGCGGAAAAAAGCTGAAAGTTGAGACATAATTGTGTAGACCAAATGACCTTTTAGCAATTTCAGAAAACAATCTATGGATTTTTTTAGCAGTGGTAGAGGGGTAGGGGGGACATTTTGAGCATATTAGACTGGATTCCCTGCATCCTGGTGAATATTTATGGCATAATTTGTAGTGAAAATTCAGTCACTTAAAAAATGCATAGCTATTCTATTGAAATATTGATATCATATCCTGCATGTAAATTAGAAATCTGATCTAACTGATAGTCTATAACAGCCTTAATTATTATGTTTTATTTACTTACAAGAATTACGTGGTATCCATTATTTACATCAGCACTGACAGTGAGAGCCATGGATTTTAACAGGCAAACCTAAAGAATCATAAAACTGCAAATTACAAGAACTCAAAAAGACAGTAAAATGGTCTCTTTTTCTTCCATGAACATCAATTTTATCTCTTAAATTTTGCACCCCAAAGGCAGTTTAAAGCTTATACCAAGTTTTATTTGGATTAAAGTACTTTCTCCCTTGACACAACATTCCTTTAAAAGATTTTCAGGTCACATTTATGTGGTTCCAGACAGTGAATTCTTTGCTTTTTATTAAAATACTGTCAGGATGAAACACTATCTTTGAAATCCAGCATGTAAAACCACAGTCTGCCTCTTCAAACCTTTGTAAAAGCACTGCTGTGAGTCAAGTCTCCTCTCTGACCCTCCCTTACCCCTCTGATGACCAAAGAGGGCCTTATGCAACATGCTTTTATTTATGGCTGTAAAGTGAATGGTACCTGAAAGAACAAGAGACGTAGCAGAAGAGATCCTTGTTTGCGTGCACAGCAGGGAGCCGCGTAGTGCTTGGCACCTTCAGACAGCAGTTTTACTTTTGATTTGCACTGTTGGCCAGGGAAAAGATGGAATCTGCCAAAAATGTAATAAAGCCAAATCAATCTGCGGGCTGGATGAGAATCTCAAATGTGGTCAAATCTTACACTTCTACTGCAACCCAACCTTCAGCAGCAATTCCCTCCAAACATACCACAGCAGAGACTCTGGCCCCAAAAATGTTCCCAGACTCCCCTCTCCTACGGACCTCTTTTAACCCTTAGTCTGCTCAAACAGTAGCCAGGGGAGAGAGGGGGCGCGGAGGGGTTAGCTCGGCTTAGGGCACTGTGTGGGGAACATAGTGGCCTAAAACTCATCTTTGCCTCAGCATCATAGATAGAAACAGTATGACTCAGCTGATGACTCATGCATATAAATGCCCTCTGAAATATACTGTGCTGTTTTATTTGTCGTGCACTCAAGTTGAAGCGCTGATGCTGCTTGTTTTTAGATTTGGGTTTTCCTTTTAACTGGAGTAGCTGTTCACTACTGTTTAAATTTGCACAAAATTTCAGGAGTTTCAAGTATTTTTTTTAGGTTAACACAGAGAATAAATGTGAAAATCTTCTACTCAAGCAGAATTATTTATAGTTATTAAATATTTCAGGTCCCAATAGCAAAATTACATGGTTTTAATTAATAAAGAGCTTAGCTGAAGACATCATTTTCAATTACGGCTGGAGAAGACTTGCTTAATATTATCATTTGAGGGATCTATCAAGGAGGTGAACAGTGCTGTGTGTTTCCAAAAGTGTGCTACACTCCAAAGCCTAAGTACCGTTTGAAAGATTGCAATGCCAGTACTCATAAAATTACACTGGTATTGGGCACTGGTGAAGCTAAGTGGTTACACTGCACGCCCCATATACACAGGCTATAGCCGAAATGGTCCTGAGTCCAGTTCCTACCCTTGGGCATTTGCTTCATGTCATCCTTTGCTCTCGTTTCCCTTTCTGGCACCATCCGCTCTCCTGTCCACTCGATAAAGGGATAAAAAGACCCTCAAGAAAACATGAACAAAGATTCCACTGATATCAAGAGTGTTTCTTTTAGCTTTTAAGCCATTATTGAGAGATATAATGGTGGATAGAGTAGATAAAAATGAAAGGTAATAAAGACAATAACACGCAGTTAAAAGCAAAGAGTTCATTGAACCCATGGTTTTTTAAAGACTAAAGCCTCCATTAACCATTGAGCCAAACCAGGGCCTCTAAAGTGCTAAATTTTACACCTTTTTACACCCAGGGCATATCAATTTATATCAGCTATTCAGCTGTCTTAAATACCAGCTCTACTCTCTGTCAAAATAAATAATAAATATGTTTTGAATGTATTCGGATTATTAAAACATCAGTCAGTAAATGTAAAGACATCACTAAAGTGAAGTGCTTTTGCTAGCGGGACAATCACATGGTGCACTGAATGGAAGAACACCTGCAGAAAGTGTATTCTGTCTACGAGAAGGATCTAACGCAGCTTATTTTAGACTAAAAGAGTTACTATACCTCTCTATGCATTTAGTGAGAAACACACTAAAAGTAATATGGATTTCTCCTTTTGTTTTTCAAAAGCAAACAATACCATCAACACTAAGGCTAATTATACGGATTGACAGAGAGGGCACCAAAATCTGCACAGTTCATCGCAGGGATAACATAAAGAGACGAACAACCATCCATGCTCACATTTACACCTATGTAAAATTTGAAAGTGGCCGATTAACCTAAACCCACTTCTGCATGTTTTGGGGATGTGGGAGGAAACCGGAGTACCTGGAGTAAACCCACCTAGACACAGGGAGAACATGCAAACTCCACAGAGGAACGCCCTGACCCAGAGTCGAACCCAGGACTTTCTTGCTGTAAGGCGACAGTGCTAACCACTACACCACTGTGTTGCCCTCAAACCAAAAGTCCCTCACTGCATTTTGAAAAGAAACTTTTTAATAGCTGTATTTATGGAGTTTTCAGCTTTGTTTCATCCCTTCTGATGTTCTGGTCTTTCATTCGTCATTTTTATAACTGTCTAATGACTGCATGCCCCTTGCCTGCAACAGAGTCGACCCAATTGTTGCACAAAATAGCCTTTACCCCAAACAGCATCCTGTTGTTTCCCAACCTGGATGAAATCTACCCTCAGGGCAAACAAGTTTTTTTTCACCTTTTCTTGTCAGATTACTGGCCTGGTTATGTGCAACTGTGTCCATGAACTCCCCATGAGTCTTTTGTTAACTGCAGTTTCTCATACTACTTTTTGTGTGTGTGAGGAGAGAGCAAAAAACCACAGGATCCAGCAGTGCATTTCCATTTTCAACAGAATCAGCAAGTTAACCAAGGGAGCATCTATTAGCTGAGAGTTGGTTCCTGTATGTACTCAATAAACGAAGGCCACACTTTGGTAAACTTGCCGGGAAACCTGCTCAATCTTTGTCCAATTTCCTCAAGATGGAGCGAGGGTAACAGTTCCCGTACCCCTCTCCTGCAGGGAAAGGGAGTTATTAGATTTCCAGTTCATTAGAATAAGTCTATGCTATGAAGAAACAGAATGCTTTTGCTTTCTTTCGTGCATTTCCAAAGATGGCAGTGAGTGGGTTGGGCCCAAGGGAAGCAGCACAGAAAGGCTGTTGAATACAGAGGACCAGAGATTTACCAGAGAGGTGCAAGACCTTGTGGCCTAACACGGCTGGGTTGCCACGGCTAGGATAGTTAGAGTTAATGAGTTAATTCGGGTAAAGAGATCTGTAGAAAACCTTCAACTGAATTAACCCCCAATAGAAGGAGTAGGTATAGCAGAGAAGCAATTCCCAGACACCCACTGAAATTGCTAGTTGCTTTCTTTTTTTTTTTTCTCAGGCTTTCTGTATCTTAATCTTTCACATGGCACCTGAGAGGCTTTGACTGTTCCACATCTACAGTCTTATTCCTCTCACATCTGTGGAGTAGCAAATTTGAATTGCCATATGGCTTAATCATCTCTATACATAATTTATTTTGCTAAAAAGCGCCAACTTATATGAGCCATCAGCTTCATAAACTGTCTATTTTTTTTTTTTTTTTTTTGAAGAACAGATTAAACAGTCTTTCATCTGCTTACATCTCCCAGAACCCCTTTCAAAACTTAGCCAACATCTTCTTGGCTTGAAGTCTCACATCCAGACACATATAGCTTTTGTGTTAGTGGTAGTAGACTGTACATGCTGGTATATTTAATCTCTTTTTATTCTGCCTTCAGTTTGGCACCGGTGCGAGTGTTGAGTCATTTTGAAAAACATGTACAACCCTGTGAAAGTTCAAACACTCGTTTCATTACCCAGCAGGCTGCCTCCAGTTATTTTGTGTTTTCCACCGCTCTTATTCTCTCTGAACTGTATGTCTCCACCTCTTTCTCCTGCCTCCTCTCATCCTCTCACACCCGTTTCAGCCATGACCACACATGCGAGGTCTCTCCAGTTCAGGCCCACATACAAACAGACACATACACTACATTTGAGTCTACTTTTACAGCACTCATTACTGCATCTACCTTTATTTGTCTATCTACTGTATATCAGGGATTTAATACGTCTGTACTGGCCAAACTGTCCACATGCTTTGCAGGGAGGATACATGTGAGCCTCCTCCACAGTAGGAGGTTTTAAAATAGCTCCTCTTCCCTCCTCCACTACTGTAACAGAAGGCCACATACTGTACAGTGATGAACAGCAGTTTCCAGTTCAGGCAGGGGTCAGTTGCACAGAGAGGGGAAAGAAATCTCAATGTTCAGTGCATATGAGTGTGACTAATGAGAAAACAGGGTAGATACAATGGCAGGATTGCTTTTGTAATGAGAGGACCCCCCCTCTCTCTCTTTCTGACTCTTTCAGTATTTATTACATAATCAATTATGCTTTAAATCAGGCGAACAAAAAGTCAAACAAAACACGCCGTGGTGTTGGGATTGCATCATGGCCTGGCAAACTCGAGATTTTTTGTATCTATGGCGTCTTATTTCTGTTTTAAATAAACAAAGACAGACAACTCAAGTAATGGTCTCCTTTTATCATCGATGAAGTTGGTAGTAGCACTAACAAAGTGCCAAAGCTATCAGCCCGCTTGATTTAATGTCGTGCAGTCAAGATGAATGACTCGGGGGACAGCTTTGAGAACGCTCAGAGCATGGCCCCGTCATTCAATTATCACTGTTAGAGCAGGAAGACTAAGGGTCCTCTAATCTCAGGACTAAGGGCTTGGTATCAGTTAGCTTGAGTGGGAGAGGGTGTTGTCAGACAGTGGATTCATTGTCCTGAGAGTCTGTCCTGCAAGGCACACAGGGCTCCTTTGTGGACTGCAGATATTAATCTGCGGAGGCAGAGATCTGGAGGAGTCTGACTAAGCTCACATACGACCACACACGCACGCACACATCAGCACACACAGGGACACACAGACCCAGCCATATGCATATTCATTATGTAACAGCAGAAAGAGGGGATGCTGTGTCCAGTAGCACACAGCTTCCCATGTCATAAAAGATTTCATTCTTCTCAGATGATTTACACCACACATGCAGACGGCTACAGCCCGTCCTCGCTGCTACACACGCAAGGTGTCGCTGCCAGATGTCATTGTAATGCTCCAACAAACTTTCATCATCAGCAAGTACAAAGAAGGCTTAGTTCCACTGATGGTTCGGTGTTTGACTGCCAGGGGAGCGACAACACATCACCTCTGCGTCATCGGTGTAACCCAGAACGCAGGAAAAATATTCTGTTACCATGTAGTGAGTGAGCGAACCAGGCCACATCAAAGATTGAGCTGAATTATAAAAACACAAGTAGATCTCAGTTAAAAGCTGTAAAAACTTCTGGGAGAGTGGGCCTCTTCTGGGAAAGTGGGCCTCTGAGTAGACAGAGTAGAGTAGATAACTGATGTGCTTCAGATGGGGTGCAAAGTGCGACATTTTTGGACCTTAACTTCAACTGACATGAGGTGACGCAAACCAATAAAAGAGGCACATCAAACCTCACGATACCGAATTTAATATCACATCAACTCATCCTACACTTATTTTCAACAAATGTGCTCTGTTACTCACAATACAGGTGGTTGTTCTCTTTCCCTGCACTGAACATCTTCACTATATCGCTAAGTCTTCCTAATAACAGAATCAAAAGATGCAAGAGAGCAAGAAACTATATTCATCTGTGACAAAAACAAACCAATACAATACAAAGTGAGCTACAGATGTCACTGTAACTGCATAAAGGATATCTGCTGCCATCTAGGGATGTAAAATTTTATTGCATTTAATTTTTTTCCTCTTCACATGTTAACATATTTCCAGAAACTGTGATCAAAACTCTAAACACAGATTAAGAAGAGTAAATTGTCAAGACTCCAAAAATCTCCTGCAAAATGAAACCCAGCACACAAGAAACTGAGTTCTCTTCTCTCTTTTTTACTAAAACAACTCAGGTCAAACACTTATGTCTTACAGAGCAACAACAATACATGAGGTGATAAATTAAAAATACTACCATCAAAAGTGCTCATGTATGTTTTGATTTTATGAGGCTAAAGTATGTGGAAATAACTTTTCTTTTTCTTAACTGGATAAAGCACGGGTTATTTTGTTCTGATGCATCATTTACAGTAAGCCACTTGTATAAGCAATGCAAACATCACTCGTTTTATAGTAGGAAGAATATCTCAGTGATTTCCTGTGTGTAAGTACAAGAGAAACCTTAAGGTTTTCAAAGAAAGAAAGAAAAAAAAAGAAAATGCATTGAAACAAAGAACTTGTATCCTGCCTCTGATCTTTCAGACTCGAGTAGCTCATCCACATTGGTTGCAATTCTGCTGTGGCTCATCTCTCCTTGACAAAACCCTGTATAAGTCACTTAATAACTCTTTATCAAGACTGAAATTTTCTCCCAGTTGATTTTGCACAGGTACAACATGATTCAGACTAACTGGTAAACAGGATGCATTTTAAAGGCTTATTCCTTATCCCCCAGGGGGTAAACAAAGTTTGCTAAAGGATGCACTAATGGCAAAAAATGGCTACACATCCAGAAGTAGCACTACACGTGTAATGTGTTCTTTTTGCCATTAGGGGGCAGCATATCTCTACTAAAAATGCCACATTCTCAACCCCTGTGTGTATTATTTATGCATGGACAGTGCACAAATGAAATTAAGAGTTAATGAGAACTAATGTTGATCACTTCTCTACTGTAAAAGGGGTGTAATTTGGGAAAATAGAGGATAATAGACTTTCATGGTGTTCCCACGGTGCCTGGCCCCAACCTGACCATCCAGCTGGATGGGAGGATTAGCACACAGGCCAGAGTATGGGCAGAGATATTTATTTCATTAGGTGATGGTTTCTCTAAGTTATTTTTCTCTTTTTGTAAAAGGATTTTGTCCCCCTGTTTGTTTTAAAAATCTCACCCCTACTGCTCAGTAATTTGCATTTTTTTTCAGTGTTTGTTTGTGCATGTGAGGATTAATTCTCACACCTGTTTTAATGTGTCACTGTGTGTCCAACTGTTCAGATACACTGAAACCCAAACTGACAGCAGGAGGACATGAAGCTGTTTACATAAATGTAGTGGTATATTAGACTAAAGGTAGTGGCAAAGATTATCAGTCAGGTTTTAAACATTGACTTTTTGGTACATTAAAACATGTCATGCATATACATTTTTTGTCTTTTACATTTTTTGAAACTATTCCACATTGTAGTTTTATTTGTGTATTACTCTGGGTAAATATATAAGGCCGTCTGGTCTTACTCCTAAATATCTTACCGTTTATATTCTTTAACGCACCCACTGTTTAATAGCATTTTCTCTTTTTCACACTTGCACTAATCAGTATACTGTATATATAATATACATAAGATTTTTTTTGTTGTTGTTGTATAGCCTTTTCATACCTGCAGTAACCAATGCCGTGTATATATTTTTAGCATATTCATTGCACTATATAGTATATTCCGTACATACCTTGCACTTTACCACCTTGCACTTCTGGCTAGATGCTAAACTCCATTTCATTGTTCCTGTACTTGTACTGTGTTAAATGACAATAAAGTTGAATCTAATCTAATCTAAAAGCAGTCCATCCAAATAAATGGCAGTAAATGGGACATTGGGTCTTTGGTACATCTCTTTCTGGGGCCATGGAATTCACTGGAACTAAAAAGTTGTGTGCATCTGCTCTGGATTGGACTTTTTGTTGATATCAGCAGTCTCAGTTTGAAAGGTTTCATAGGTGAGTGTTTCACAGCACCAGAATTAGCCTTTGTTTTCAGTTACAGGGGAGCTGTGGAATGTGGAATAAATTTTTAAAGAAGGGACTTCTTGTTAAAGATATGCCACAATCTGTTCAAAAATGTGCAATTTAAAACAATACATACATGTGAATTACAACAAATACTTCCTATGTATCATACTATTTTTAGTGCTAGGTAGTAATGGGATATTGCTTTACAAACAGCCATCATTGTCACCAACTCACACCCATGCAATATTTCCCATTTAAACACCACAATAACAAACTAACTGCGGCAATAGATGCCTGTAATACACCTAAATTACATCTGATGATTACATGAAATGAGTTCAGCACAGATGTTTTTCCTGAACAGGTGGCGAAGAGCTACTTAGTGTCATGCATCCATCAAGACACAAGAAAACAGCCCCCTTTTCAAATGCACTTGTCGTTATTTATAAAGGGTATTAACAATTAGAGTAACAGTCTCATTTTCAGACATTCACTGCAGACTGCTCAAACATCCTTCAAACTGAGCTCAGAAGGCTCCAGCTTCTGTAATATGCAGTGACAGTTCACATCAGATCCCCGGTCTTTCAAGAAGCCTGTCACTTTGAATCTCGCTCAAGATGTACGACAAGTCTCAAAAATACTCAAACCCCGTTTCAAACCTCGGGCTATGCAGAACAGCATCCTCAGACATCAAGTTGCCTCCAAGATGCTCTGCAGAACTGAAACACGAAGGAAAACCTAAGGCATACATGAGACATGTGATTGGTCAAAAGGATAACACCATACATGGATAGTATGAGATCAATAAAATCAATACACTAACTATATTATACAGCGGGTATACCGAAACAGATTAGAGGAAATGCAATGTAAGTGTAATTGGATCTGAACTGAAAACGTCATTGCCCTGGCTCTTGCTACCTGCATGTAAGTGCTACACTCTGAAAGCAGTGTTATTTTCACAGTATATATTAGTCCCCACTTAACTGATATTGCTGTTATCCGGTGCCCACTAGGAGCTCACAGAATAAGAGCTGGTCTGAGTGTTTGTCCATTCGGTCTTACTTTAACAGGTTTTCCAATGTGCAGTGTTTATGTGAATAATGTTATGGCCTCGACAAGCCTCTAGAGTCCACCAGGGCTGTTTTCCTGCAAGCCAACCTGGAAGTTAACTCTGCCATGGTTCGTTGGCCGCAGTCCTTCCCTATAACTCCAGTGGGCTTTTCAATGTGCCTTCAGATTGGTGCTGAAAATAAGGTTTGTGTTAAACACAAGCAGGCACTGGTAGGAATTCAACTGAGGGTGTATTTGTGTCACCAGTTTCTCACATGCAACACAACATGAGGATAGCAAATGTTATCCTCAAGAAATAACAAAACAGCACCTCCATTCTTTTTTATAGCAACCTAATATAGATACATATCTATACATATATATGTTGACACTGTAATAAGTGTAAGGCAGTTTACTATTAAACATCAGTGTTTGCAGATTATTGCAGATTATTCCAACTATTCCAATTCCAACCAGCAGAAAACAAGGCAAACAAAAAAAGTAAATAACTAAAAAATCACTCCCTTATCCGCTATATATTTATTCAGGATAATATGGGATTTCATCAGTGCATCAAAAATCCACTTCAATTTAGTCCACCAGTTAACTCGTGTGCCCCATGTATGGAGCCTGTAGTCCTCAAGTGGGAGGCCCTGACTCAATTCCAACCTGCGGCCCTGCATGTCACTTCCCACTTGCTCTCCTGCTTCCCGCTCTATCCACCATCCTGTTCTCCCAAAATGAAGGCATACAAGCCAAAAGCCATTTGGTCTTTTTTATTGAATAGGACAGCTGAAGAGAAAGTCAGGAAATGTGGGCGGGAGAAGACATGCAGCTAAGGGTCGTGCCCAGGAACGGATCCAAGAACCACTGGCATATGAACGATAGCCTCTGTACTACATGAGATGCTTGCTTATACTACAAGGCCACTGCCACCCCAAAACAATATTTACATAAGATAATGAAAACTATATTTTGGCACCACAACTCATTTGTTTGCTTCATGCACACTGCAGTCTTGTGCCTGTCTCTTCCTTTGGCAAAAACTGGCATTACTCTGTAAAACAAAGTCCTTCACTTTGTACAGAATACCAAAGGGGAGCTGGTTTTACTGGGTTGGTATATAGGATGCCCCGGCTGCAGAGGCTATAGTTATTATTGTACTGGTCACTGAATTGATTTCCATTCCTTACATGATTTGGTGCATGTCATCCTTCTTCGTCCTCACATACCCAGTCTCTTTCACTACTTGTCCTGCAGACCGAAAACTGGAAGATAAAAAATATGTGTGGTGAGATAGCGCTTGCAGGACAGTTCCCCTCGAGTTTGACAGAGCTAAACCAGCTGTTTACTCTTGTTTCCAGCTAACTGTCTCCAGGCTGCAGCCTCACATCCAGCAGACACTCTACCAATCTGCCATCTGACACTCTAGCTGTGGGCGAGTGAGAATACTCCCCAAAATGTCAGATGTATAGCTTCAGAGACACATCTTGGTTAAGACATTTCCACCAATTTCTATTAATCTGTCAACTTCCTTTCAGCTGGGGGTGATGAAGGCACAGGAATGCTAATAAGTTCAGATTTAAAGACTTAGAAGTGGACCGCTCATTGGGTTGGAGGCTACAACATGAGAGACAAAGATGACAGAGACATGAGTTCAGTTTTTCTGTAGTCCAAGCTGAAAAGTTTATGATACACCCTGTCTCTAAACTGAATTATAATTATTATTAACAATATTGAATTTTCTCTCGGGGATCAATAAAATTCTTCTTATCTTATCTTGTCTTACGAAACTCAGAAATATAGATGTGATCCTGAAATAGATAATGCCACAATATGATGCACAATTTACAATTTGTTCTGAAACCTTTATAATGCAAAACTGTTTATTTTCGGAGAAATTCCTCTTAAATTTAATTATGGGATGTTATTTGCAACTATATTTTAAGAGCAACTTTTTTCATGCAGTATTACCACTTTGCATCACTCTTACTCCAAGTCAAAGCGGAGCTAAGAGCAAAGAGGTACCTCATTTTGAAGTATATGGGCTTCAAACAGAATAAGGTGGACTTTGAAGGGAAGGTGTCCGTTTTTTACCGCCCTTTTTTCACTGGGGTTGATTGTGTGAGACGGAGAAGAACAAAGAATTTTTGCCTGTTGCTCATTTCCTTTGACCTCACTCAAAGTCCAAAGCCTTTCAATCATGTCTTGTCTTTTCTTTTCATCTATAAGTAAACTGACAACTTGGACAACTTTGCTCAAAGACCTGAATCTGAGGTCAGATATGTCTCAGTATTACCCAATTTCTTGTAATCATTTTCACAGCCAACGTTTGAAGCGCTCCTGAGTAAATGTGTCAACAACAACCGTCAAAGGCGAGAAGGTCAGGTGTTTACGCGATGAAGAGTGTGTGTGGGGGGGTATTTGACAAAGAGTTTTATACACAGAAATCCCATTTATTTCCTGCCTATCTGACAAACACTTTGACTCATGGAAGCATATGCCATCTTTGAAGTGATTCCATTAATTTTTCATGCTATTCTTCATTATACAACCTCGATCACACGTTGGTGAAAGGGACCAGACAAAAAGTCTCTCCAGATTAAATCTTTAACACTTTGAAGTGATTGTGTAAGCTGGGATAAAATGAAAGACGTTATCACAAGCTTTGATTTATCTCTATATTCTATTTGAACCTCGTGAGTTTTATACACAGTTGTTTTACATCTGTATGTGTGTAATTCATTTAGGTTATTTGTTGAACATACATACATACATACATAGCTTATGTGGGGCTATAACCAGGAGGGGAGAGTGGGGTAAGATGAGCCATTTTTCATATTTCAGATCTCTACATCAAGGCAATCATAGTTTTGTCTCTAACTAGTGTATCTGCATATATTTCAGGATGTTGTGAATCCCTGCAAACCAAGTGTAAACACAACTGTCTGATATAGCATGCCAAAAAAGTGGTCTCCCATGGTCAACTTACCCTGTATATGGGGTAAGTTGACCATAGGAGCGGGGTAAGTTGAGCTGTATCCCTACTACCCTCCCTCACCTTCTCTCTCCTTAAATATTATATATATATATGTCACTTCTTCACATTCATGTGTATTTTTATCTATTATACGCTATTCAACTGGTACAATAAATATCTTTATTATTATTGCAAATAACTGCTGAAAGGCTGTTTTGTAAAAAGCCATTTTAACATGAGAATGCCTTTAAGTGATTCAGAACATTCACAGCTGTATTCTTGAAAAGAAAAATTAACACATTTCAACAATCTGACCTGAAACTCTGATCCTCTCATCAGACTCCTTTACCTTTTCAGTGAAAGCTAGTGGCTCAACTTACCCCAGAACTACTGTTATGACTTTATTAGTCCTCTAAGCTAAAATGGTTGATGTATAAAACACATTTAAAATGATCTTTTTTGGTCTGAACACAATTCTAATAAAACTCATGACAGGCTAAATTCACTTTCAAGGGTGAAAAATGTTTTTTTTTTTTTTTTAAATAAATGTCTAATCCCTTTTGTATTTCTAACCTTCACAGACTCCGTGAATTGAGGCCCATCTCCTAAATATTTGGTCAGATGATCAATTTCTTTAACCATTAAGCAACAGGGGGTGGCTCAACTTACCCCACTCTCCCCTACATAGCTTCTGTGGGGCTATAACCAGTACTCGAGTTGTACTTTCCATCCCAAGAGCCATTTTTGCCAATGAATGTGGAAATATTACGACTATTTCAACGTTTAGCGGCTGTGACGGAGCGGCGTCCTCACTGACCGCAGGCTGCGCTTGGAGCCACGCACACACACGCATACCTACATACACGTCAAACATTTCCCTCCTCGCCAGCGTCGTTTATTACCCACCAAACAGCGTAACTTTTCCTTCTCACTTCTCTGTTGCACACTTGGAGCTCTATCAGTAACTTAAACATACATTTACATAGAGATTCATCTCTTCACTTACTTGCCGGACGTTTTTCGACGCCATCTTGCGGGCTCGTGTTTACAGGTGAGGAAACAGAGGACATGATTTCCGGGTGTAAAATAGGTTGATATGGCGGGTCAAAGCGGTCACATGATGCGAGAAAAATTAATTCCCTTGTTGCTTTCAATGAATCCCTAAAAATTAATGCTCAATTGATTTGTGTACAAACTTCATTAAAATAGCAAAAACTTACAGAATAAGCCCTAATGTAAAATGTAAAAATTGTTTAAATGTGAATGTTTTTTCTAAAGTTATGTAATTGATAAAGCCCACTGGGAGGGGCTAGGGGAGGTTAACAGAGGGCTTCCTGTGCCCTTCTTTCTTTGAGACAGGAGTTTGTTGTATGGTTAAATATGAACCGTATTACAACATATTGCATCATCATTGTATCATGCCACGTCATACTGTCTAATATTTTATTTTATCACATTGTTTTGTTTCATTGTGTCCTTCTCTGAATTGTTTCACATTGTGTTTTATTTGTATCATATCCCAGTTGTATCTTATCCTTTTGTACTGTACTGTGCCAAATTACATTATATTATTTGAGTGTATCTGCTGTTCTCACCCTTGTTTAATGTCTAAAATGTCCCCAGTATGCACCAGCACAGTATAGAGTATCATGCCAACATTTGCTAATAGCACTAAAGGCAATACAGAACTGACAGTACTTGGGATATTTCTTCTATTGATGTGGATAAAAAATCTGGAGACAGTCTGGGTAATTATTTGGGGATTTAATTAGTCACAACCAGAACATGGGTGGATCATTCTTCAGAGGATGACTTGACAAATAAGTGGTCATATAGCCTCAGGATGGGAAATGACAATGGCAAATGGCTTTAGATGACAAAGACTGTATGTTGACATTTTGTCTCAAATGCATTTGAGCACGAGTAAAGGAGATGGACATAATAGAAATGGACATAGCCACACAGAGCTAGCCTTGTACTTAGGAATGTCACTCTATGTGGTCATTGTATGGTCAGCAATATGAGGTCAGCCACTAGGTTTAAGTGCTTGTGAGAATGACATTTCTTTAGATGTGTCAGAGCACATGAATACAGAGAACTCTATGTATGCTGGCCCATACATAGAGATTTCAAAAGATAGAGAATATGGATATATATTTACTTTAAATAAGGCACTCTGTGACTTTAAGTAGCAAACGTCTCTTCCAAGGATGGAAGCAAATTTCTACAGATGCATCTCTCAGAGCCTATTGAACTATGGCAGTGAAAAGAAGTACTGTTTCTTCATTTGATTTGGTATTTCTGTAGAGCGATGGTGACTCACTTAGATAATTACACATGGTTTGACAGGGACTGAGATAACTTTTGAAATGGTACTTCCTACAGAAACTGTGCAATAGAAATAATAACTAGACCGAGGAAGATCGACAACATCTATTTCAGACAGGATGAAACCCTCCATATTATCCACAACAGCCTGAACTTTGTTGGTGGCTGGCTGAGAAGTTCTTACATCAGTGCGTGACCCTGGTAGACAGAGATAAAGACACTTAAAATAATCCTTATGTCGAATACATATGAAAATTATTTGTCTTAAGTAATTGTCTCATGTCAAAATGAGATAAGCTACCTTTGAGGGCCTGTGTCCACTAACAGCATTTCATTGCCATGCCAGTTATCTGTCCAATAACTAGCACAATTCAGTGTTTTCTGCACTCATCTCCCGAACACACAAAATGCTTTTGGTGCCAACTGTTTTGTTCCCGAACTCTCCGTGCTCTCAGGCGAACATAGCGGAGCACTGGACTCCACTGGAGTGATTAGTTTACTGGAGTGAACTAATCAGACCTTTTTTTTCATAAAGAGGAACATTTTCAGGTCTCAAGAGGGACGTGATTCTTTTCCAATTCTTATAGTTTTCTCTATAAAGTTCCCTGGAGAGGGAGCAGTTATCGAGCATACAGAACAATTTTAAACAGACTTAATGGTAAGGGAGACTGAAGTGCTGTGAGGCAACCTTTTTAACCCAGCAGTTTGTCCCTGTGAGAAGTGCTCTGAAATTACAGTTGAAGGTACAGTAAGTTTAATACATGTCATCAGCAGACACATGTCCTCAGGTATATTTATAAATATGAAACTAGGGCCAGCAGTAGTTTAGGTAAGCTTAGCACAAAGACTGGAAGCTGAAAAGGTAAGAAATGTCTGCCAAAAAGCCCATCTATGGCACACTTATAAGCATTGGTGGACAGAGTGTATTGCCTACATCAAAGTAGGCAACTCATGCTACAGATT